ATACTATACCTTTTTGGGAAGCTCATTTCCCGCGCTAACACGTGTTTGATTGATTGTCTTTTCTTTTAAGTCGTTCGTGAGTTATAGCGTCGCAATCATGGAGCAAAATTTGTTTTTGCCAATAGGGAAGCGAGCTTCTATGAGAGGGGCATTATGAAGTTGGCATCTCGTTGGGAACGCGTCATCGATAAAAACGGCGCATACTTGACTTGAATCGCATTATTGTAACCAATTTTATACCGCAAGACTTTTTTGACAACCTAATATACGAGGTGTGTTCAAAAAGTAAGGTGACTCTTCAAATTTCGCGAATTTCAAATTTTTCGATTATCGAAACCTTTTAGAAGTTATACGAGTTGTGTTCAAAAAGTAAGGTGACTTTTCAAATTTCAAATTTTTCAAATTTTTCGATTATCTTCAGTTTTGGGAACAAGAAAAAGTCACATGGGGCCAAATCCGGTGAATATGGTGGCTGAGGCATTATTGTGGTGTTGTTTTTGGCCAAAAAATCCAAATCCTTTGATCCATATTTTTCGATAGCAAAAAATCGCCGAGCTCGCAAAACAACTTGTAACTTTACGCCTCTCACAACCAAACAAAAGAGGATGTTCCATTGAAACTTGGTACAGATGTTAGGGAAGAGTGTACCAATATAACAAAACAAAAAAATCGATAATCGAAAAATTTGAAATTCGCGAAATTTGAAGAGTCACCTTACTTTTTGAACACACCTCGTATACTATAAAAATAGTAAAACATTTGGTTAGTTCTTATTGTTGCAACTATAACTTTTAAAACGTCATTCCGTAGCCTGACATGATTCGACCTTAGCCCTAACTCTTTTCAGTGAGTGTTTTTTAACTGCTTCAAAATACGCCAAAAGGCACCACTGATTATGACGATATTTTCGCACTATTTTTGCCCCACTCCTCTATTTTAGTCCCCGCGATTGACAATTTTCTTGTTACTGCTTTTTATATGCATCTCTTTTAGCTAAGGGTGCTGTGATATTAACTTTCGAATGGTAGATAGGTAGTGGAAAATGTGCTTTCGCACTCGAGGCCCACTCACCGGATTGGGAGGAGGCCTAGCCCAAACCCCATTTCCAACTGCAATTGTCATAGCCCAATGAGCAAGTAATCAAGCCACCAGCGGAGTGGGATGGGGCGGGCTGAGCACAAAGCCTTGGGCCCGCTGTCGCCGCCATGACTTCCGATCAATCAATTAGTGCCGAAGAAAGCCGACTTCTTTGTGTTCCCAACTTTTGTTCCTTCCACTCGCTCTCCACATGGAACCCTCTTGGTGGCAGCTGCGCTTCTCCAAGGACGCGGCCTCATCTCCAGAGCTTTTCATCGCCGGCCGCCTGTCAATCCACAGGCGCACTTGGAGTCACCGGATTCTGTGGTGTTTTTGGGCGGATCCGGTGGTTTCTGTAATGCGGTCCGCTTCTCGAGAAGTGCGCCCAGCACGAGTTAAAATTTAATTTAGTGAAAATAATTTGCTTAGTCGTGCTGCAAAATTGCATAATTGTCAATGGCTGTGGCACCACTCCGCCCTGCCCCTCTCTCGCTCACTCTCTCTCTCTCTCTAATGAGCGGTCTGCGGCGCCATTTTGTGGCACCACATCACATCTGCATATTGGAAAATTATAGCTCTGGGCCCCGAGTGCGACGCCTGCCACATCCCGAACCTTCGATTCCGAACTCCGAATTCCGCCTGCTCCTGGCCTTTGTTTGGCTGCGGCTGCGCAGAAGTCCAAAAGCGCGTGGTTCGGGCGGCATGGTGAGGCGCAATGGGGGGCGATCGTTCTCGACGACGCTGACGACGAGGTGACCTCCAGCCGAGCCACTGTGGCAAGGACCTGACGCGAAACTGGCAGGCAGTCTGGCAGCCTCGTAGCCAGGAAGACCAACAACAGGAGAGGAGGCCTCGGGTTACAGATCCGAAGCCTCGGATACCCTTAAAACCTTGGTCTACCAACAATTTGCATGTGCATGGGCTGCCTAATTTTGCTGGCGGCATAACCGACCACTGCTCCGAACCCGACTCCTGCCCATTTGGGCACCTATGAAACATTCTAAAAGAGACGTCAGGGAAATCAACGGAATAACACAAATAGTTACCAATTTCTTCGCACAGTGTTCCCAATCTCATTCTTTAGGTAAAGTTTAGGTTTATATACGTTTCTACCTCTTAACTATTTCCATGTTGGCATGTAATTTACTGATCGTCTGGTTTAGTGATGCCGAATTAGTTACGCACATAGTCGGCACCAACCAATATTTACCTTGGGATGGGATATTCAGTGCTTAAAATGTTTCTGTACTGTTCGCATTTGTAATAAACTAACTTTTAAGAACTAATGTTTCTTTAAATAGAGAGCACTATTTACAAAATCATAGACTATCTGAAACAATGTTACTTTCTTTATCTAAAAACAAAAATTCCAAAACAGAGAGATTTGCCTTAATAGTTAAAAAGTTATTAGGAAACTATAGGTAAAAGGGTGGGTATATCCCTCAACTATATCAAGTCATTTGCTGGTAAAATTATTCTAGAATTAGTACGAGGTATATAATAAATATCTCAAGAATTACCTTCTTCATTTAATTATCCTAGTTATGAGCAAGCATCACAAATATACTCTCTGATCAAGCGAAAATAAAAAAATAATCAACATCTTTAATATCCTTCTTAGTATCATAATGAGCTGTAAAACACGCATTTCGCTGTGTTATTAACCGAAAGAAGGGGTAATGGTATGCGGGGAGGGCGAAGAGTGAGCAACCAACTGGCATTTGACATGCCAAAAAACACTTCTGTCACAGCAGCAGCGGCTCAGTGGAGAGCATCGCGTCCAGTCCGTAGGGGGTGGCCCTTCCACAAAAGCGTGCCTTTCCCACTCACAGTCGCCCCCCGATCTCGCTCAGATGCACTGAAAAAAAAACATAACAAACTCTTGTTTTAGAAAAATAAATAAGTAAAATAAACGTTAATTATTATTATTAATTAGAGCTATTTTCTTTTCTTTTAAGGGAAGATAAATGGCTTCCTAATATTTCTTATTTAATTAATTTGACGACAAAATTTCGTAATATTATCTTTTGTTCCTCCAGTGCGTTTTCACTCCCTCTCTTTTCTCTCAGAAAAGTGGGCAGGCGCCTTTGGGATTGGATTGCTGGTCCCATGATTCGATGATTCGAGTTCGGCTGGCAAATTGAACGCCGCATGCGCAGCGGCAATAACTTCGCCATAGAAAACCCGATACGGGGCGATGCTCTTATCTGCGATTGCCACCAAATGGCGCACAGTAGCTGAGAGGCAGTTCGGCTATTTAATTTCAATTTTACTTGGCTTTTACGGGCACTACGATGCAGCGGCAGCTTTCAAAGTGGCCATAGGTTTAATGGGTTGTGCAAATTAAATTAGCTCGCTGTTTCCTGTGCGGATGCCTTTCACTGAGCCGGCTATAATATTTAACGATTTTGTTTTCAGTTTAAATATTTATTGTTTAACATTAAGGGGGGATACTACTGTTAGGTTACAACAATTATTTCCATTGTGCTCAGGGAATATTAAATATTAGGAAATAAGAAATTACACTTTGATCTTTATTGGACTCTCTCAGTGAATTCCTAAACATTCTCCTTGCCTTTGATACAAATATGTTGACCTTGTTAATCGCAAAAATGTGCGTTTATCATCAAATCAGGCGGATACAGATTTTGTAAAATCACAAAAGTCGAATTTATACGAGATCTTTGTTCCCCAAAAATCCCTTCTTAACCTATTATTTTGTGTCTTTTTCAATTACCTTTTTTTAAGTTTCAAGTTTTTAAAGCTTTTTACATTGGTTGATACATTGTCAATTCATAAACATGAAAGTCATCTATCGGAAGGAGGTTTTTTGAACCTGATTAGCAGAGAAATGGGTATTCGATAGTCAAGAATCCTCGTATCTTTATTGACGCGTGGTAAATGGTTTTGTACTTAAAGTACTTCTGTTTCAAACTCAAACTCATTAATAAACATAATGATCATTTATAAATAATAAAATCCTATTTAGAAAGACAGTTCCTACCTTTCACTCTATTCGTTGGATTCGACATCTGTGGTAAATTCTTTACCGGCACGCCTAATCCAAACTTATAGTTCCTAAAATCGCATTGTCGTAAAAGACCTAAAAGGATTTTTTTTCTTTTTATTACTTTCAAAATAAAATCTAATAGTTAGTCCTCTGTATTGGCATTAGGTACATATATGTACATAGGTCCAGAAAATCTGTAACTGAGCTAGAGATTCTGTTCTGTTAATTCTCTTTTAAAAAAGAAGAACAAAATGTATTTTTCCAATAAACAATAAAAAAAGTTTGATATAATTTCGACACAGATGTGTTATTTTAATTTACAAATAAAAAACTGAATTCACATTATATCCCTGATATAAAAATTTTATTATGCTTTTTAATTTTTCTTCAGAAAAGTCAATTCTTGCTTAATATGAAAACTGTAGTATACTTTTGGGAGGAATTGATATCAATAATATTTTAACCAACGCGAGACTTAAATTTAAACAGTGATAAGGAAAAACAACATTTTCTTAGCTATACTTCGGCGATTAGTGCTTGAAACTTAATAAAGCAATTTTTAAAGAAATGACTATTAGTCCAAAAGGACTCCTATAGTAATGCACGTTCATTAAACAAACCCAGCGGAATAGGTAACTTTTTGAAAAATAAAAATAAGAAACGAAATGAACTACATTTTTTGTTTTCTTAAAGCATATTCCTAAACGCTGTCAAACATTGTTACAAGCATTCACTCTGTCATTGAAATTTAAAACATGCGGGTGAAAATCAAATTTGCCGATAGCTCACTTCCGCACTTATCGAAACATATAACTATATCGTAAGAAACATCGAGAAAAGTTTATTTCCACATCACCCTCTGGTCATACTGAAAATCTAACTTATCTATCGATATATAACTCGGCACCACGTATCGAAATATCGATTGGACACAGCTGCTTGTGAATGAAAAAAAGCGTAAAATCGAATCGTAAAACAAATTCGCGAAAGGCCATTACCGCCCTCCCCATAAAGTCATAGACGCGTGGATCAAGGTAGAAAGGGATCATAGAGGAGGCTAGGAGCAACAAGGAGATCCTGCCAGGACATTAACCAGCCGTTCGTCCTTTCCACCGGCACACAATGGATCTACTATAGTGTGTGTGTACGAGAGTGCGGGCGTGTGTGTGCGAGGTTGTAGTAGTGGGCGAGTGCGTGTAGTAGTAGTACGAACGAGTGTTCGAGGCGACGGGGAAAACAAAAAGAAATTTGGTTTTAGCTCAACACTTCATCTGGAATCCCGGCGAGATGAGTGCGTAGATGTGAAGTGCGATCGCTGATGCGCTATCACCACTTTCCGGCGCTGGAGGCAGTGCATCAAACCGGAGCAGGCGAGGGGCAATAGGGGAGTCATCCGGTTAAATCCCGACTTCGATCCCGTAATGCTGCTGGCCGCAGCCGGTCTGCCGGCCTACGACGCCGGGAAGTTGGCCAGCAATGCCGGTTCCGGCTCCAGCGGCGTGGGTTCTGGCGGAGTGGGCACGCCTACGACGTCCACCTCCCGACCCAGTGCAGCTAGTGCGCTGATGAAGACCCTGTCCGTGCGCCTGCATCGCGGCACCGAGTTCATCAAGGACACCGTGCAGAAGGCCCTGGTCATGTCCGCGCCCACGCCCGTAGCCCCAGCACCAGCTCCTGCTCCCAAGATCCTGGACCACAGCCTTAAGCGCAAGCTAAGCGGCGCTGGTGGGCTTATGGGTTGCAGCAGTATGGGTAGCACAACCTCATCAATCGCCGCCAGCTCGAGGAGCCACCACTACTCCCTGTCCAGTCAGGTGACTTCATCACAGGTACTTCCCCTGGCCAGCCAAGTGCCCACAGCCGCCTTCCTGCGCACCTACACAGTGGCTCCCACGGCCCTCCACCGATCAGCTACCGCCCGGAAACGCAATCCCAGCACCGACAGTCTGCTAATGGACCTGTGCCTCTTCAAGCCTATCCGGCCAATGCCCATTACGCCAATCAAAATGTGAGTACTATGTGATATTTGATACCACTGTTATTTCAGTTACTTATCGGAGCCCAAGAAGCTCCTGCTAAAGCGAGGGCCTCCAAGGAATTTCTTTCGAACGAAACTCAACTGGAAGTCAGAAAAGTTTTGATGCGAAAAAATTCTGGGGAATTTCCGATAGGATCGGCTTCTCATTTGCCTGTTATTGCAAGTCAGCAAGCTTTCGTTTTGCTTTTGGGGTGCATTTATTTTCAGGGCACATAAAGAAGTATTTTACCTAATGTCTTCTATTAGATGTTCGTCGAAATTAGTTTTGACCTTACACATCTGCACATTTTATGTTCTAAGGGTATAGTTAGCCTATATATGAATGACTCCTGATCCACCTTTGGTCACAAGCAATGATTCGACTTGATCGTCCTTCAAAAGGCAAGAAAAGGCAAGGTGACTTACTTTTGATTGGACTCATTCGTTGTGCTTACTCTCAAGGCACCAAAAATATCAAAGCTTAAAACTGATATACTGCAATTTCGTGTAGCTATAAAGGGTTTTATAGTTAATTCAACTAAAACTACTGCCATGTATAGCTAAGCGATGTAAAATAACCAAATTATTAAAATCAATAATATACATTTTATGTTTAATAGGCAAATCTAATTTAATGATTAAAGACAATTAGTCCTTACGTCCTTACTTTACCTTAATTAGACCAAGTTTATTGATGACCTATAAACTGCTGAAATCATTACTTTTTTTTTATTTCTTTAAAATCGATTTCGATCTAAGCGAAAAGCCGTTCGAAAGGAGCCCGCATGAGAAACTGTTATTCTGTCTTAGAAACTGAATTGTTGTAGATTTATGGGACAGCTTTAAACTTTTCTGTTTTATAAAAAGATCGTTAAAATATATATAAAAAATATTTTATCCTTGACAGCCACAAGTTCCGCGGCTTTGAGCTGAAAAAACCAAAATTTGTGCCGGCTGCAAATCCGGACAGCGAGGAGGACGAGGACGACGATGAAGATGAGTCTGTCCACAAACCAAAGCTCAGGTGAGTGGCCTACGAAACCCCTGATAATACCTAAAGAGTCTAACGAATGTATTTTCCTTTAGCAACTTGACATTGCCAACAAATGAGGGCTCGGCGTTCGTCCCGATGCCCTATATAGAAACCACCAATATAGCCATCACCGCAACCACCACCACAAACAGCAGGAGCAGATCCCGCTCCATCAACACTCACACCTCAGGCTCTGCTCAGGCCATTGCCAATCCAAAGGCAAAACGTCGCCGCCGCGCTCCCATGCTGACAGCCAAAAGACGACGCAAGGCACCAGATACGGAATCTACTTCCTCAGCGGATGCAGTAACTGAAATAAAACCTCCCGCCAAGCGTAAGGCAGCGGGATCAAGTGGAGGAGCCAAGCGCAGCCGTGGAGCATCAGCCAATGCCTCCTCGACAGCGGATCCCATTAAATCTCCGGTAGTGATCAAAACTGCAAGCAAGAGCAAGGCATCTTCTAGCAGTGCAGCTGCCAAACGCAGTCGGGGGGCTTCGGTGATGGATGCGGCTCCACTAACAACCACATCCACCTCTTCATCTGCTCCAGCTGTGAAAGCCAGCAAAACCGCAACGAAGCGCAAGCCAGCCACTGAAAGAGAAGCCACCAAACGCAGTCGTGAATCGGCAGCCTTGCCTGCTCGTCCCTCACCACCCATGACACGTCAACGCGCCCGTCAGCAGATCTCCGCCAGCAACTAAGCTCCAGAGAGAACTTGGATGCTCGCTCATTGGAACGCAAGCCCATATGGCAGAAACAAGAAAATTAGAAGAAAAATCAACAATAGGAAAGAGTCGCGTAGAAGACTCGCTAAGTTCTAAGTATTTGGTTCTAGTTACTGTTTATGTGTACGTGTTGCGACTTTCCTTTGAAGTAAGTGGATAAGCCAGTAACCATGTAAAGTACACCTAGTTCAACTCGTTTCGCTTTCGTTTCATTTGTGCAATCTAAATTGTTCGGATAAGCTTGAGTTTGAGTACTCGGGTTTCCATTTGTCACTTTGAATTACTTTTCGGTATTTGTTTTACAGAATTCTGGCTTGGTCTTCAAGACTGATTTAACAAAATGCATCCGCTGCGAATAACATGTAATACAAGATTATAAATTCAGGGGAGTTTTTAGGAATTTATGTTTAGCCCTCATACAACCAACCATTAAGCAGAAAGTATTAAATGTATAAAGAAAATAGTAAAATTTAAGCCATTCCTGATAATACGTTTTCGACCAAAATTATTTGTCACTACAACAATACCGGTTACTAGTAGAATAGTACAATGGATCTTAGCCGAGTCTGTCCTTCCGTCTGTCTGTCTGAGCGCTGAGGTCTCAGGAACCATCAGTGATAGGTAGTTGGGACTGAGAATGCAGAATCCAGATATCTGACTATGGCTAACACAGTAACTGGTATCAGATAGTCGCGGCACCCGACTATAGCGTTTACTCTTGTTTTATGTTAGCTTAGGAGTGTCTCTGTTCTATGGATGTACAAACAAGGTTCAACGTTATTGGTTTGATTTAGTTTACGTGCTTGCCTCTGAGGCAGCTAAATGAGCATATAAGGATGTAAGAGCAGGAGGACGGAGAAAACGCCACAACTACAATTAATTTTCCTACTTTAATTAAGTTTGTTAGAATTTATAGCCTAGATACAAAGTAAACAATTCATTCATACAAGTATAAATAATGATATATATATATATGTAATGATATCTTTACCTAAACGTACGGTCTATCTGTAAGAACAGCAATGATATAAAATATAGAAATCTATATATAAAACATGCCGGTCAAATCAACTGTGTGTTGTGATATGAACTAATTTATAAAACCAAGCGAAAGACAAGTAAGCCCATTTAAATTATTTGCTTGACCCAGACAACACCGAAACACTCAAAAATCAATTTAAACCTTTGATATAATTAAGAAGTAGAAGTTGGAATATATGAACGAAATTCAAATTTGCGGAACACAAAAAGTTGAAAGTTCGCCCTAAGCTAAAGACAATTTCAAGCGATTCTAAACGGAAGCAAAATTACTTAAACACACAGCGAGTTGTATGCGTCAATAAAAGATATAAATAAATTTAAAATTTTGTAATTTATTGATGGTTGGGTTCAAGGATATAGCGCGTGTCCTAATCGACTCTTTTGTTAGGAGATAACTTTAGGTCTTTAACTTTAAGCTATTTATGAGTATAAAAAATTAGGTTTGGACTAGACCATTATCTGACTGTTATTGTTAATAGAATACGTTGCTGACGGACTTACTCAGATTACGAAAGGAAGGGAATGCAAAAGGGCAAAAACAGCGTGGAATCTGATTGGAAAAGTGCGATGTTTGCATCTAAGGATAAATGTTTATTACATATTATCTTTGCTTGTTTATATAATAAATTTGCCGCATATGTGGCGGCTTGCGATCCCCAACATTACAATTTGGCTAAAGTTTGGAAGGAGGCAACTGGTTGAGGTATTTTTCAGACCGATTTGTAATTGTTTTTATAGCTGTATGATGATTGAGTAAGCAGTAAGGGAAAGACCCCAGTGTATTAGATTTCTTAGAAACGCTGTGAGAAGGAATGTCTTCAGCGTTTTCCGGTTTAGGTCTTATAGCTCTCTCGTTATTTAGAAATGTTATGTTATTGATTGTCGGTTATCCTTCGTGATTAGCGAACAGTAGTATAAGAGTTTCCTTCAGATTTAAAAAATATTTCTTTAGTTTTATTTATATGGACCTTTGCATCTTATTTTAAAGGTAATACCTCTATCTTCATAGAAATATTTCCCTTAGTCAGGCCATAATTATGATAAAGCTGTAATTCTTTTGTTAGTATACCCTCTAACTCATTCCATTGTTTCCATTTTGGTAGGCAGGACGTTCCACAGGTCCTGTAACTTGTAGCCATCCCGAATTGGCTCCATGGCAAATCCCAGCTCCTTGCAGTAAACCGGATCCCTTTCCTCCTGACTAGACCCACTTCGAGTCTTTCCCAAGCAGCCTTCGGCGAGGTAGCTATTCAGTTTAGTGTTAATCTCGCGCTCTTGCCGCTCATCCAGCTCCTCGAAGTTATCTACCTTGAACTGGGAGGCTTGAGCAGCTTCCTCAGCCGCCTCCGCCAATCGCTGTCGGGCATCTTGAGCGTTGTATTGGATTCCGAAGTTGGGCTGTTCGCCGTAGATTGTGTGCAGCGAGCAGAGCTCCTTGAAGAGCTCGTTCAGGCGCTCGGCTGGATCGATCCGAAAGCCCAGTACATATCCGCCTCCTGTTTCTGCAGTTTGGATTACTAGGGCAGGACCGTACTTGGATTCGCGGATGCGAAGCTGCAGAGGTTGATAAATGAATTCATTAATGTATAATTGTCACATTTCACCAAAAATGTATATTTATCTTTAATATTGCTCACACTTTCAATTTGCAGATATGGCAAACTTATGTTGAAGGTCTCGTTGGCATCTGCAAACCAAACCAGTCGAATGTTGGACACCACGAAGCTACCCAGGTTTCCTTGATCGCTAGACAAGTTCCAGACGCCCTGCACCTGACTGTAAACCTGCTCATCTGGCAGAATCACCAATTGACCAGCTTGGACAATGGCTCCGCGTAGCTTCAGGTCGCGGTAGAGATAAGTGCGTTGATATAGACTGAATGGGGATATCATATTTTAAAGATATTCCTTTATAATCCCAAAACAGATTGTTCTCACTGATACACATCGAAAACGCTGGCAAAGATGGGTTGATCACGTCGGGACGTTTCCCCTGATACGTCGGTGAAAAGGAACTCGAATCGAGTCTCATTGCTAATTGCGAGGATGTAGAGGGCCTGACTGGCTATCTTTGCCTTGGAGTGCATGTGCACTACTCGAGTGTTGGTGTTACCAATCCGGGCATACCCAATGGCTGAATAAGTCAATTATGAAGTGGGAAATAAGGGTTATTTCTGCCAAAATCACTTACAAAGGTTGTACTTCTTGTGGACCAGTGAGTGCCAGATAATCCTCAGGTTGGTTACCATCAGACGTCCCGTGTCCCCCGGATTTCCTTTGCTGTCTTCGATGTGGTAAATGTAGTCAAGAACTCGTTCGCCGCTGCGAAGGTTTTTGTGCCTGGAAAATGAGCAAAAACCGATTGAAATTGGATAGTTTTTATTGGATGTCCATTCACTGACAATTGCGGGACATCGAACTTGACTTCCTTATCCTCCCAGAGCAACTGCAGCTGAGGCTGTTGGTTTCCCTCAATCGTAGCCAGGGACTTCAACATTTTATATTTTTTCCTTCTTTTGTTGTGGTTCGTCTTCTCTCCTAAATACCCATCGGTTGCCTGGCAACCTAATGTCCTGGCGGTTTCTTCAGTTATAGATTTCCCACCGGCACCATATGTACATACACCATAATGTTAACAAAACTTTTTACGACGGTATTTACATATCTAAATTTTCAATATTTGAACTAAGCCTTTTCCACATCATTTGTTAAGCTGGTATACAGAAATTTGAATAAAATATGTGTAAATACCCGTTAACCGTAGATCAAAACGGTATATTGTATTCGTTGACAAAAATAACCGTTTTCGATTGCAAGATATTACCAACAGATGTCGCTATTAAAATTGTACATATTGCCTAATGCTGGTTTCTGGTTATAAATCCGACACTCGATTACAGTTTCTTTTTGTTATGTTATTTATTCGGAATTCTAATTTCAGTAAAAGTTTATATATATTCTCCCTTTTAACTGGAATCAGATGGATCACATAGAGCTACTACAGTTGTTAAGGTAACAATCGAAACAAAATTCAATGAAGAAGAAACTATTGCTCTTATGTGAACCCGATCGTATCAAACTTAAAAATTTCGGATTGGACAATGGTATTTCGATGTTAACAATATATTATTATATTTTGGTTGTTCCCGACTTAATTCATAAAAAAAAACATTCGTGCTTTTGGGTATTTTAGTAAATACGTACATATGTATATTTAACTATCGTACATAATTTTAAAAATAAGACTTATACTTCGCTTATGAAAGTACAAAAAGGTTCGGCTGAGGCATTCTTGCTCAGACAATAAGTCAGTTTTACCACCTTCATCAGTGAAGGAAATTGAGCTCTAGTTTATAAATAGAAAGCAAGGCTAGCTGATGGAAATGTTTCTCATTTTTAACTTTGTCGTGTGAATATTGCAAATCGTAGGTGAGAGCATTGAAGCAGAAGGCACCTTTATCGAATACCGAAACGGCGGAACTGAACGAAACTAGATTGTATATACACTAATTATATGGGGCCAACGGCTCACATAATAATCTGCGGCTCCGGGACACTGGCAGCAATGCTTTTATGGGGCAGGACCTGGCCTCCATTAACGTAGAGCTCATCCTTGACGATAACATCCTCGCCCAGCACGGTGATGCCCTCAATGCGAACCCAACGACCCACAGTTGAGCGCCATCCCACAATGCAGGAGTCCAGCCAGGAGTGAGAACGAACAATGGCACCCTTTAGGATTGTGGAGCGCTTGATGCACACTCCATCCTCGATGACCACATCCGGACCAATGGTTACATTGGGTCCAATGCGGCAGCCCTCGCCAATCTTGGCCGTGGGGTCCACTAGTACGTTGCCCACTACTCCAGGCCCTGTGTACAGCTTGGTAGATTGCTTCTGGCGCAGCGAGCTTAGATAAAGGCACATGCCTGAAAAGATAACAGAAAAGTTTAATCAAAGTTTAAAAATGAAATATAACAATATAATGTAATTCAAGTCTAAAGTTTATGAAAAAAAAACTATTAAAATGACACTTTCTTGTCTTCCTGGTAAGTCAAATGACCACTTAGTAAGTTCCCTTGCTAAGGGATAAAAAAAACGGGCCTTAAACTTTTGCAGTATTTTATGATTATAAGTCGCGAATTGCTTCCGCATGAACTCAATAGAGAATTCCTATTTGGGTTTCTCCTATCAGCCACTATCAGCCTAATGAGCTTCACTTCAGTTAAACAGAAATCGCTCTATCAAACATTTAGCCTAAGTTCCAAGAAACTAGAAAATAGATAAACGAAAAAGCCTGGTGGGCAAGAAAGGCAGGGCACAATTAACGACGTTGCTAGCGGATAGATAAGACCAACTAGGCAATTTAGATGGAGCGAAAGTGTGAATTAATCGGTCGTACCGGTTAGGAAGTCTTTAGGCTGCCCGATGTCCATCCAGAATCCAGTTAGATCCATGGCATACAGCTCCTGTTGCTGGGCCATCGCTGGGAATACCTCCTTCTCTATTGACGTGGGCTTGACCTCGATCCGGTCCAGGACTGAGGGATTGAAGATGTAAATGCCGGCATTGATCTTGTTGCTAACGAACTCCTGTGGCTTCTCAATGAAGTTCTTGATACAGCCGTTCTCGTCGTATAGCACAACTCCGTATTTCGAGGGTTCTTCGACCTTCGTGACCACGATGGTGCCTTCTTTGCCATGGTTACGATGGAAGTGGACAAGTTGCTTGAAGGGGAAATCGCAGATGACATCCGAATTGAGCACAAAGAATGGCTCTGAACTAGCTGTAAGAATGGTTTTCGCCAGAGCTAGGGGTCCGGCTGTTCCCAGGGGCTCAGTCTCATGTGAGAAGATCAGCTCTACGCCCAGTTTGTCAGCCTCCACTTTCAGCTCCTTTTCCATCTGTTCAGCTCGGTAGCTGACGGCTAAGATTACCTGTAAGGAAGAGTATTGTATAGTCATGACCCCAAAAATCTTCAGATGTTTGAATTCACTTGTGAAATATCTAAAAGTATGCTATGATATATCCTAGCGAAAGATCAAGGTCTTATTTCTCATTACATTCTTTTGGAAACTTCTTCAAGAGGTTCCTAAATGCGAGTTTCACAAACCTGACGGCATCCCGCATCCACAAGTGCCTCCAGTTGGTGGAGCAGTATTGGTTTGTTGGCAAATTCCACCAATGGCTTGGGCGTGCTGAGGGTCAGGGGTCGCAAACGGGTGCCATAGCCACCGACCAGAATCAGCGCCCTCGTTCCGTTTCCCACAGCTGGATTTCCACACATAACCGAACCGTTCTTCTATCTGCTATCACCCTTAATCGAGCGACACGTCAGACTTCAAAGTTCTCGAGACTTTCTCCGTGCGCAGAAATTCCGATTCAGCGGAACAACAACTGCAATCGACCAAGGCGAGTGAGTAACTCGGTTTGACTTTCATTTAGTTTATAATTTTCTTACCTTGTTTTCTTGTTATCTTTTGTATTGTCGTTTTGTTGTTGTTGTTTTTTGGGATCGTCGTTTTTTGGTGATAAGAAGTTTGGTGCCGCTGATTGGATGTTTGTTGCTATATCCTAACTTTAAATGGAGTTCTTCTGGTTTCTATGGGGGAGCGTTGTCTACGTTTACAACTTGTTCTAACCATTGAGCGTAGAACTCGGTCTTTGTCACAAACTTCGCTCTTTTGTTCTTTGATTAAACGCGCCGCAGAAAAGTAAATAAAAACCGAGCTGGCAAAGTAGTGATGACACTATCGGCATCTGCCGATATTTACCTTTCGCTACACTGGCGGGATCCGTCATCATTTTTAAATTGCCGGTCTCCACTTGCCTTATTCCAAAAGCTTTACTAAAATGTCTTTTCTAAAATATCAATGCCTGCCTTAAAATAATGATATTTAAAGTAAAGTACAAGATTGCATAGAATCGAAGGAAACAGAAGACAATGATCTGTAATCTACAGATTTACATATTCCAAATAAGCCCACCAAAATCATGAGCTAGTTCGTCTTTTCTGATAGAAACTTCACATAGACGACCATCGAAAGCTTCATCTAAACTTTTCCCCGGGTTTTGGGTCATTCATATCTACTTCATGACCGTCAATTTTTAATTTTATTTACTAGTAATAGCTTAATATTTGCTGAAGATTTTCCAAAGTGGAACGCGTAAAGTTAAAAGTACCACAAACGACGCTTTATCAGTTCAAATTTCGAAGATCTTGAGATGAGCCAGATGTTGCATGGATTTAGAGTTATGGACCTATATGATTATAAGCAATTTTTTATTGTTTATTAGAAAACTTATGTGGCGTCACAAAATTAGAGACGAGCGGTCACACTTTCAGTTATGCTTCTTGAGATTTGGCGTTTCTGGTATTTTATGCTAGCCAAGTTCGCATACCCAGCTGACTGTTGACTCGTCACACTGGTCGCATTGTTGTTTCGTCGCGTGTGAAAACTGCTGAGTGTATGAAAAGTGTGCAAATTGAGAGAAAAAACTCCTGCAATTAGTTGGAAGGTAAGTGTAGTGAAAAAGAAAAGAAGGGCATTACATAAATCGGGCATAGGGTGGTTAAAAAGTGATTTGACCACGGATTTTGGGGCTCCGTCCTCAGACGAGATACACATACGCGCACATACACTCTTACGTTTGAAATAGGCAGCAGCGAGACGGAAAACAAAATGTCGACCATTTGCATTTTCCTGTATTACTTTTTCTGGCCATTATTTAAGAGGTTTGTGTTCACCAAAAGGCTCGGGAAAGCGTTGTTAAATAGTAATATACCCGCAGGAAGTTTCCAATTGAAGGGCAATTGGGTTTTAGTGCGTTTTTTGTGAGGGCAATCTGGCAATATTGATTTTTACAATGGCTGCCGAGGAGTCTCATACATTTTCCTGGAAAATGTGCAAGGAAAAGCTAATATCTACTGAGTGCAAGTGCTTGTCATTGAAATTAAGAGTTTTTCTAAGTTATGAAAAAACTCAGAAGTGTTTTCAGTGAAACCAATTAACCGTCGGGTTTTGTGTAGGGTATCATATGTGTTTGTGTGCTTGTGTTGGTTTATTCTATTCGAATTGGTATTTTCTTTTATTTAGAAAAGAGGGAGGGGTGTGGGTGGTGTGAGGGGGGTAAGAGCGCATCTTGTTAAGTTTTACTTTCTCTTTTATTTATGCTGCAAACTTCAGCGGGTGGTGCTCTATCTACATGCGAGTATCTGAGTGTGTGTGCGTGTGTATCGGCGCGACAGAGACAGCAAAGCAATCACGTTTCTTATTCTCAGCATTTTTATTTTCTGTTTAATTTTTGGCCTATTGTCAGCGCTTTATTGTGCCTTTCTCCCCCCTCCCCGGTGTTTGTTTTTTATTTTCTATATAAATATGTTCACGTTGCAATGACGCGAAGGTTTCAGCCAGTAACTCCACAGAAACCATGACAAACATCATCTTGTCGCGACAGCAAACTTCCAGATAGATTCTATTCTTTTCGAGTATTTGTGAAATAGGCTGAGATGATGACGTCATAGGTCAAAATTATAAAAAGAAAAACAGCTGTTGACGATTGGGCAGCACTGTCTTCTCAACCAGAGTTGCCCTTTTGCGTACTTCCCTGTGTTTATGCGGTGGTTCGAATATCACCAAATTCAGCAGAACCCATGAAAGGCCGTTTTAGATTTCAGTTTTCACGAAATCAACTCAAATTTTCACCACTCCTCACGATTAAATCATAAAAAGTTCATTTTGGGCAGAAAATGGTCAGCCAATAAGCACATCTTTCTTGTATTAGCTATAAAATCATCTCACCATCATTTCTTCACTTTAAAAAACAGATATAAATTACTAAACACATATTTAAGTCAGTATATTTGTAAAGGATCGCAGATATTTCAAGATCTGAAAACACGGAATCTTAAGATATTTTTTTAAAATTTTTGTGCTCACTTATCAATTGCCTGCCTGCCTTATCAATTACTAACCTTGAAGGTTGATTGAACTGCGAAAAGAGAAATATTTTGACCCCCTAGACGGGCAAGACGGCCGCAAGAGCTCTCCGCCACAGCCCCCGCCTCTGGAGTCCCCCTACACTGGAGGGCATTCAAATCCTGTCTGTCTTTTTGATGACTTTGTGTGCAAGGAGAACCAGGCAGTTTTGTATCTGGCTGTGTGCTTCGTTTCGTTGAGCTTCGTTTCGTTTCGCCTGCTCTTTGCTCACCGTTTCGCCCCACCAACAAAAATAAAAATAAATAAATAAAAAGAAGAGCCAAAACACAACTCGGAACTCGCTTTGCGCTTTGTTTGCCTGGCTCTTCTTCTCTGCCCCTTTCTTTGCCTTTTCCTCCCTCTTTCTCTTTCTTTTGCTGTGTGTGTGCGGTTCTCTGTGTGAGTTCGCTGACGTACGAGTGTGAGTGCGCTGTTGTACATTGAACTCAAATTCGAACTGGAGAAGAGAAGAAAAAAAAGAGTGTGAGAGCAATTGGAGAATATGTCGGGGACCTCCCTCCTCCTCGTTTTTGGCCCCATACACCTCATTAACCCCTGGAAAAGGGTCTGAAGTTTCGACTTCGCCACTCCATAACCCTTCAATCATTTTTATTTTCGTCTGACGTCCAGTCCATGCTCAAACTACACGAACATGTTTTTTTAAAAATGGATCATAAATGGAAGAATATGACTGTTTTGATACCCAAACCGAAATTTTGAAAGAGATGTCTTGCAAAAAAGCACTGCCTCCATCGAAAAAAGAAACATCCTGGTCATAGGTTTTAAAAGGTAGTCCAATTCTATGAATAACGAAGCATTAGAAATAGTTTCTTAAAATCGGAAAATATGTAATATTGTTTCTTGTAGACTTTGCTCCGTTATTTAGTTTTGTCAGCCGTCTTTGACTCTGTTTTTGTTTTGTTCTCTTTTTCCGTTTTATTTCGGGTTGATCCTGCCCGGCTCTAGTTCTTTGCTCGCAGAATGAAATTCCGAGCACAGATGCAGGATCCGCTGTACATGCGCGAGTTCCAGGCCATTGTGGCCACATTGGCAAAACTGGCGAAGGATTGCGTGATGATCCTGGGCGCTCGGCAGATGCACTTAATCGTGAACGAGGATCAGAGCTCCGCTGCATCACCCTTGGTCTGGGCTAGTATTGCGGCCGAGGAGTATTTTCCGGAATACCGTATGGAGGCTGCCCGCCCGGATCAAGACTACATAGTTCTGAGCATGTCCTCGGCTAACTTAGGGAGAGCCTTTTCTGTGCTCCGAAGTTCAGGCGTCAACAGCTGCAAACTGAAGCTGCAGAGGATTCAGTTTCCCTGCATTTCCGTAGTAGCCTCTGTGCTCTTGGCTTCTTCCACAGAAGCCCGGGAAGTGGTACACGATGTTCCAGTAACTATAATCCCGGCCAGCGATTGGTCGGCCTATGTCGTCCCACGGATACCCAACTCGCAACTAGCTTTGAGTTTGCCAAGCTTAAAATTGCTAAGAAGTCTCATTGATAAACTGAAAAATGTATCACCTAGTCTCGAGTTCCTGGCCAGCTCTGAGGGAGAACTCAATGTTATAGCCACCTCTGAGATGTCCACTGTGACCAGTCGCTTCCAGAAATTGCTGATAAGGGCTACGCCCGAATCACAGCAGGAGGCCTCCTGCTCTTGCTCCGTGGATTCGCGAAAAGCCTCCGCCTTTTTTGGGGCACTGCAACTCCCCAACGATGAACTGACCATTGGGATAGATCGGGAGCATTCCATCCATCTGCAAATCGATGTGCGTCAGGATGTCGTTCTCCATTCCCTTCTCCCGGCTGTTTGTATGTAGTTAAGAGCAGATTCGAATTGCGTTTATTAATAAAGAGGCATCCTAAGTTTTATTGTGGCTTTAAACTTAATTTTAATCTTGGGAAATCCTGATGTTTAATCACATCTGTGCGTCTTATCTCTTGAGGCTTATCTTCATATGTTCAGATATAGATTTGCTATCTAAAATGTTTCAATGTTGTCGGTTTGCCATATATTGTTATCTGTCAAACTGGTCTGCAAAGCTTATCGGAAAGGGCTGTGGCAGAGCGCAGAAGGTTATCCTTTTCTACCTACTTTGAAGAAACCAAGCAGATTAAGAAAATATTTTCTTTATTTTTCTAGCTGAAAATATATGCGAGGAAACTAATTTAAATTTTTAAAGCCTTTATCAATTGTTTCAAATGTATCTGCACTTTTGAGGGAAATCTTTAATTGGTTTCATTGTTATTTAAAATTACGTAAACTAAAATAAATTTCAAGTGTGGATAGTGAAAGAGCCAGACTTATTTATTTTCCTGAAAGAAATATATATTTAGAAAAAATTAAAGATAATTTCGAGGTATAGGCGAATCTATAAAGTATCAGTAATAAATATTTATTTTAACGTTTCCTGGGGTTATCGTCAAACGAAAGTTGGGGCGGCTCTTCTTTTCTTTCCATCGTTCTCGTTTGCCTGTCCCAAATTCGTCAGCAACCGTGGCCTCATTTCGCGTTCTCTCTTTCGCTCACTCAGCTGCATTGCCGCTGCACTTGCATTGGCGTGTGTTTGTATGTGTGTGACTGAGAGCGCGAGTTACATCCATGCATATTTATTATTTGCTGTTACTGGTTTTTAATTTTTTTATTTTGAAAACATCATGCACATGCACACAAATGCAATTGACTTGCATTTACTGGCCGGGTGCTCCCAACTGGAATTTACAAGTTAATACATATGCAATTATTTATGGGTATATGTTTTACCATAATGCGTGATCTTCAGGACTGTTTTCTGGTCTTCGTGGTAGGCTTATAGTACTTTTCAAACTTACTGATTTCTGACTTATAAAGTAAAGGTTCTAAATGTAAGATACATCCTAAGATACATATGTACTTGTCTTCTTGGTATTTGCTTAGTTACTGAATGTTTACATAGTGTTTTTAAATTCTTCAAGACAACCAAATGTTTGATGGTTTTATGACAGCAGTCAAATATTGTTATCCGATCCCCCGACTCTTATATAATTAGGTAGCAGAGTTCCACTATAATAGGGTGATAGATAGTGAAAGGTCCTAATTGGTGTATGTGTACATACACGTGTTTGTAATGCAGGTAATTGTAATGGTCTAAATATTATTTAAAAATAACCGTCATTATAAGTATATAATGGTTTAGGTTACAGTTTAACCAATAGGTTCGTCCTAATTAAGTTCTGTTTAACTTATAGAACCATTTTTTGTTCTTATAAAAGTCCAAGGAAATAAAATCATATTTTTTTCTGTTAATTTTTTGGGTTTTCCATCATGTCAGCCTTTTTCTTTTCGTATACACACACACACATACACAACCTCACACATGTTCGGTTCGAGGAGGTCAGCTGAGTGCATTTGTTACTGCGAGCGACCCTATTAGAAATGTCGTAAATTGTAACTCTCACGCATTTTCTCCGCGCTCACACGCGCACGATCAGCTGATCAAAGCGGGGAGAAGTCAACGTAACACATGTACAAGGGAACAAAGAGCGACAGAGCTCGAAAATAACGAGTAAAAGAGGGCAACCCCAAAATGGAAAAGTATAGAGGCTCACTCAATTTAACATGACCACTCGGCCATTTTGAGTGGAATCAAATCAGGAATTTCAACTTATTTATATATTTTGTGTTTTAAATCAATTAGGCTAGCACAATGACACACATGCCAGGTGTAAGGCTAAAACAAAAGCCCGTGAGAGAGTGAAAAAGAGAGCGGTTTGTTGACCTCATTTTCGAGGGTTGAGTGACCTGTTTTCGTGCGGATTGAGTGTTTTGGCACCCCGAATGTCCTACATGTCTTAATTTCAATTAAATTATATGCCATAACTGCATTGTGTGTGTTTCACTTTAAAAATTGCTAAGTAGCTAGATATAAACATATTTGTATTTGAGTAGCGTTTCGCTCTTTCACTCGGGCAGCGCTCTCCCATTCTTTCGCTCTCGGTCGCCATTTTCCACCGAGCGCTGGCAGTTCTGCCGTTTCTACTTTTGTTTCATTCGTGAGTTGGATTTGAGTGCGTGCACAGCTGAAAAGCAAAATGCAAACGGCTGTATTTTCTATATACTCGATGCCACTGGTACATACATAGTGTGTGGAATCGGGAAAAGGTGCTGATGTTTATATAATTCTGAATATTATCATGCTGCGTTAGACTACAACTGAAATTAATTGGATTTCTATCTGGACCAGCTGGACCAGGGCATGCAAATCGCTTAAATTGTGTATGCATTAAGTTTTGTGCTCATCGCTTTGATTTTGTTATATTGTTGTACATACTGAGACTTATTTGTTCTCCTCCTCTTCCTTCTTCTGTAAGCCTTTGTGTGTGTGAGTGTGTACGTCGTCATGCGCTTGCTCTCGTTCGCTCTCTGTCTCGCACATGCAGCGCCGTGTGCTCCCTTCTTTTGCTTTTTTTCCGTGTTTTTTTTTTTGTCATTTTCCTCAATCGTCATTTAATTTTGACTCGATTTTTATATCGCATATTACATTATCGTCGAAATTAAGACGAATTAAATGTACAATAAGCGGTTATGCAGTTAACTTTTTTATTTCCGTTTTTCGTCGTGGAAAGTGCAGCAAAGCAAAGTGGTGTGTATAACTGTATATAACAGCAGTTGCACATGTGTCTATATGCTGTGTGCATATAATGCGTTGTGTAAAAGCCTGAAATCATGTGGGCATCGAACGGGATCTGAAGTTTTTCCCCTCCTGGCAACAAGTTTCTAATGCTTTTCGCAGACCTTGCCTCTAAAGCCCAAATATTCCCCAAGTGGCTAAAAAACCTTCACAGTTTAATTGTTGCATGTCCAGTGCTACCGAACGCCCACCCACCCACTCGATAGGGTTGCAAGGTAGCGTTGCTATTGCGTTCTTACGTCCAAGTTTATTCAACTACGTAATTCTCCATTGAAAGACTCCCCCGATTCGGTTCCGTAATCGAAGCATTTCAGGGTACAACCGAGAAAATACACTGCAAACAATTTACATTTAGTTTTTTTTTATTATTGATGTGAACTGGTGGTGTTTAAGGTTTACTATATAAAAAAATTAACTTCTAAAAACAAAGGCACAAGAAATTTGTTTAATAGTTCTTTTTTGTCGCAGTGGACACGTAAAATACATTGCATCTCGCTCGCACACTCAGCTGTGCGTAGGCAGGTTTTGTAACACATTGGAAAGAGAAAAAATAAAATGTCGACCTGATGGTGGAAGGGAAAATGGGAAATATAGAAAACTGGCTAGGGCAGCACTATTGGGACCAGCCTCAGTATGCGCTCGACTGCTTCTTTACAACGATATTCAAATAAGTTACAAACAATGCCAACAGCACAGCACGCACAATGCATAACGAACCGGGAAAATCGAGAGGGGGATGACTGAAGGAGGTAGCGCTCAGCGTACCACTCTCACACACACAAATTGTTATCAATTATGCTGGGCCAGGGTTGTCACCCTCTCTTTCAGCATATGACCCATAGATCTATCGGGGTTGCAGTCAGCTGTGGCAAATGGTTTGCTGCCCTACTGTCAAAGTTATCTTTCGCTAACTAAAAATTTTCAACTCATTGGTGGTAAAGTTTAGAACTTCTTACCTTTAACTACGTAAAACTAAAGGTTTTCGAAATTTGACACTCAAGAAATATTCATTTGTTTCCACTTTGTTTGGTGATTCCCAACACCAAATGGAAATAACAGCTGTATTCAGTCTAATGTATCTTCTTTTAACTACGTCATAGATTATTTCTGGATTTAACATCTCTCAGGTGGAGTAAAGTAAAGTAAACCTTTTGAAAAACAGTAAAGTCCAAACCAATTTTGACTACATTTGGTTTTCTGTTTAAGACCCTTCACGTTTCACAACTTCAATTGCTGATAAAGGCAGCCACAACCACAGAGCCAGTCGCCATATGTTGGAGTTGCCACACGCAAAGCAAAATTATACACACTAACAAAGCACACTTACACTGGTACACTCGTGCATGAAGGCGCTGCCATTTGTGGCCTCGCTTATTATTTTTTTTCGTCGGCGCTTTTCGGTGTGAAAAACTTGTGGGGCGGAGATACGAGTGGAGACTAATAGATGTAGATAGATTATATTGCCTGCCTGGGTTGGGTGTTTGGAACGAGCGACCGAGCGAACTATCGCGGTGTCGGCGCTGCCGAATTGAACAAATGTTTTCTAAATGATAGGATCTAGAGAAGTCCGCCATAAAGGTTTTACGCTGCTTTCGTGCTATGCGTTTCATGAATTATCTAAGTCGCCAAATAAAATGAATTCATGAACTGACCACAAGTGTTTATCTAGAAACCGAGATCAATAAAATGCTATAAATTTATCTAAAACATTAAACCTTTGATAAGATCCTCTGTATCTTAACATAAGATGTTAACCAGACTCTTCTCCAACTAGCAAAAAGCAAATAAAAATGTTGTCTCGGACAATTTTAAAATCGCGTACATCTTATTTTCCATCAAACCAAAACGGCTGACGTAGTCTTTTTGTTTGGGTTGCTGGTTTCATTTCGATGGCCTTGAACTGAATTTGTTGTATTCGTTGTTTTGTTGTTTGTGTTTTGGTGAGCTTGGCCACTTTGCCAAATGTTTGACGATTGGCTGTTGCGTTTTGTTTCTTTTTCGTGTTTGCCTGTCAAATTCGAGAGGAGCTGTCAGTGGGAGACGGCGAAACAGAAACCAGATCGTAAAAGGGCAGACATGTTGAAACTACGCATTTTTTTTATGTGAGCGATATGTATCGCTCGGTATACAGGGGGTTTTCGAGTGAGTTCATAATGTGCACGAAAAGGGCGCAGAACCAGAATCATGCAGAACACGTTCAAATCTCATCTTCTTTTTCGGCGAGTGGAACCAAGAGCAAAAAGGCAATAGTCTGCTCAGCTTGATTTTCTTTCATTTCATCTTCTTCGAAACAAGCATGGCAACTCACGAACACACGCTCGGAGAACTTGTTTCTCGCTCGCACACATATAGGAAGAAGGGGCAGATAGCCAACCCACACATGCACGGGCACGCTGGGCATTACGAAAGGAAAAATATAAACAAAACGGCCGAGAACAGCTGATTAACCCAGCTGTGCGCGAGTGTAAGTGTAAGTGAGCCAGCGCTCATCTTTCCACTCAAAACATTCGCTCTCGTTTTGCTCTCCCTCTCTCTATGTCTCTATTTTATTTTCTCGCTCGCTCTCGCATGCACGTGTCGGGGGCTGCTGACAAACAGCTGTTAACTTATTTACAGTTTTCATATGTTGACAGAGTGCTCAAGTGTGTGTGAGTGGTGGAAGCGCAGTTGTGTGTGTTTTCCGAGTGGTGGTGTGTATCTTTTTCTAGGTGGTGTAAACTCTCCATTGTTATCAGTTTTCCGTTTTTAGTTTTCATTGCTCCGCTGAGGTGCCAACATGGCTTTTTCTTAACAAGGTTGATCATTAAAGCTAACTAATTAAGTGTATTAAATTCACTTTTAAGTGCTTGTTTGTGGTAAATATGTAATCTAAATCGATCAATATCAATTCTTAACAGTGTTTCGTTAATATAAATATCATTATATTTATTGTAGTGTAAACCATCGTTAAGTAAATACAAAATATTTTTGAGTGTTTTAAACTAATATTCTTTGTTTGCGTTGTGCACAATTCAGTTTTCTAGTATGAATAAAACAACTTTTACTTTAAATATTTGTGAAATGTATATATTTGCCGTTAATATAATCGAATAGCCTAATTTGGACACCTCGGTCAATCAATAGTTGGCACCACTCATGCGGTGTGGCATTTTCCATTGTTTGCGAGTACCTGTCCTTAAAAACAGGGCTGGAAGTCAGACTTTGTGCAGTTGGCTTCTCGCTCTCCTGCCTCTCTTTCTCTTTATCTCTGTATCTCTACCCCTGATTTGAGATGAGCCGGTTTTTCACATTCACTTGAGGCCCCGGGGCCCGTATACCGTATTCCCCTTATCGCTTCTCTGTTTTTGGGACTACTAGCTCTCCGTTCTAGTGCCTCTCCTCCATTTGGGTATTACCTACATATCTCTCGACATTGTCAGCATTTCCTGTCTGCGACCCGATCACTTCGCTTGGCTGCGTCTGGCTATCGGAGTTCCTGGGGTGAGGCACTTACCAGATCCGTCTCCTTTGTGACTATATTTAAGTCGCATTTGCCTACAGTTTCTTAGACTTCTTGCATCGAGCATCGAACTAGGTTGTTTTGACAGTAGGAATTTTGCCAGACTAATTCTTTTTGAATCGCACTCATCGAACCGTCCTGGCTATGTCAATCAAGAGAAAATAAGTTTCCGATTCAACCAAAGACTAGAAATTCATTGTGTTTTGATTGAGAGAGGTTAGACTGTTCTTCTGTGTTTTCATTGTCATTGCACAGAAAACCATTAAATGCATTCTATTTTGTTACTTTGTGTCACTTTGTTTAACACCCCTTTTATTTCTCTCTCCTTTATTGCAGCACAAATTTCTACGAAGCACGCAGAAAGGAAATCGGCAAGGAAAACTGTGAATAGTGAAGTGAATGAAAAGAGAAAATTAGTGATTATGAAATAATATTGTTAATGAGAAGAGACAAGTAGCGAATTGAATTAAGTCAGCTTTAGAGACTCTTTCCATGTTATAGATAACGGGCCGATTCAGAGAAACATTTCGAGATCAATATTCAATTATTGGTTGTGTTGGCATGTTAAGTGTGTTCGATGCCGGTGCGGTTAAGTGTCGTCTATGGCCGAATCCGTTAAAAGTCAATCGCTCTCTGCATTGACGGAGGGGCAGCACGACGACGGTGGTTCCACATCAACCTCAGCGACATTGGCTAACAACACCAGTGCGACCAACACCACAATTTCATCCAATCACTCGTCTCAGCGGCGACGCAATAACAATACAAACAGCAACACCAGCAGCCACAGAAAGGGCCATAGCAAAAACAAGAAACGGAAAACACCGGACGCATCAGCAGGTCCTGCTGTAAGCTCCTCCGCCGACGTGGTCGCCGCCAGCTCTACAGCATCTCAAACCACCTCCACACGTCGATCCCGCAGTCAAGGTCGCCACTCCTCTGCAACAGCCCACAGCAGCAAGGACTCGCCGGTGAAGCGCACGGCAGCAGCCTGTCGTTCCCCGTCATCGCCAGCATCCAGCTTCATCCCGACTGTAGGCGACCAATCGCTTTCACCCGGCAGTCGTAAGCGTAACCATCCTTTGCACAGCATCAACAGCAGCAGCCGTTTTCGCAATAGCAACCAATGTGAGTATTCTTAGCTATCACCTGCTTCATATTTGTATAGGGAAATCTCGAGAAGTAGGATTTTTAATACCTGAGTAGAGCTTTAGGATGTTATAGAAAATACATTTATCTAATTATTGAGATTCGGTTGATCTAAAAAAGAAGAAGCCCGTATGTATTATCTTCCGAAAGATAGAAACTGGAAACTCGTAGCCAAAGTAATGAAATCGTCCACTATGCAAGGTTATCAATTTAGATTTACGATATTAAAAAATAAGACTAAACGGACTGTATGTTAGAAGTTTTTTCTAAGCAATAAGGTTAAAAATAATGAAAAGGTTTTGAAAGAAATATTTCTTTGTACTCAAAGTACTATGATATAAAAACAGGCGCCAAAACAAAGTAATTAAACAATGTATGGATTTCATTTAAAGCTAAAAAACATTTTGAAAAGTAAAGATTGCTTCTCTTATTTTATAAATGTACAGATTCTGTAAACTTTGTCTGGGTAGATGTTTCGGTTTACGAGAAATCGATCATATCGAAAAGGGTAATAGAATATCACGAAGTAAAAGAATTGTATTTGCTTAAGTCTGGGCGAGGTACAAATTTGAAAATGTTTAAAGAGAAAGCGATACTCTAAACTAAAAAAGGACACACTTCATCTGAGTTAGTATTTAATTTTGCACATAAAAACAACAAAGTTCCTGCTATACTAAAAATTTATCAAAGGAAATGATAATACAATTGCTACTTTGACTTTTCTAAATTCATCAAAGTGCTTTTGTTTGTTTGTCCAAATTTTAAAACCAGTGAATCGTTTCCCCATCCCCGTCCGTAAAAAAAAGTCACAATAAAAAACTGAAAGGCAGTCGATCCAGTCAAAGTAATAATCCGAATTCAAATTGATTTTCTTCAATGCCTTTTTCAGCGGCACCCGGAGGAGATCAGTTGGTGGAGCTTTGCTCGCCTCTCAAGAAGCGCCGCTTGCAGCAGTCCTTGGGATCAGGAGTCGCCGGAGGAGCAGCTGAAGTTGGCCTAGCTGCAGAAAGCACAGACCAGACACCTCGTCAGGCATCCGGAGACTGTGTTGCTCAGCGCACTCGGTCCAAAACTACTTCCCCGGAGGAGCTGCCGAGTACAAGCAGCGCTGCGGCTGCGCGCCAGCATAATCAGTTACGGGCCAGTGCCAGCTCTACCAGCTTACCGACCAGCAATCGGAACAAGCGCAAGGCCGGTGGCGGAGGATCGCGAGCTGTGGTTGAGACCACTCCCCACCGAGGAGCAGCAGTTGCTCGCGCCGGTCGCAACGGCAATCTGCTAAACTATTACCGCAAAACGCGCAAGGTTAGCCACACGCGCGCCACCCAGAAGCAGGAGAAGCAGTCAGTACAGACGGAGGAGACGGCCGCCACCAGCCGGAACGGATCAGTGGGATCCGGAACCAGCATTAAATCCGGTGGGATTAGCAAGAACAGAAAGAATCTGCGCCACTCACAGCAGAATCTGCTGGACACAGAGGGCACAGGAGCAGAAGGATCTGGTGCTGAAGCTGGAGTTAAGGAGCAACAGCCGGTGCAAGGGAATCTGAACGTGGAGGACCAGCTGGTGATCCTTGAGACAGCAGAGAATCAACCAGAGGCACCAGTCAACCACAGCCAGGGTCAGTTGGAGCCGGAGGGCCAATCAGAGGCGCAGGACGACAACGAAGACGACGAGGAGGACGACGAAGAAGAGGAAGAAGAGGAGGAAGAGGAGGTGGGATTCTACGAAATCGTAAACTCTGCGGGCTCGTCTTACGAGGAGGACCCCCAGATCGTTGCCGAGGAGGACGAAATTACAACTGAGGAGGACGTCGACGACGAGGAAGACGACGACATCGAGGAGGACGAAGACATCGAAGAGGAAGACCTCTCGGAGAGCGAATTCGCCCAGCAACTGATTGGTGAACTTGGTGGTGAGTCTCCGTGGATTATATATCCAGCGCATAGCATCCAGCATCCATCTCCCATTTATCCGTATATTGTATGTATGTAGTTGTATTTTGTTACCATTGTTGTAGTCTGAATGTAGCATAGCTCTTAAATTGATACTTTCAAAAAATCCCCAACATTTTATATTAATTTAATTTCCATTGGGTTTTGCTTTCCATTAACAGTTTTCTTATAAATTATAACTCCTTATTAGGTTTTAAACTAACTTAGGTTTTACCTAACTGCTGATTAGTTGATATGAAGTTGTATAAAGTTATTATTATTCTTTTCTTATAACAATCGGTTAAGGATTATTTTCGAAAAGATTACAGTTAAGGCGTTGTTTATATCGCCAGGGTTGCCACCCCGTTTCGGTTATAGCTTTTTCCTACAAAGCTGTTGGCATAATGTGATTTTTATTGACTATCAGTTGGCGAATTCCTTATCAAAAGCGAAAAATACGTACACTTAGACATTGACTAAGCATTTATTCTGCGAAGTGCCCTCGCCCTGTCGCCGTTCATTCGTAATTCGCCATTCCCCAATGTCTACTGTAGTGTTTTTGTGATTTTGATAAAAGTGGAATTGTTCGGAATTCGCACTCAAATATACCAACGACAAGCGATCGGCTGGCAGTCTAAATTCGTTCGCTTCGCCGTCTGGAACAGAATTATATATACTACATATCCCCGTATTTGTATATAGAATTGCGCTGATTAAAAAGTTCGTAGCTGAGGAGTACTCTACTTTTTGCTTGCTCACTCTCATTGCATGTATGTAATTTACAATTTTTGGTTCAAGGAAGTCTCTAACACACGGAAAGGGCCCAGAACTTTGGCTGTGCTGTCACCTGTGGCCAACTTGCCACATTGCCATTTCACCCAACCCTTCACCCATATCTACCACAGCCATTTGTATTATTTAATTTTTCCTTTTTATCCAAAAGCAAAGAAACGCCCACATTACATTTTAATAACCCCATATGTGAATCACATTATATTCATTCTACGATAGACTTTATTTATTATTTATGCGAGAGTCGCACAGAGTGTCCTGCCTATAGGGTTCTGTTTTGTGTGTTTAATTTTGAAATTTGATTTCGATGCGGGGACCAGAGTTGAAGGAGACACTGTGGGTTAAAGCGCAATATCGCTACCAAAAAGTGTTAAGCAATATTATCTACGCATTTATATAAGCCCCATATTCATTTAACCCCTTAAAAGAAAAGAATCTTAAAAAACAATAATGTTTATTTTTGCACGTTGTTGTTGTTGCCAGTGTAGTTGTTTCCATTTAATTGAGCCACCAATAATAATTATGATTTCTAGTTTAAAAGTGATTAAATATAAATCTCTTCTTATCACATAACTTCTGAGTCAAAGATACTTTTAATTGCTGATGCTTGTGTTGTTGATGATGATGATGATGATGTTGTTGTTTTTGTGCAAAAACAATAAACCGCAGCGAAAAGCCGAAAGATTCGCGGTGTCAGCAAAGGCGACTTGTGTAAAGCTACTGTTTGGGCAGCGTAGTTAAAGAGAGAGAGTAAAGCAGCAGTGCAGCAGCAGCAGCAGCAGCAGCAGAGACGGCAACAACAACTTAAAAGCAGCAGCAGCAGCAGCAACAACAACGTGCAGCATATAAACATAAATCAAATCAATAAAACAAAAAAAAAAGGACCAACGAGAACACGGCCGGGTGTGTGTGTGTGCGTGTGCTTAGATTAGTGTGGGAGAGATCAGCAGCAACTGTGAAACTGCAACTGCAATTTCAGAAGCGACAGCAGCAACATCATCATTGTCAGCGACAGAAGGTCGTTCAGTCTCCTCTCCTGATTTCCCCTTGCCATTACCTTTTTCAAAGCCAAACACACACAGCGCTCAAAATAATACTTTTTGCATTACATTAAACAATAATAATGAAAAAAAAAAAACAAGTCAAACCAACTAACTCAAGTAGTGTAGCTGCAAGAAAACAATAACAAAAGCAAAAAAAAAAAAAAAAATTGAAAAACTTCAATAAATAAAGCTGTTAACTGTTGTCTCCCACTACTCTCTCTCTCTCCACTCCCTTTACCCCATTCTCTCTCTCACTTACACATATCCCCCGCCCACACTTGACTCGTGAAGGAAAACAACAACAACAAGAAGAACAAGAACAACCACAACGTGCCAGCAACAACATTAAAACAACCAAGAACAACACATTAGCGGCAGGAACAAACAATATAAAGGCGACAGCAACAGCAACAACGTCGTCCGGCTATCAGCAACGTGCCGCCCCCCATGGACAGGGGGCGGGGCCAGGCGTTGGAGGGGGTGGGCCACGTGCCACGCGCAGCAGCAATAGCAACAGCAGCAGCAACAACGTTGTTGACTACAGCATTATGCCGCACCTCACAACGGCCACAACAACCACGGCATATGCCTTGACACCCCAGCAGCAGCAGCAGCAGCAACATCAACCGCCACAACCTCCGTCGCAACAGCAACAGCAACAACAAGCACACCAACAACAACAACAACAGCCACCTCAATTGCTGCCCACACATCAGTTTGCACACTTGTCTTCCTTTGTGACACCAACAGCAGCGGCAGCAGCAGCGGCGGCGGCGCACTATCCCCCAGCTACTGCTGCTGCCGCTTACTTTGCACAGCAGCAACACCATCAGCATCATCAGCATCAGCAACACGTGCAACAGCAGCAGCCACCGCAGCAGCACTATTACCATAGTTCTGTGGCCGTGTTGCATCAACCTCCACCGCACCATTTTACCTCCTCAGGGGCAGGACCACCGCCGGCACTCTACCAGCAACAGCCTCCGCCGCAGCTTACGCGCTACACGCCGGCAACAGCAACTACAGCAGCCACGTTTGTGCCTCCACAGCAGCAACAGGTTGCTTACAATCCGCAACAGCAGCAGCAGCACTCCTCACTGCGACGCAGTTCACGTGGCAAGACGGGTTCTTGTGTGAGTTCGGCAGCAGCAGCACAGCAGCAGCAACACCACCAGCAGCAACAGCAACATAGCAACGCTGCTGCTGCTGTACAGCAGCAATTGCTGCCACCGCCTGGTACCTATCAATACCAACAGGTGGGCGGCAATACCGTTGTAGTTGCCGTGCGTCATCAGCAACAGTTGCAACAGCAGCAGCAGCAGCAGCAACAGCAACAACAGCAACTGGCCTTACATCAGCAACATCAGCAGCAACAACAGCAGCAACAGCAGCGTGCCACGCTCGTCCAGCCAGGATTCTTGTTCAGCTATCGCAGCAATCATCCCCAGCAGCAACAGCAACCGGCGCAACCGATACATCAAGGCCCCAAAGTGACGCATAGCAGTGGTAAGATGATGGAGGAGGAAAAGAAGGATGAAAGGAAGAGAGACCGCAAGCAAACCAGGAGCCAAGGGCCCCACTCCTTTTTAGAATGGGGCTAATTAAAGCTGAGGAGAGTTTCGAATAGGGGTGCACTTTTCAGAAAAGGGCTGTTAGTCCCTTAAAAGCTGCTCCTTCAAAGAGAGGAAATGATAGCACACACACCCACTGCAGGGCTTAGGAGTTGAAGGGTTAGTTGTGGTCCGCTATTTGATTTTCTGAATTCATTTTGTGATTTTTCGGTAATTTAAATTCACCTTCGGTAGTGAAAACTGTAACATACTGTACAAATTATAGCGTCTGGTCTCACTCTCAATCTCTTATGGTGCTGGTCATAGTCTAGGTGATAATAAACCCATATTGTACTGAAAGAAAAACAAATTACACAATTACACACCCCAAAAACACACCAACCCCTTATCCCCTCTCTCTCTATGTCTCTCGCTCGCTCATTCCTGCGTTGCTTTGCTCGCGGTGTCTGCCCAAATAATTCCCAAAACTGAACTGAACCATAGTTAATAGTAAATAGTTAATAGTAAACTTAATTTTGTTTTGCTCTGTTTTCTCTCTACCACCCGCTCTCTGTCTCCATCTCCGTCTTCGTCTTCGTCTCCTTGTCTGAATAGCAGCTTCGGATGCTTTAACATATAGTTTGATGGCACAACAACCGCCAAGTGGACCGCCGCATGCAGGTGGACAGCAAATCACGCCAGGTAAACGTACAACCCAATCGATCAGTATACATACACATATGCACAATCTCCGCCCATACACACACCCACACACATATTGCCTTGCTTTGATTTTATTTCACCCACGCTGAAAAGCCCCCACTCTCACCACACAAAGGGCAACCTCCAGGTGGCAGCACACTTGATCTTTTCACCCATTGCCTTACCTAATTTGTAAAATACTTTTAGACTATTTAAGTTTTGCTGTTTTAGCTACGACTTAGTTTACTTTATCTAAACCCACTTACCACCCTCCCACTAACACAGATTATTCTGGTCGTAACTATGTTTCTAAATTCTAATCATAATGCTATACTCTTACTTTATACCTTTTACTTTGAAATTCGATTTTAAATTCGGCCTACAAAATATAACTTTCTTTTATTAACAAATTACTCCTTCAATTTAGATCTTAACATATTTATTCCACATTTTTTATTTCGCCGCTTCAAAATTTTTTGACGTCAATAAAACCTGATACAACAAACATTCAAATATGTCTACCTTATCCTTTACTGTTTGTTTTGACATATTTGTTTCATGTTTTTACTCGCACTCCAATTCAAATCCCTTAACCTTCGAACCTATTGATTCCAAACTTCATGTCGAATTACAATTTTAATGATGAACTTTTTGCCTTCATTCATGACGCCGCTCTAGGTGCCAACTCAGCCAATCTCAGCATTGTAGCGGCCGCTTTGAGTGCCGCCCGTGACGTAGCAGGAGGAACTGGCGGTGGAGTATCAGGAGGGGGAGCTGGAGGAGCAGTGACAGCAACTGGAGCATCAGCTGCAAGCGGAGTAACCACCAGCGCCGTGGGCGCGACCAGCAGCAGCAATAGCAGTGCCGGCCAACCAGCCAGCAACAGCAGTAGCAGCAATGTGACTGGAGCGGGACAAGGGTCGGCTCCTGGCGGAGGACCCACAACCACCGGTACAAGCAGTGGTGGTCAGCATGGTAGCGGAGCAGGAGGTGCTGCAACTGCTGACTCGGAAAGTGATGATAGCGAGGTGGGTCGCCTGCAGGCATTGCTTGAGGCTCGCGGACTGCCGCCTCATTTATTCGGCGCCCTTGGCCCAAGGATGACGCACATTCTACACCGCACCATTGGTAACAGTAGCAGTTCGAAAGCCAATCAACTCCTGCAAGGACTGCAATCCCACGACGAATCCCAGCAGCTGCAGGCTGCAATCGAAATGTGCCAGATGCTGGTTATGGGCAATGAAGATACCCTGGCCGGCTTTCCAATCAAGCAAGTGGTCCCAGCTCTGATCCAACTTCTTCGTATGGAGCACAACTTTGACATCATGAACAATGCTTGCAGGGCATTGGCTTACATGCTGGAAGCCTTGCCCCGATCCTCCGGCACTGTGGTGGAGGCAGTTCCCGTCTTTCTGGAGAAACTTCAGGTCATCCAGTGCATGGATGTAGCGGAGCAAAGTTTAACCGCGTTAGAGATTCTGTCCAGGCGTCACAACAAGGCCATCTTGCAGGCAAATGGTATTTCGGCCTGCCTCACCTACTTGGACTTCTTTTCGATTGTGGCTCAGCGAGCAGCCTTGGCAATTGCCGCTAATTGTTGCCTAAACATGCATCCGGAGGAATTCCATTTCGTTGCGGAAAGCTTGCCCCTACTAGCTCGCTTGCTGTCGCAGCAGGACAAGAAGTGTGTGGAGAGTGTGTGTTCTGCCTTCTGTCGCCTGGTGGAGAGTTTCCAGCACGACAGCCAGCGTCTACAGCAGATCGCTAGTCCAGACCTCTTGAAGAACTGCCAGCAACTACTGCTGGTCACACCAGCCATCCTGAACACAGGAACCTTCACAGCCGTGGTGCGAATGTTGAGCTTGATGTGTGGCAGCTGCCCGGATTTGGCTATCTCTCTGCTAAGGAATGACATTGCGGCTACCCTTCTCTACTTGCTTACCGGAAATGCAGAGCCAGCTGCTGCCAGTGCCACTCATGTGGAGCTAATCTCACGTTCACCTTCAGAGCTTTACGAACTTACCTGCCTCATTGGTGAGTTGATGCCGCGTCTACCCTTAGATGGAATCTTCGCTGTGGACTCGCTATTGGACAGGCCTACGCTTAACACACAGGATCAGGTGCACTGGCAGTGGCGCGATGATCGCGGTTCATGGCACAACTATTCCACAATTGATTCGCGTCTGATTGAGGCTGCCAACCAGAGCAGCGAGGACGAGATCAGTCTAAGCACTTTTGGCCGCACTTACACTGTGGATTTCCATGCCATGCAACAGATTAACGAGGATACGGGCACCACTCGTCCCGTTCAGCGTCGTCTCAACCACAACTATGTGGCTCCCATGTCTGCAGGACAGGACTTGACCACCACTGCGGCAGGATCAGCTTCAGGGGGAGCTTCCACGTCCGCTGCCGCTGCGGCAGCTTCGTCCAATAACAATAACAACAATAATAATCCACCAGGAAGCAGTGGTAATCAAGTGAAGCGCCGCCCATCGCTGGACGCCAGGATTGCATGCCTCAAGGTTAGTACTTAATTCTTTTTAATAAGAAATGTTAAATAGTAATGTTCGTTTTACGCTTTCCTAGGAGGAACGTGGACTGGCTGCAGACTTTATCAAGCACATCTTCAACGTGCTCTACGAGGTATACAGCTCTTCGGCCGGACCGAATGTCCGATACAAGTGCCTGCGCGCTCTTCTTCGGATGGTGTACTACGCCACGCCGGAGCTTCTGCGTCAGGTGCTCAAGTACCAGCTTGTCTCTAGCCACATTGCCGGCATGCTGGGCAGCAATGATTTGCGCATCGTAGTGGGAGCCCTCCAAATGGCTGAGATCCTGATGCGCCAACTGCCTGATGTCTTTGGCACTCACTTCCGTCGCGAGGGTGTTATCTACCAGTTCACTCAGCTGACGGATCCAAATAATCCCATATGCGCGAACCCCTCGCCGAAACCTCTAAGCACAACAGCCACGCCCAGCGCCAATGCAGGCGGATCACAATCGGCTCCGGCCTCCGCCAATAGCCTGCAGGTCAATCCCTTCTTTATGGATAATGCGCCAGGATCGTCGAGTGCTTCCACAACTCCCAGCAGCAGCAAGCATCAATCGTACAGTGTGAAGAGTTTCTCGCATGCCATGAACGCCTTGACTGCCAGCGCCAAGGGAACTCCTGCAGGAGCGTTGGACGCCACAGGAACCTCTGCACCGGCTGGGGGCTATAACTACAGCAGCTCGGCGCCCTCTTCATCCTCGACAACTGGACCGACCGGTGCCTTTTTTGTGGCACAACAGGGAGATCCCCGCCAGTACGTGCACTTTCAGCAGCCGGCAGTTCCACCACCACCCCCACAGTTGGAGCTTCTGCCAACTGGAGTTCAGCAACAAGGACAACAGGTGCCTCAGGTAATTTACCAGCCACAACAGCAACAGCCTGCCCACTTGGTGGTGGCTTCCACCAGCAGTGCTGCTGCCTCAGCGTCGTCGTCATCGTCCTCCTCGTCCTCGGCTTCGGCACTGCAGCACAAGATGACGGACATGCTAAAGCGAAAGGCGCCTCCTAAGCGCAAGTCGCAAAGCAGCGGTAGAGCAAAGGCCAGGCAAGAAGATGCTGCAGTCGCAGCAGCGTCTGGAGCAGGAGCACCAGTCTCGTCTGCCAGTTCAGCTATGCACGAACTTCTCAGCCGAGCCACAAGTAAGTATATTGGTCAATTCTCTTGCCACTGCATACCTTAATTTCTTTTCCTTAAAACTAATTCAACGAATTATTTCAACTTTAGGTCTTGGTAGCGGCACCGGTGGCAGGAGTACACCCAGCTCGGGCAGTGGTTCTGGTAGCTCGAAGTCTCGCTTTAATGCCGGAAACTCGACCAACGCCGGTTCGAGCAAATCCTCGTTCCTGGCTTCATTCAATCCGGCTCGCTGGGGCCGCCAGACTGCCCATCATCATCACCACAATCAGCAGTCGCAGCAGCAGCACCACGGCCTTTCTAAAGACTCGGGCAACGCTAACTCTAGTGGATCCAGTTCTGGAACCGGTCTGGCCTACACGGTGGCCCAGCATGGCTCTGGCAGTGGAGCAGGAGGACTAAACGCAGCAGCTGTTGCTGCCAGTATCAGCAAGAGTATCTCCCATGCCAATCTCCTAGCGGCGGCCAACAGGGAAAGAGCACGTCAGTGGGTGCGTGAGCAGGCAGTAGATTTTGTGAAGCGCTACACAGAGCAAGAGGCAAAGAGGTGTAAGGCTGCTTCGGAAAGTAGTGCCACCCAAAGTGGAAGCAGCGGAGTGGCATTATCTTCAGCAGGAAATACTCCACTGTCTACAGCGGGCAGCACCAACGTTTTGGAGCGTCTGTCCAGCATTCTGTTTAAGCTCAACGGGAGCTACCACGACTGTCTCGATGCTCTCCTTGAGCTGAAGACCATCCTGTTGGAGAGCGACATCTCTCCATTCGAAGTGAATCATTCTGGCCTTATCAAAGCCATGCTCAACTATATGACTAGCGAAACGGGATTGGTGGAGCGCGATGCACGCCTGCGTAGTTTCATGCACGTCTTTGCCGGTCTGCCGTTGGAGCCTCTTCTCCAGAATGTCGGCCAGATGCCCACGATCGAACCGTTAGCGTTCGGCGCCTTTGTAGCCAAGTTAAACGGCTGTGTGACGCAACTAGAACAATTCCCAGTCAAGGTACACGACTTCCCCGCCGGTCCGGGGGGTAGGTCCAATCAGAGCGCGCTGCGCTTCTTTAACACTCACCAACTAAAGGTAAGTAATGTTGTCACTATATTCCCGTCTTACTGTGATAACGATAAATTGAAATTTTCAAATCTTTTATTTTCTAGTGCAATCTACAACGTCATCCCCAGTGTACCAATCTGCGTCAATGGAAAGGCGGCACTGTAAAGATCGACCCGTTGGCCATGGTCCAGGCCATCGAACGGTATCTGGTAGTGCGCGGCTACGGAGGCATCCGTGCGGACTCCGACGACGACAGTGAAGAGGATATGGATGATAACGTAGCAGCTGTGGTGATGACCCAGGCTGGCTTCAAGCACAAGCTTCAATTCACTATCGGGGATCACGTCTTGCCCTACAACATGACCGTCTACCAGGCGGTTAAACAGTTCTCGCCTCTGGTCAGTGAGCAACCGGAGACCGACAACGAGTCGGAGACGCTTTTAGGAAACGCTAGCATTTGGGTGCAACAGCACACCATCTACTACCGCCCCGTGGAGGAAGAAGTCGCTTCGGGAGGGGCAGCGGGAGCAGCTTCCACCAGCAGCTCGTGTAGCAGTGGCGTGCAAAAGCAACAGAGCACCTCCAGTTCCGCTTCCAGCTATGCAAATGCCTCCTCGTGCTCTTCATCGTCTGGAGTCGCCAGCGGTGGGGGATCCTCCTCAAAGAAGGCCCATAAATCTAGTAGCAAGTTCATGCGCAAAAAGACTGAGCTCTGGCATGAAGGAATAGCTCCCGGAGTGATATCGGCTCTTAAGCCCTTCCTGAGTAGTTCGCTTCCAGCTGATGTGGTAACCGTTCAAGATTCATCGCTGGATGCATTGTGTATGCTGCGAGTGATCCACGCCCTTAATCGCCACTGGGAGCACCTTTACGGCTGTGTTGTCCGTCAGAACATCATCCCCCAGGCAGAGTTTGTACATCCGAAAATCACCGCCAAGGCGAATCGACAGTTGCAGGATCCGCTTGTGATCATGACAGGCAACCTACCGCAGTGGCTGCCCCAAATAGGCATGGCCTGTCCTTTCCTTTTCCCCTTCGAGACGCGTCACCTGCTCTTCTACGCCACCAGTTTTGATCGGGATCGCGCTTTGCAGCGTCTGCTGGACACCACACCCGATCTGAATGCAGCAGAGTCTTCAGAACGAGTTGCTCCTCGCCTTGATCGCCGGAAGCGTGCGATTTCCCGGACGGAGATACTAAAACAGGCCGAGCACATCCTCCAAGACTTTGGGCACTCTAAGGCCTTGCTAGAGATTCAGTATGAGAATGAAGTCGGCACGGGCTTAGGACCCACACTGGAATTCTACGCGTTGGTCTCTGCTGAGCTACAGCGCACAGATCTTGGGTTATGGAATGGCAGCGATAGCTACAAACAGAACTCTGTTACCATCGTGGATGTGGTGAAGGCCAGCACTGTGTTGCACATTGAAGATGCCCTCGAGGCAACTACCATGGACCACAGCCCTCCGTCGGCGGGCGGAGCAACGCTTGTAAGCAGCACTACCACCACCACAACAACAGCAACTGTGCAGCAGCATCCACCTACGCGCTCCAGCAGTCGCTCACATGTCTTACGCAGTGCAGCTGGCCAACAATTACTATCCCAACCGGTGGAGCACAGCTCCTCCAGCGCCGGCGCTAATGAGAATGCTTTAAATATGATTATCGCACAGCAATTCAGTGATATGAACACTGCTGACCCAGCAGCAACTGATAACCCCAGTAGCACCACTACTACAACAACCAGTGTAGTGGAGCAGAACACCAATACGAATCACAACAATACCACCACGACCACAACAACAACCATGATGAGTTATGTTCATGCGGTGCATGGCCTGTTCCCTCTGCCTCTGGGTAAATCCTCAAAGCTTCCCCAGATGACCAAGGCCAAGGCCAAGTTCAAGTTCTTGGGCAAGTTCATGGCCAAGGCTGTGATGGACAGTCGCATGGTAGGATAATTAAACTTTGTTCCTTAAATCTGTTCTAATTGGCTTGTTTTTCTCCGCCTTAGCTGGACCTGCCCTTCTCGTTGCCATTCTATCGCTGGCTGGTCAGCGAAGAGCATTCGATTGGCCTGGCCGATCTGATGCGTGTGGCACCAGAGGTGCAAAACACTTTGGTCCGTCTGCAGGATTTAGTTCGCCAGCGGGAGTACATTTTGTCCGATCCAAACATCGATGCCATGGAGAAGACAGAAAAGGTGAGTAATGCTATATTCTTAGTTTTAATTTGTAGATGTCTGGACAAAATTAGATAGGATTCTTCCTTCCAAATGTATAATATTTTTATCGGCGATCCGTTGACATGATTCTAAGAAAACATTGTTGAACTGCTCTGTAATTAATTTATAAATTTTCAGATTGAACAGCTGGACCTAGACGGCTGCCCAATTGCAGACCTAGGTCTAGACTTCGTACTGCCCGGACATGCCAACATTGAGTTGTGTCGTGGCGGTCGCGATACACCTGTCACTGTGCACAACCTCCACCAGTACATCTCGCTGGTCACTTACTGGTTCCTCATCGAGGGTGTCCAGAAGCAGTTCGAGGCATTGCGTGAGGGTAAGTTAGACACAATTTTTCAGCACAAAATATGACTAAAGCTTTTGCCCATAGGTTTCGATTCCGTCTTTCCGATCCAACGTCTACGCATGTTCTATCCCGAGGAGCTGGAGTGTGTGTTCTGCGGATCGGCTAGCGAGCAACAGCATTCGCGGTGGGAAACCAAGATGTTGCAAGACAGCTGTCGCACTGATCATGGATTCCACCAGGAGTCGCAGGCTATTCAATATCTATACGAGATCCTGGCATCATACAACCGCGACGAGCAGCGCGCTTTCCTGCAGTTCGTGACGGGTTCACCACGTCTGCCGACTGGCGGGTTCAAGGCCCTGACGCCACCTTTGACTATCGTCCGCAAGACGCTGGATGGAAACCAAAACCCAAATGATTATCTACCATCTGTGATGACCTGTGTCAACTATCTTAAGTTGCCCGACTACTCCAGTCGCGAGGTGATGCGGCAGAAACTGAAAGTGGCCGCCAACGAGGGCAGTATGTCCTTCCACCTCTCTTAAGCAAGCAATGGAACAAACCCGAATCCCTTGCCCTGAAGACCACATCTGCAGCAGCAACACAAAAGGAAACACTCCAGATAATACTAAATTGGACATCAGTCGCCTTTTTTCCAAGCGCTACAAAACTTCTGCAGATTGGCTTAATTAGATGGGGCATATTTGTTTTTTTTTTTCTTACGAAAGTTACTCTCACCGCCCGCGCTTCTACCCGCCCATTCAGGTTCCGTTTTGCCAAGCGCGCGCCATTCTAAATTTCAATATAAATATATAATTAAAATATATTTTTTAATACCAAGTTTTGCAAAAGAAAGAGAAGAAACGAAAGGAACGAAAAAAGGAAATTAGTGCCGACGGGGATTAAGTCAAGAAAGAAACTAATGATGGATTACACTCATACCTCTCCCAATAATGTTACCTTAAATAAATTGAATAGTTCAAATTGATTATTCAAAAGGCGATCATTTGTCCACCCAGAAGCGCACAGAGCGATAAATTATCGATCCGAGCTTTGCGTTCGTTCTAGTTAAATTTGTTTTAGTTGGCTTTCCATCATTATTATTACTCTCATGCTAATTCTAATACCTACTGTAATCAAAGAATTATTTTATTAAGTTTTTTGTTTGTTATGTTGAACCTTTTTCTCTGGCGTTTAAATACGAGTTTAATTAATTTGTAAGCATAAATATTGCATAAACGCTTATTAGGAACGAAAATGAATGGAAATAGAACGGAGACGAGTAACTGTAGCATCGGAGGTAGAGGAGGAAGAGTAGCCGTTATATGGAAGAGGGAGAATTCATCATTATTTACGTATAGCAACCCAAACTAAATGATCTAAATAAAAACGCCCACCCTTGAAAGTTACATTTAAAGAATTAAAAATATATTAAACATAAATATAAATATACCTTAATGATCTATCTTGCATGCCTACAAGAAAATTGAATGCAAACATTGCAAGCTGTGTTACATAAAAAACAAACAAAACTAAAAAACAAAAGCCATCATGGGTGTATGTTTAATTTGAAGATACCGAGAATTGGATTAAGGGAAAGCAGAAGGAAAGAAGTTAGTGTTTAGTACACATCCCTTTTACATAAACTATGCTTACAAATATATAAATATAATATATTTAAACTGTAACATTACATTTATTGTACTTGAAGCATATACATACATTTTTGTGTTGTCTAACAAAAAGGAACAGAATGCTAATAAATAAATTAAATAAAAATGGATTAACTTATGAAACTTACATTAAACTAGATACAAATCTTTGCAGTACTGAAAACTGATTACTGACATGTGGTATATATACATATAACTATAAAATCATATATATAAATAATATAATTACACTTAACTGAACACAATGGCATCTCTCGAGGCGCTGGTCAAGTTATAACATAAAAATGTTAGAATTAAATTATCAAATAACATTAATATTACATTATACCTTACATCAACAAACACATTTGCTCCATGATATCGACAAGAAAGTAAAACAAACAAACCAAGAAGCAAACAAATAAAAACAAAATGATTATACGAAACAAATATTGTATTTATTCGGACTTTCCATGATTTCACATATGTTTGAAACATTTGGCAGTAATATGTGATACAAAAGAGGGATTTTCTCCAAGTTCCATCATCTAGATCGATATCCATTCGTTTTGGTATTCAAAATGGTAGCAACAATATTATTTTCAACTGAATCAAGAACGAATGTAATCTAGGTCAAGAACTTTCGGTTTAGAACAACCAATTTTTGGGCACTTGAAAAAAAAAAAAAACAAAATTGGGTAAAGTTGATATTATATTAAACCCCATCCCATCCTTTTAGTTGAATATTTTAATTTAATTTAACATGCGCGTCATGCGGAGTAAGCTGTTCATTTTGGTAAATTTCTAATGCTGCCACGATAAATAAATTAGACACAACAGTTAAAATATAATTAGCAATTATACAAATTTAACTTAATCTACAGATTAGTTTAGCACCCATTGAAATAAAAACCTGTAGGTTATTTGTTAAAAAATATGTAATTTTCAGAACAATGCAAAATAAAAGTTGGAGTCCTTCACAGACTTTTTTTATTAAAGCTCAAGGAACATACATTTGTATATAAAAGATATATATTTTTCGAACCTTTAGTTTGGTCAGATTCACTTCTTTAAGTTTTTCGTTTTAATTTATTTGTATTTGGAAAAATTCTTTTGAGTCTTCTCCTTCTTGGTCTCCAAATTAGCCTCTTCGCCAGGGAGTTAGGATGAGTGCCAAGGCGTCTGAAGTAGCTTTCAGCATGCGTTCGACAAACATCGCCTAGTTTGGAAAAATTACTCTTCTGGTCAAGATATTCTCTTTATCTAACTTGGGTTGCATACTTTTAGGCCTAAGGCAATACATATGCATTATCGGTGCATGATAAATGTCCGCTTTTGGGAAAAAAGTTAAAATAATACAAAGTGTCATAAAAAATGGTGGCATAAATTTGTAATTAAGAAAGTGACAAAATTTTCCGATTTAAAAATATTACAAAAACATTGTCGGATTCCTAAAACTGAGGTTTTCAAAGAAAGACACGACTATTCATTTCTAAAAGTTTTACGAAATCTTTTGATTGGTTTAATGCTTATCACATCTGTTAGCAACAAGAACAAGTAACTTATTGTTACTAGGTAGTACTCTGGAAACTTGAGGGAGAAGCGGTGAAGAAGCTCCTAAGACCTTTGATACACATTATATTCATATACATATATTAATTAAATAAATAATAACAAATCTATTCTGATACATAATTTTTGTTAATTAGTTTTATTTTAATTATTAGTTTTATTTTAAAATGTAAAAGTTGAACAATTTTCGTTGAATCAAAGCAATGTAGGTTTTTAAATTAATTGTACTAGTGAATCAAATTTATCAAGAAATTAATAAATTCCTTGACCTAAAATTTAAATAGGTAAAAAAACATAGGTATTTGGTGACTTCTAGAATCATAATAAGGGGAATATTTCACCTCAAACTTGCCTTAGTAACAAGGCAGATAGGGAAACTATGTACGTATTTTTATATACGAGTGAGTTACTCCTTTCGGCAATCGTTGTTATGGCTACCAAGTTGGCGTTGCTGGTTGTCATTGAGACGGCAAACGAAGCAAATGGAATTCTGAAATGAGTTCATAATTCCACACCAGTAGAAAATAACAGCCCGTAGAACAGTGAAGTGATACCATCTACTCTGGCCTAGCTGGGAAGCTAATCCAATAGAAAGATGAATCGCACCGACGACATGAAGAGGTCCTCGCTGAATGACTACAAGCTGGAAGCGATGGCCTCAATGGGCTGGGCGGTGGACTCGGACATTCCGATGGCGAATGCCGAGAACCTGGCCATCCTCAAGGAGCTGGCAACCCTGAGGGCTCTGAAACTGGAGGTTCAGCAGCACATGAACTCTCTGGATGAACGTGAAAAGGCTGTGGAACGACACACCAAAAACATTGAAGGCACTATTCAGCAGAATATAGTGAGACTTTTTATTTTTTAACTTGGACGTTATCAACCAACTAGTCACCATCTGAAACCCTTTAGATACTCTATAACTCTATGAAGGATGATGTTATAAAGGAGGCCCACAATGTTCAGCTGGTGATCTTGGAGCGCAACAAGATCAAGGAGGATTTGAGAAAGACTCAAAAGGAACTGGAAGAGTACACAGAGTATGCCGAGGTCACTGAACGTAAGTAAAATTCTGAAGAAATTTTCATTTTAAATTTCTCCCATAGATGTATATCCCAAATGTATTTATTAAGTGGAGGTACGAATGTACGCCACTCAGTTACTAAATACATATCAGATGACCATCAGATTCCCATTAGTCCGATAACCAATTTTAAAATAATTAAACTTCCAACAGCCAAACAATAGTGGAAAAAACTAAATATTAATCTAGTTAAGGGGTTAAGAGCAGGTGCTTAACCCTTCAACTTCTATTACTAAAGATTGCTAAGACTTATGTTAATGTCCGAATTCTTGATCAAATGCCAGGTAAGATCTCCCAAAATAAGCGCGAGATCGATGAGCTGACTGCCCGCATCAAAACGGCCAAGACCACCTTGGTGGAGTGGAAGGAGATTATGGATGACGGCAACAAGGGCTACCAGTTGATCGAGAAGTACTATCTGGATGATCAGCAGAAGGCCCGGGAGCTGAACACTAAGCGTCAGCTGCTGCAGGCCGAAATCGACAAGCGGCGCAAGAAAGTGGTCCTCCTCTACGACGAACAGACTACGCTGGAAAAGAACCTGGAGCGGACCGCCAGTCTATATAGGGCTGCTCACGCAGAGCGCCGCCAGATGGTGGAGACCTGGAAGAGCGCGGTGAACCTAATGACCCAGCGAGAGCACGACATCCATCGCAGCGAGGTGGAGTGCGCCGAGCTGGCTAATAGGTTGCAGAAGACGACGCTGACCTACAAGGACTATGATAACCAGCTGAACGACGTAATTGACAACAATCGCCAGGTGGAGATCGGCATTGAGGCCTTGAACGAGGAGACCTCCGACATGAAGAACCAGATACAGGTCCTGGTCGATACCTCGATACTGAAGGAGCGCGAGATTGACGGCCTGCGACGAGAACTGGAGAACCTCTCGAACCGGGTCCACGTGCAGCGCATGGAGAATCGTAATCTACAGAAGAAGCGCGATGAGAAAATCAAGGAGATAGAAAACTCCTCATCGGTGATAGAGAAGATTGAAGCGCGGCTTAAGTCCATTCAGAATAAAGCCCTCAATGCGGAGCAGCGGCTTCAGATTTTAGAGGAGATGATGCAGGCCGAGGAGACGGCTCTGAAGAACCTGGACAAGGAGCAGGAGAAGGTCAACGAGATGCTGTACCGCACCCAGAGGCAGGTTGTCGAACTGCAGGACGAAGAGAAGATCCTAAAGGTGCAGAACGATTCCTTGAACTCCAACTTAATGGCCATGAAACGCAGCCAACAGCAGGTCAACAGCGAGCTTAAGCGACAGACGGAGATTCACTACTCTCTATCGTTCAAGTGCCTGGAGGCTGAGCGGAAATATGCCGCACTAAAGGGTCTGGCAGACGACCCCGAGGTGGAGGCCACCAACTTGGCCCGGCTCAACACCCTCGAGCAGGAGTACGATAAGCTTCAACGCCTCATAGCCACCACGGAGGCCCAGAATAAGAAGCTGAACTATAACATGAACAACTTGGTGGTCCAGTACAACGCCGACGAAAAGGAACTCGAAACGGTCAGGTTCAAGATCAAGGAGGCTCAAGTATACTGCGAGGGCACGGTTAAGAGACTGCGCCAGAATCGCTACGAAAACTCCGAGCTCATAGTGGACCTCAACATGGTCAAGATGCGCTGCAGCGACCTCGAGGTGGGCATCGGTGGCTGCGAAAAAGGTACCTACGATCTTGAGCAGCATCGCCTCTCCTTCCGCCGGGCTATCAAGGATCGCACCGTAGAACTGCGCAGCCAAGAAGATGTTCTTCTCCTAAAGAAGAAACACCTCAACGAGGAACTCAGCACATTGAAAGCCGATCTTGGCGAACGGAAGAAGCAGATTGAGGCGATGAAGACGCGATTTGAACTGACCTCCCAACTTCTGGGCAAGAACGAGGACGGGTCCATCATGACTAGTACCCAGCTGAAGGTGGAAAGCGCCCAGACGCGTCAGATGCTTGCCGACGAGGGCGACGCCCTCAACAAGAAGGTGCTCAAAGCCGAGAAGGAAGTGGTTGCCCTGGAGAATACGCTGCGTCAGTTCGACAAGTCCAACGACAACTACCGCAAGTCTTTCCGTCCTGTGGATGAAAACTCGAAGGGTAAATATAAGGCGGCGGAGGTGGAGTACAATTTTGATTTTCGATGGTTTGGGAAAGACCCTAAATTTGGATTGGAGTAATGATTATTATTATAACACAATTTGTATTAATTTCAGATCGCGAACGCGCCGAGCAGGAACTAAAGGATCTGGAGGCGGAGTACTGCGGCGAACTGGAGAAACTGAAGGTGCTGCGATGTAAGGCTCAGCACTACGAGCAGAAGTACGCAGCCCTGCGGGCTGAGGAGGAGGACCTGATTTCCAAAATGGAAAAGGCAAAGGCCAAGCGGTCTGAGCACGCTGCAATTCTAGAGAAGATTGAGCGCGAACTGGACGACCAACGACTGAAATTGGACAGGGCGCAGCGCGAGATCCGGACGCAGTTGCGGGAAATCAAGGCACGACCCTTTAGCGATGAGTTCTTGGCGCAGTTTGAGCGGGATCTGGATCTCCAGGAACTGGAGGCCCGCAACACCAAATCGCTGAACATGCTCACTGATCTGGCCAGCAGCGACGCGAACGGCACAGAAATGATATCACTCATGTTGCGGAAAGGCATCAAGTTGCCTATGCACCTGAAACGCACTTGCAGCCGGGTCTCCATGAACAGCAGCTCCTCGTCCAAGTCAATGCAGGAGGGAGATGCAAGCTACCTCAGCGTAAAGGGCAAAGGCAAGCTCTGTGAGGGAGTGAGTGCACGATCCTCGGCCTCCGACATGAGCTCCATCAAGGACGACAGCTCATCCACCACCTCCAAGTCCGGGCTAAGCATCATTTCCCTTGAGTTTCCCACTTCTAAGAAAAAATGATTTCGTTTAATATATTTAATTTATTTTTCCTTTGGTTATCCGATGATCTCAACCCCTGTTCTTCGATCTTCACGTGCTTTTGGCCATCCCAGTGTTTACAAATTGACCGTCTAAACGGAACAGCGAATAAAATGCGTTGCCAAAGCGGTCAAAACAAGAGAGCACCACTGTAATAAAAATAGCCCACAAAAAATTCAATGGGGGTATATCATGGTGTGGCCGTGTGTGTACTGTTTGGATCGGGTATTTAGCAAACCGACTAGCGAATACTCTTTCGCGTTTAATTCTAACTTATCCTATTAATACAGGCACTTTGGCTTCACAAATCATCAAAAACATCGCAATTCGAAAGCAAACATATGTAATTCTTCTTATCTTTATTGCACATCCATAAGAAACTTAGATTTAAATGAATCATAGTAAATAAATGACGTTTCTATATAAAAAGTGAAATGAAAAGTAAGCTAAGTAAGTAAGAAGCTGATTCCTTTTTATATTCATGCTGCTTTACGTTTAAAAGATATATCTTACGTAAAAAAGTGGGAAAATATGACCTCAGGAATTCATAACATTCATTCATGAACATGAAAATAATAAAAATACCGGAAAAGGTAGAAGTAAGTGTAAATCAATAAAAGGAATATCTCTTAAAAATAATTTGAAAAACATAAAACATCATCATAGTAAACCAAAATCGGTCTTAAACTGAAAATTAAATGGATCATAACCTAACCTAACCTATCTAACGCTATTCAATATTCATGTCATTAAAAAGGATATTAAGATAATAGTATACTAAATTGGAATTAAATGCTCGATCTTGCTCAAAAAGACACTTATAGAACCATCTGGCCTAATGATGGATCTCTGATCTTCTTTAAGTAAGTCTGACAAATCGCATATACGATATATCACATGCAGATTGCCCCTATGCGTCGTTACAAAGACCAGAACGAAGGCTATATGGCCGCCAGTGCAGCATATATCGGCCAAAAATATTTATATATACACATGCTCTGAACTATGTATATTTCGAAATGAGGCTCCCAGAGACACGGAGAATGAGAGAGAGCCGAGTCGGAGAGATGAGTTTTCGATGCTACGAGTGTTTTCGAAAATTTTCTGGTCGATCCGACGATCAGCGCCGGGCATTTCATTAATTTTCATTATTTCGTTTGTCTGGCATCGGTGGCGAGAACTCAGATTGCTGAGCCCAAAAGTTTTTAAAAATTTTCACTTGCTGATATTTTTAGAAAATTCTGAAAGCGGAAAGACTCAGCAGTCTGGGAATGGACTCCTGGTAGATGTTCCCCGACCAATCAGAAGGAATATCCAATTAAAAGGTGAAAAATTTGCATAAGATCCGATTAAGTGCGCTGGCGGAATGTGTTCTACCTCGGTGCTGTGTCCCCTTTGCGCCGTGCCCAGTTTCGGCAGCATTGACGCACTGCAGCAGAGACTGATCAAGGCAGCCAACGGCCCACTGGCCTGTCCCTTCGCCGATTGCCAGGAGCTTTTCCTAGGGCTGGACAAGCTCACCATTCACCTGTTTTCGCACACCAGTCTGATGGACGAGGAGATAGATAGCCCTGTTATTATCCAAACCGTTCCTCCACTGGTTACCTTAACTGCGCCCAAAAGAAGGCCCAAAAGAACCAAGGCCAAAACCACCGTCGCGTCCCCGCCACCAGCACCTCCGAGTCCTCCTGCCCATTGTGACATCTGCGAGTTCAGTTTCCGGAATACCGAACTGCGGGACATGCACATCCGGTTGGTGCATGAAAATGCCGAGGGAGACCAGAAAGCACAGCAGCCAAAGCAGGAGGAGACGGTAACTAAAGCTAATTCCAAGTGTTTTTTATTATATGAATATTTAATTAGAAATTTTCATTATTAGAATTCGGTTTGAAATGCATAATGTTGCCTCTATCGTTAAAACCACTCTATTACTCTATTACAGCCCAACGTCTCTTTGCACTTAAACTTAAACATAAATGATATTATACATTTATATATATATAGTGGCATATAAACTTATAAACAGACAGTTTGCATGTCTGCTATATAATTTATTTGTCCGACTTTGCATACCCTTGCAAGTTTTAGTCAAAAGATTGAAAAGCAGTAAAAGAAATCTCGGTCACATACCTAATAGGTATTACCTATAAATTCTAGATTAACAGTACGGGCCCCCTTGATTTACATATATCCGGGTGAAATCTTTCTTGTTTCCAGTGAATTTTATAAAATAGATTTACATAAGCGCTTTGTTTCTATGGCGGAGTAATATTTTTCTGCGGAATGGTTTATTCTTGTCAATAATGTACACCTTAACATAATACATCTGTTCCGGAAAAATACTTCTTATTTGTAAAATGAACTCGTTGTTATATTAAAATAAAACAACTTAATTGTTGTTTATTAGTTCTTAAACGTTGAGCTCAAGCTTATGATATATTTAAGATTAATTTAGTTTTTGCAGAATATAAAGTAAATATGACTTATTAAAAAATGTTTATATTTTAATTTATGTTTTTATCCTTACAGGATCAAGAGCCCTACAAGTGCCATCTCTGCTCCAAGACATTTCGAATGAAGGGCTCCCTTCGAATTCACCTGAAAGTAGTCCACATGATGGGAGTGCCCTGCTCCAATCCCAGCCTCGTAACCACCTCCATTGCAGTTAGTCCCTCACCCAAGCTGAGCATTTGCGATCGCATCCGTCACAAAGAGCCGGGAGCCGTGGGAAACGGCACTAATTCATCGTCCACCAGCTCCCAGCCATATGCCCTAAGTGGCGCAATTAGCATGCTCCAACAGCCACCTAGCTCTCCGGAATCGGGCACGGCCACACCTAAGCCGTGGGAGTGCGATGTGTGCACCAAGTCCTTTACCACAAAGTACTTCTTGAAGAAGCACAAGCGGCTGCATACAGGGGAGATGCCGTACACCTGCGAGATCTGCGCCAGGACCTTCACCTTCCAGCAGTCGTACCACAAGCATTTGCTTTACCACAGCGAGGTGAAACCCCATGTCTGCGTGGTTTGTGGAAGGGCCTTCAAGGAGCTGTCCACGCTCCACAATCACCAGCGAATCCATAGCGGAGAGAAGCCCTTCAAGTGTGAGGTGTGCGGTGGGTATCGATTAGAGTTATGACTCTATGTCAACGTTAAGATTTTTATTTCTGAGTTTACTGACTCAAACTTCTGTCAACTTTATTCGCAGGAAAGTGTTTCCGGCAGCGTGTTTCCTTCCTGGTCCACACGCGTATCCACACAGGGGTGATGCCATACAAATGCGATCTTTGCCAGAAGAAGTTCAGATATAAGGTCAGTCAACGGACGCATCGATGTCCCACCGAGGAATCCCAGACGCCGGAGCAGTTGATCAATGCGTTTCTGGAGGGCAATGAATCGCCCACTCAGCCCTCGCCGGAGAGCGCTGAAATAACTGCCATCAACAGCGGCTCGATGGCAGATCCGGAACAAGAGGCACTGCTCTCGCAGTCCATCGACGACATAGTGGTGGAGCAGTGCCAGAGGATGGGCATTTGTGGTGTGGACCCGAGAGAGGGAGGCCATTTCGTATCGCTGCAACCGGTTACAGTGGTTCAATTCACCGGGAACGGCTCCCCACTGCAGCAACTTCAAAACTTAAAACTCTACTCGCCGCAACAGACCGAACTGCCCAGCTCCGACGGTGAAGTATTTCAGCGCTTCCTGATGGACGCCACGTAGCTGCAGCGGTGACATACTTATGCATATTTATTTACACCCTGTTAACCATTCGCAAGCCTAATATGAACCTACAAATAATACTAATGATTCAAAATGTCCCATACAAAACGCGATATCTGGTAGTCTGCTAAAGTTTTCCAAAACAATACAGCAGAATTATTAATAAACAATCCGGTATTATCACCATTATTCATTTTTTGACTAAATTAAAACCTAAGAAGTTTAATAAGAAAGACAGTGTTTGAACTGTTTGACTGATCATTATCAATCAAATAAAATTATACAAATTATAAAAATCAATTGTTTAAAATTATGTAGATGAAGTAACCATTAAATGATCTTTTTGTATGGAATATTTTGATGTTATGCCGTTATTAGCTAAGCCTTCATAGCCTTCAGATTGTATGCCCAAGGCAAACCGGAAAGAACCCGACTGGGATTGAATACAATCCTTTTTGAAACCTTATTTTGGAATTACAAATTTCACTTATTTTAAATAAAGTTATTGATATTTACATCAAAATATACCCCTATTAGTCAATTAGAATCTTATTTATTATAAAACGTTCTGTTGAAGTTATTTATCAATCTGAGCCGCTTCCGGAACTGGATCCAGAACCAGAAGGTGAGCCACTGCGAGAACGGCTGGGCGATCGAGATGCCGAGCCAGATCTAGATCTCGAACGAGATCGAGAGCCGGACTTGGAGCGAGAGCGAGAACGAGAGCGCGAGCCAGACTTCGAACGAGAGCGGGATCGAGTTCCGGAACGGGATCGTGAGCCTGATCTTGATCTCGATCCGGACTTTTGAGAACCTGCCGGGGAATTAGAGCGCGATCGGGAGCCGCTGCCTGACCGAGAGCCAGACTTTGAGCGGCTGCTGGCCCGAGATGCGGATCCAGATCCTGAACTGGAGCCGCTGCGACTGCGAGTCCGGGAGCGAGACTGTCGATCGCGCGCTACTTGGGCAAGAGAATCTCCACCATCTACAGCCTTTGCACCAACGGGAGCATCCTCGCCCGTCTTTTCTGTAGGGGCCATGACCTGTGTCTGCTCCTCGTCCTCTTCTAATTCCTCGTCGACCTCCTCCTCTTCCTCGCCAGGAACCTCCAGTTGGCGCTCGCGATAGCGCTGCATGCGATGCTCCATGCTGTCCAATGGGCGATGCTTGACAACCTAGAAAAGTTTAAAAAGTTAGATATTAGATTAGTAAACCTTTAAGATCTAATTTGGCAGTATTATTGTCAACCTTAAGTCATTATGCTATTAATACTCTTGAAGCTATACGATATCATTTACTTACTAGTTTCGTATTGTTGGGTTGCTGGCCGACCTTCACGCGACGCTTGTTGAGGCGCACACGTGTCTCTAGCTCGTTGTAGTATATGCCGTCCTGCCGCATAACGAAGAAGTAGTTCTCCTCGTAGCCCTTTGAGGCCTTGGTCTTCACGTTCCAGTTATACTCTCGAGCGATCTTGTACTCGTATTCCTCCTCCTCCTTGTACAGTTCTCCAGCAATGAAGTCGGTGCGACGCTTCTCCAGCGTCTGTTCTGTAGGCAGGAAGTAGGCGACAAACTGTTCGCCGCTCTCGTCCATCACACCACGAATCATAGCCTGAGACATCTCCTCCAGTTGGGCGGGCACGTTCTTGCCCACTGGAGCCGGATCGCTGTCGAATATGACCTGGGCGCATGGGTACTTCCAGTTTGTGAAATCGGGGAAAATGGGCAAAACCTCCACGGGCACAACATTGGGCTTGGAGTAGTGCTTTGTGATCTCGCTCTTGGTGTCGCTAAAGGTCTTCTCGATGGCCTTGATTTGGGCATCGCGGTCAAGGTAGAGGGTTTCCTCCCTAAGCGACTTTTTGACGTTGTAGCCGACCTTGGCTTCAATGTTCTCCAGGTTTTGGGGTTGGAAGCGCGTTTGTTCCGTGGAAATGTACTCGGATTTGCGCAACCAGGACACCGTTCTCGAGTGCTGGCGGGAACGCACTGAGTCCGTTGGAGTCAGGGTCTCCTCCTCAAGTAGTTTCTCATCCGCAGGATCTAGCAGCGTCATGGAATCAGCCTGATAGAGCTCGCGGTTGATCAAGTCCACCGTGACACCCAAATCGTGCTCCGTCAGCACATCGTACTTGAAGTTCCGTTCCAGCGACGTGGGATTGTACTGCACAAAGCGGTGGCTGTCGAAGGGATACTGCAGGAACTTAAGGTCGAAGGGTATGTCCGGCAGATTGTTTCCATATTTTACGCGGCAAATGATCTCCGATCTGCAAAGGATTGTTAAAGTTGCTTTACCTTGTTTTATATCATCGACTTACTTGCGCTCCGTTTGCCGCTGAGGTCGCTTTTCGGCGGCACTGTTAACCACCGAATTGTTGATCGTGGGTGGCATTGGGGTTTTTTAGCGAAGAACTCTGCACAATTGATTTTATTTTATTATATTTACTTGTAAAACCCGACACTTTTCACAATTGTTCCAGCCAGTGTGACCGTACGAGACCGGTAGAAAAATCTCACCCCAGCGTGAAAAATACTTTTAAGTACTTTTAAAAAACGATTTATCGATTATCATGTGGCTATGACACGGCATTCACGTTTAGGATATATTAGGATTAAACTTACGGCTTCAGCTTATAAACGAATGGTCTCTACATTGCAAAGCTGAATCAACTTGGTATTCATTAGACAAATTTGTATTTGCTAAATATATTCTTTTTACTATTGAAAAATAATAATGTTTTATTAAATTTTTATTATTTTTATTTTATCAAAATCAGTTTTTCTCAAAAAGTTGTGATCAGTTTGATACTCCCAATAAGACCTCTACACAGAAATATGTGTAAGTCGCATATTTTCAATACTCAGTGTCCCAAAAGGTGTAACGCTTTATTGAACCTAATCCGTAAAATTTGCAAAACAGAGAGTTAATTACGATTTTTGTAGATTTCTTCATTACTAACTTGTTAATACTTTGCTAAACATGTCAATTTTCTGTTTCCTCGTTTTATTATTTGTTTCGGTTAACTCGTTCGAGGTAATTTCTAATATAGAGGATCACATCGATGAAACTTCGACAGCTCCAGACATAATTAAAAGCGATCCTCTAGTCGAGTCCAAGCCCCAAGAGGGAAGACGAGGACGTCAGAGGACTCTTATAAGGAATCCGAACTATGTTAAGGCCAACAAAATCTACGACAAGGCAGTGAAAAGTGATGATGTGAGAAAGAGGTATGGGGAACTTCCATTGCCCCATCCGGGATTCCTACGATCGGAAGAAACTGACGAGTAAAAGTTCAGAAAAGTTTTCCTGTTGGCACTTTACATTATGGCCCATATAACGGGGATCATAATGACTGTGAAATGATCAGTGCAAACAGCGCCAGCCCGACAGATTGCCAATGCAAATAACACAAACCACAATAAATTGAATTAGCGCAAATATTATTCTTTTTTGTGTGGAAAAAATATGATTGTCACCTGTTTTGTTGCGGCGTTTGTTTAATAGGTATCACTTAGTTGGAAGCTGCGAAAATCTGGGAGTTCAATAACAAGGTTAAAACCACCCCACCGAAGGCAAAGAGAAACATCTTTGCGATTTTCGTCAATTTATTTACATCTGATATTAACGCGGAGACTTGGAAAAATAATCGTCACAAGGAATTAGCATCCGGTTGTTGATTGATCGCGTAGCATAGAAAGAAAATAAATTAAGAGATCACTCGAATTTTTTAAAAATTTGTCATCGCTCAGCATAGAGCAGCTGGGTGTTCAGAAATTATGAGGCTTCGGATATGTGGGGAAATTTTTAGCCTGGAATAACAATCCTATCATCGCACAGCATTACAAAATATACCTACTTTTTCGGATCATACTTGTGGTAATGGTAGTTGTCTATATAATCTGCAATTTTCGAAATCTGATATATAAGAAGATTATTTTTTTTAACTTAAAAATATTCAAAGTTATCATTTCTATATAAATATGGAAAGTTTTTCAGTTTATTTTTGGTTATTTTTATCGATAGCCATGAAATCAGCAGTACGGAAAGTTATTTTAAAAATTAATAAAAAATTTTACAAAAATCTGTTCAACATATTGTAATAAATGGCAATCGAATGTAAATTTAAAATTAAGTTAATTTATTGAAATACAATAAGGAAAATGAATTGGGGCTTCTTAAACTTAGAAAGTAAGTTATTTAGCTTTAGTGTCTTCTCTTTTACTAATCAAGGATACATTTTCTCTATGATCTATTTCTTAAACACTTTTGCATGATAAAATAGAGAACGCTATTAACTAACACCAAATAGAATAACAATTTTCTAAGAACATTACATAACTTTTTACATAAAGGACAATGTAAAAAACACTCCAAATATGTATTTTGAAAGCTTTTGAACTGTGGAAGTTTATGACTACGTCATAAAATAATATATATTTGCATTTGGCCAAAGAAAACGTGACACGTTTTCCTTTTGTTTTGCCCACAATTAATAATTACCGTCAATTAGTAATTATTGTTTAATTAGTACATCACATGATGGCGAGCGAAACCATCTGGCATAGCCGAAGTTAGCCATAAACTAGGATGTGGACTTAGCTGGAAGAACAGCCGATCAATCAATTTGGCCAAATGAGCAAAAAAGTTGCAAATCAATTGACCATGCGCAGCGTGCCGATATCAACATTTCCATGCTCGTTACTACTCAACGGAGCCGACTACCTCCGAGCTTCGTGATATGACGATTGATCGAGCCCCATGCCCCGTCGTATGGTATCGTACGGCATCGTGTGGTATCGCATGGTATTGTATCTCTCGTATAGTATTGTATCTCAATCCGGATCAAGTGGCGCGCGCGACTTCAGTTTGAAAAACGGCTCACATTTTGCAACAAGCGCCAAATTGGTTGGGCAAACAGCACGGGCTTATTCGCAGGTTCACCCAGTTCGCAGTTCTTTTGATACATTGTTTATTAGCATACGTATTTGCTTAATATATATAACAAAATGCCATATCTGCCAGCCAGTTGGTGACATGTCTGAGTGTGTGTCGAAACTACTAGAGTTTTTGGCACTTAGGTGAAGTGTGAAGAGAGCGCCGGATCCGCCGTGAGTTCAGTATCCGTTTAATGTTCGCAGCGAACGGTAGCAGTCCCGAAAAGGAGGTCCCTAACCACCCCCAACCCAGTGATAAATATCCTTCGAGAAATATGATTACCAGAATAGTGAATCGCCTCTGACTGGAAACTAACCTCGAATAGGTGAGTCTGGTCGCACCACAAAAGAGCAATTTTTCCATTAATCTTTAGGCTTAATTAGCACAATTATAAACTTATTAAAACGGTGTAAAAATATGAAGGTGAAACCATACATTTTGCAGACCTAATAAATATTTTATTAGCCAAAGGAAATTTTTTAAATTTATATTAAACTCGTGTGCTATGGTTATTTAAATAATTAGGACTGGCTATGAATTTGCAAGGATATAAAATTTAATTCCTATCAGTGGTCAAAGGGATATACGGGATGTCGACAATTTTTAAAGTGTTGTTAAGCTGCTTTAAGGTAGCACTTCTTAAATAACAATAGTTATTTGTTAAAATTAAATAACACTTTAAATTGGTGACGAAAACGTTCACTAAATAATTGAGTGCATCATAAACCAGACAGCCGCAAACCTTTTGTAGGCGTCTCTGGGAATCGATTTCATTTTTGCTACTGCTCTCATAAACTTTTGATTTAACGCTGCTTAAGTGCATGGGAGGCACGTGTAATTATAATTGTGAAATGGCTGTGGGAAATCACAGATTCAAGTGAAGCGTTCGATCATCGGCGACGTCGCCCGACCTGGAAATTTTATAAATTATGCATAATGCAGCTCCAGGTGAGATTCTCCCGATTAGTACTGACCGGCCACGCAAAACGTGTTTCGATTGATGGGGTCAGTGGACTACTGTTGGGAAAATCAGCTTAATGCAATGAGTTAGTCAGAACAATGGGAACCTTTTACCAGGAAACTATACAAATTACCGAAGAGTATTAGCTCTCATAGAGGTAATTCACCGCGGGCCAGAAGTATTTATAGATTGCACTTGGATTTATCCATGAAAATTAAAGTATTAGTTAAGATACCTCATGACATTACACTCAAAGTGCGTTCCGTAATCACTCATTAAGGTGTTCACAAGTTTACAAATGGCAATTATGAGTTTTTCTATCCAAGCTGTGAGTCAGCGAGTCCCATTAAATAGCCGCAATTGTGCAATCTCTTTGAAATGTATTCCAATTTAATTAACGCCAAGTTGTTCTGTACACAGTAAACCGAATCCAAGGCGAATTAATATGGCTGTAAGAGGGAAAATACACGACTATACGAGATGCAAATATAGGAAATATGTTCTTTTCTATGCAAATAGGATGCTTTTGATGAGTTGGGATGGCGTTCGTGGGAAATCGCTGTGGCCAGGGCAAACTATATGTTATGACTGCAAGAGATTGGATGTATTATGTGATGTGTAAAAAACGAATTCAGCTTGTTTACGTTCCGTCACGTGAGAGCACTTTTACTTTAGCAATTAACTTATCCTACATCAGATCAGTTTACACCTCGATAACCCCTGGCCCACCCGCCTTCTCTTTCGGCCACCTGAGCCGCGCGTTGAAAACAGAAATAAATAAGGCAGCGATTAAGCAAATAATGTGACAGGTAAGCTGAATTGAAACGAAAGCAGCGGCAGGGATCATGCCGAGCTGAAAATAATGAAACACTTAAGCAAATAGACCAGAAGGCAAACGAATCGCTTGCTGACGCGCCGAATGAGTACTTTTTGGCCGCCTGTGCTTTGCTTTCTGGCAAGTGTACAATTGGACATGGATGTTGTTGGCAGCACGAGAGTGATACTATGTGGCTATAGTACAGCAATGAGCAGTGCAAAGAACTCATTCTGCGCCCCCTCTCTTCCACTACCCCCCTTGGTAAACTTGAACTTGACTTTGGTGAGAGCCAGGAAACGAATCTCGCGGGTTGGGGACACCAAGTGCAACCGCCAGAGAACCGAAAACACGAATTCTACGAGTTGGACACCACACCGACTATTAATAGATACCCTCGCGGCGCTCCTCTTCTTCCTGTTTGAGCGGAAATCGAGTCAACCCGCCAGATTCTTCGCTGCCAATTCTTTTGTAGTTCCAACTCGGCCCTTGCCACCTACACATACTGCGAATTTGCGAGTGCTCTTCCCGACCTGGTCTGGTCGGATCGGATCGGATCAGATCAGCCGTCTGGTTGCGAGTCGCTTGGATATCCAGAAATCCATAAATATTCAGCACTTGAGATACTTCCAATTTTCAATTTCCAATTTTCGATTGCTCGACCGCCGAAATATACTCGAGAATTTCGTCGGTTTGATTTATTGAAAGGCGGTGTGTGTTCGCGGGTGTCGTGATTATATAAAGTTAAATTGCACAACTGAATCGACGGGGCAGCATGAGAAAAGTTCCCCTTTAGTAAACAGCCGTAAAGAAAGTGTTAAGATGAGTTTCATCCATCCCGACGCTGGCTTGATGGGCTCCAATGGAAGCTTCCCCAGTTCGGTGGAGGAATCGGACTCGAAGCCGGAGGAGGGCCATCGCAAGAGCCCCTTAAACAAGCGGGTCGAGATCAAAATCGTGATGCTCAAAGTGCAGGTGATTTTTATGGTGATTCGTAAGGGAATATTATAATTATTGATTTAAATGCTGTTCGTATTAGAGTCAGTAGTCAGTCGGTAGAAAAGGGCTATTCAACAGTTTTCATGCGACTTATATTACATATTAAGTATACGCCACGTACGACTATAAAATTCTTTTATAGTTTCTAATAGCTTTTGCCTGCCTCAAACATAATAATAACTGTTAGTCGGAATATTTATTCGAATTTTCAATAATACGTTTTGTTTATAGAAACTGATTCAGCGCGGATAAGTACGGCATTTTGGCAAAGACCTTCTATGCTCATATATCCAAGGAAGTAAAGTCTGCAAATTCGAAATACCGAAAATGATTTCGTTCTCTTTTCTTTGAATAGTTTTCTAATAAGTTATACTAAAAGCCAGGTTGTCTAGCACATTCTGCTGGAGAGGAGATGTAAAGTTTAAGTCTTGGAAAATCGGAAATTTCTTGCCATTTTAAGGGAACAAAAATAACAACAATTTTGGCTTAAAGCCAACCCAATTTCCCATACTTAAATCTAACAACGCTGACAAGTTAATGTCAAATAAAACCTCGGCTGATTTTATTTAAACTTCTGTCTGCCACAAACTTCAAAACTCATTTAAGTTCTTTTCATGCATCTTCCATAAAATGTTTACATGGGCGAAGCACAAACTTTTCTTATTGTCTTTGTTGCCGTGCCACACGGCGTATGCGAAATAAACGTAACATCCCCAGCAAACAGCAGTCACAACTTTTTGGCTAATTTGTTTGTTGCGCGTGCCAATCGCAGGTCTCCGTTAAAACGAAGATACACGCGTGCACTCCGCCTGCCCTCCCTGAGGAGCCCCCTCCCTCTGGCCACAGCCCTCTATTGTTTATGCAAAATTTATTAGCATTTATTAGCCCTCGTTGAGAGGGCGTCCGAGGGGTGTGACTGTCGAATTGGATTTGTAAATAAACAAACAATTGGAAAGCTCACAAGTGCATGACACCAGCTACTGCCTCCGTCGGTCATAATTAGAACAATAGCGGCACAATGGAGCTGCTACAAATAATATTCCACGCCTTGTTTTACGAGCTGTAAGACATTTCACGGCTCGGGTCTGAGGCAACAAAAGCCAGCTAATGGAAAGCATCTATAGAACTAACGAAATTGAAAAGCCCCTGCTAGTCTTGTCAAGTAAATTGTGAAATACTTTATAAACTAATACTTACTCCAGCTCTAGAAGTTTAGGATTAGACCATCCGCGTATTTATATTACTGTCGCCATAATCAGGACATGCCTTCAAAGCTTGCAATGTACTTATTTAATTTTAATTATTTCATAATTTAACATCTCATGTAGATGTGGTTGTGTGGCCCATTAACTGATTCCCCATTTATATTCGAGTATATCATGCTCCCTATTACCATTTTAATAGAGAAACAGATAGTGACAGGCACGCAATGCGACGTGCGTCAGCAGCTGGGCTTCTGCGGGGCCTAATCCCCGTATTGACAGAACCACGAAATTACCAATTAATCGAGTCAATTGGCGGAATATTTATATTTAATTTGTCGAGCATTTATGGCCTCCCAATTGTGGCTAACTAAAATATATTGGCGAAGGCATAATAAGCGCATTACGAATCGCCTAGAGGAAGGTCCTGGAAGATAGCTTTCAACCTTGAGATGGGAGTAATCCGTGGGCGGAATGGAGCAACAGCTGCTCGCCAATATTTTTTGTTTGGCTCCGAAAGCTCTGGCTTCAGTTCAGCCCGGATTCAGTTGGTCCTTTCATCAGAGGACAACGAAAGTGAAATTGTCCAACACGTGACTGGCACCATTGGAGTCTGGCTCGGGTATGAGCTCCGTGTGGAGTTCCTCCGACATCGGCGAAAGCTTATGCGTTCGTTTTCACTTTCACTTCGTGGCCAGGAACACCGACGTTCAGCTGGAGGAGCTTTTCATCGCTTTCCATCGCTTTCCCTGCTTTCCGTCGCTTTCCGGCGATTCAGTTGCGCGTTGGGCGAACGCCAGCACCCATCGAGGCATTCTATAGCGCGGACGTAGCTGTGTTTTCAGTATTCGAACAAACATTTATCGCCTATTTTAGTTTCTTTGAGGCTCAGATTTAGTGGTTCTAAAAACTTTTATTTGATTGTTCTTAAACGGAAGATGCAACTTCTAAGAAAGATTGATTGTTTATTAAATTAAAATATAGATAAATTTATATTTAAATTATCAAAGTTGAATGGCGTTTGGAAACTGAATAAATTAAATATTTTTTCGCTTCATTATTTAGTCCAAAAATCCGAGTTAAATTCTTCCTATTTCTTATCCCTATAAATAATAAATATTTTACGTTTAATACTAGCAGTTCTGGCATAAACTTTAATTCAGAAAATCAAATGAAAGATTGAAAATTCAAGTGCATCTCAGAGAAAGTGCAGTGCGCGAGGAGGAGAATATAAATTCCGATTTAATGATCTGAGAGTTTCAAATATTTAGCGAGTAAGTCCTCGCACTTTCGACCGGCTTCGGACGCATTATGCTCACGGACATTGGCAGCAGTCCAAACGGTAACGGTATCGGCAACAGTGGCCACAATGGTCATGGCCTAGTCGGCGGACTCCATTCGAACTCCTCCAGTGGAATCGGCAGTGCGAGCAGTGAAAAGTTGACAGCGCGCGGCGACGAGGCCAATGCCAAACGGGGCAGCAATGGTGAAGGCGAAGCCGACGAGGATGCCGACGATGACGAGGATGAGGACGAGGACGACGACGACGATGATGATGATGCGGATGAAACTACGGTATAGTCTTACAAAGTCGAGTGGATTCGGTAGGGCGAATTAGCAGCATATGCATGCGTAATTTTATGCTCCGGGATAATTATTAAGCCTCAGCCGCAATCAGAAATCCAAGAGCAAATTATGCGTGTGACAGCGATAAGCTGGGCATAATTTGAAGGGGCTTTCGTTAGGGTAGGTCACTATGGGGGACATGGGAAAAGATATCCCCTTTGGGTTGGATAACCGAGATTATAACCCTTTCTTGATATGCACTGGAAATGTAGCAAGCGATTTTGAAACAAGCTTAACCAGGGAACTAAATTAGAGAAATGAGAGGACAACTATTTCTGCCAACTTTGAGATTAAGATGTACCCTATAGGTACATATCCTTCATATTTTGACATGCAGATAATCCAGATTCTTCTCTATTTTCTTTTTCTGAGCTCAAAGTTGTGTCTTAATTAAAGACCAATACCATACAGTCTTAGATTCCGATTCTGTTTGAATTTATTTGGCACATCCTGGCCAGTGGGTTTAATAATGTATGACTGCTGGCTGAACGAGTGCTTGAGAACTTCAAGCTTTTGAATGGGGCTTAAAGCCCACACAATCCTGCCTTGTTTGTCAGCCGGCCTCAAATCCATTCAATTATTTAAACAATCATTCACAAATGCGAAAGAGCACCCCAGTGGGAACTTTCGCTGGGCGTGAATGAGCAAATCAGGGAAAGGGACTCAAATAAAGGGAAAATGCTGCGAAGGCTCCGGCCAAATGGCCAGTTTGGTATTCCTTTTCTTGGGTAAATGAATTTTCCCGAATGTTTCCTTTTCGAGGAAGTTTGTGCCGACCCTGCTTTTGGCCAAACAGATATCGCTGGGCTGCCATCTACAGATACGTCACATTTTTTCGATTCACCTTCCTCGGCGATTTCGGTGGCGTGGCTTTAATTAAAATCAGCTATCGGTGACGTCAGGCAGTCTGCCTTAATTGAGTCGAGTTTTGGAACTAAACACGTCTTCCGCCCAGTTTCAGGTTCATTTCGGGCCTCCAGGTGGCTTCCAGTGGGGTTACTCCACTCATTAGTGAGTCCGCCACACGTGCTCTGGAAGCCGTGCGTATTGACTCGAGAGAATAAGGAGGTGGAAACGGGCTCTGTTTAGCATGCGAATGCGATAAACGTCAAAGCCAGAGCCGTGTAGGCCATGTTCTTGGTCCCCAGATTATGTAAATTTTGTCTTTTTATTTCGTTCACCCAGCTCCGTATGCAAATTAGTCAATACAGGACTTTTCCCGTGTGAAAAATAGCGAGCACAACAATTTTTGCCAGAGATAATATTGATAAATTTATTTCGCTTCAGATTCTCAGAACTTTATTGATTTAAACCCTATAAAAGAAATTTATGACTAAGAAGACCCTTCAACTATCAAGAAATCTGTATTTCTTTTACGGACATATAAAATACCCTCCTCAAATCTATCTCAGGAATGTATATATATCTTATTTGTAGCAGGGTAGATGGGTGTAGCAGGTTTGTAGCAGGTAGAGGGGTGTTTACAAATGTAAATTCTTATTGTGGATCTGGAAATATGAACCTATAGAAGAAATCGATGAAACACGTGTCAAACTTTATTTGAATTCCTGCAATCGGTCGAATCTGAAAAAGAACGCAAATCGCCAAGAACCTTTCCAATTAACTGGGCTCCAATTTGGCCCAGGTAATTTCTTCCAGACAGACACGCGAAACTCCCGCCCCCCAAGCCGCAAGCGCAATCAGCGAAAATTCAATTCATTTCGTTTAGAGCTCGAATGGGAAAGCGCATGTCTCAATCAGACACATTTTCCCATCTCATCCGTCGGCCGAAGTCTGATTCGACTGGCCTAATCGTTTATCCCAATCCCGCATGTAAACAAAACAATTTGCATGGAGCTGACACAGACCAAATTTTCGTTTGAGAGGAGACCAAGGTGGTCCAGAGCTGATCCATGCTAATGAACTTTCCACATATCAATTAGAAATATTCCTGTTCCTGTTTTCCCAAGCCAAACTCACGTAGAGGGTTGGGACGGCTTTATGTCAAGTTTTTGCCACAAAAATAACCAAAAATGTTTATAAATCTGTCAGTCCTGGAAGTCCTGAAAAAATGTTGCCCAAATAAACGGAAAGACAAGTATGTAGTAAAGGACAATCAGTATGCCAGCATGGTCGTAAAGTTACGGCCCACAAATCAGAGCTAACAAGCTACGGTGGACATGAATGAGAAAATGTGCCCGGCTTTAATAGAGGGATTTGTTTAATATATACATTAATATATATAACCTGTTTAGTTGGCGGAAATCTTCTCGAAAACAGAATTAAATAACGGCGGGTAATAAGTATTTCCAGAATATTTTATGTTCCTTACTCACATCATTAAATTTTAAATGTTTTGTCAACTTTCCCTTGGCTAAATGCTTTTTACAATCTACAAAAAAGAACTTTAAGAAAGGGATTTTGTTTCGCTGTTTTCCTGTTTAGGGTTCGTTTGGGTAGATACTTTTGGGTCCAGCTAAGCTGTTTTCCAGCATTGGCCAAGGTCAAAGAGCGAGCTTATAGCTTGCGGAGAAGGTTACAGGCTGCCTTTTTAATTCCGGCAAATAGTTCATTATTTATTAAAATGATAAGCAGCTGGGTCTCGCCTTTAAGCGTCCAACTCTCAGCTGATTTTAATTGGGTTTTTAGTTGTGCTCGGGCCGAGTGTCGGGAGTCGAAAGTCGAGGACCTATGAAGTCCGCCTCATTTACATAGGCAAAGTGCCTCGAACTTCGTGTCTAAGTACGCCGAACTCGGGAGCCCAATCAGTGGGGTTGGGGAAGGTAAGTTCCCGGGGCAAGGGCATTGAACGAATTAATGTCGGGGGCAGTTGGCTGAAAAGCGTCATAAAACCGGGCAACAAGGTAAACCAGAGCTGCTCATAAACTTTTCGAGTGCCTAGGATGCGATAATCGCTTTTCAATTTCGTCTTAAGAACTTTTTCTCTGATTTCCACAATTTCTGCAAGAATTTCCAACTAATCAGCAAAATTGTAGGAGGCTTTCCATCCCAGCAGGAAAACAATTTCTCAAATATTTAGAAGTGTAAGCGAAATATTAATTTCCAAGAATGGCCAGGAAAATGGGCTGACCTTTGCTCAATTGCAGACCCAGCTTAAAGACCCCTTTAAGGTTGGGAATCCTTTGCTTTCCGGTAGGATACTTAGTACTTCTGGCGGGGTAGCAGAACAAATAGCAATGGAGCAGTACTCAAAGCAATTACACACAAAACGGGAAATACTCAACAACGGAAACCAGATGAGCACCACAAACAAAAGACAAGACAATTGTGTAAATAAAACTGGGAATATAAACACCGAGTGGGTGTGATTGGGGGGACCGCCTTGGCGAGGGGCGGGTGCCACGGCAATTAAGCTTGTCAGGGCTGCGAAACGGAAGTGAGAGATGCACTGCGCAACGACCGAGTGTGAAAGGGGCATTAATATTCAATTGCTTGGACGGAAGCCCAGCGTTGGGCCTGCGCATCCCATTTGAGGAATATGACGTGTCATAAACATTTTATGTAGCATACATTTCTGCTGCGCTTAACATTTCTTGGAAATTGGCCGTAAATTAAGGAGGCTAAATTAAATTAACATGATTACGGATATCTGAAAAATACATGCCATAATATACATCAAATGAACTGAAAATTCAAGCATGATCAGAGCTTCCTATTATCCTTTTGTAAGCAGCTTTTATTATTATCCCGCCTTCTTTTTTTCTTTTTTAAAGTTATTTTTTTTTTAATAAATTATTAATGCCAGCCACTGAAGCGTGACGTATTCATTTATCAGAATCTTAAAGGGGCCAGCGACGTTCTTCGCCAAACACCATCTCATTACCCAGGTTCCTCCTCTTGTAATTTGGTTTTCATCTTTCCCTTAGCCCCCCACATCATTTTCCCGTTTCCGGTTTCGAACTCAGCGATGCCTGGCCGCAGGACATTTACGTCCTTGGCTGGCTGGTGGTTGGCAGCCAAGTCACTGGCCAAGGCCCGCTAAATTTAGTGGTCCAGGCCTATTTATGTTTATGACGGTTTTTCCTTCCAGTCACACAGCATAGTTTTTCCTCAATTTATATATTGCCGGCATATTTGCCGGTTGTTTTCATAAGCCGCTTAGCGTCAGCCATGAAATGGGAACAGAACATCCGTTTATACAGAGGGCCTAACATTATCTCAACAACGAAAAAATCACATATATCAAAAGCCCAAAACAAATCGAATTAACCTCTTGCATAAATTAGTTATTTTTATTCTAATTCAAGTTTTTTGGGAGTGGGTAAAGTGGCCTATAGTCAGTTTAAATTAGCATTTCAATAACAAGTACAGAGGGATTTATAGCAAAGATTGTATAAAATATTGATATATGATATGATATTGATATCAAATAGAACTTTTCATATTCATACGGAAGTCGATAGGAAGTGCACTTCAAATTCCGGTGAATTCTGTTTACTCGAGTGCTTAAATCAGATTTTCCCTATCAGCAAATCCCGGCGAGGAATAAAAAGGGAAAACAGAAACCTAGACAGAAATGCGGAGACAAACAGCGGAAAGCTTTCAAAGCAATTGAAACGTCGCTGAAACGGAGAAGGAAGGAGTTCGCCCTCGCAATGTGTATGCGTATCTTTCATCCAAGCAGCCCAAGAATGTGAGCAATTCGAGCGAATCAAAGGCAGGGTCCATAATTTCAGGGTTCTTATGTATGGGCCAATCCGAGTTTCATCTGGGTGACAAGAAGGCGGCCAGCCTCCCCAAGGAAGACGACCTGGCCCACTTCGGTTGCCGTGGAAGAGTTGTCAAATTCAATAGAAGGGACACATAAATCAGGGGCGAAAGTGAAAGGGAAGCGAGTCATAAATCCTGGCGAGAAGTTGCTGGTGCTCTGAGGAAGAAGCCAATGTGTTCTTGTACTTTCCACTTAATTGCAAAGGAAGAAAGAAGGGAATGTCCTTTAAATTCTGGTCCTTCAGAATTATATTTCTCCCCTCTCTGCCGCAGCAGACAAAAACGTTTTCGTAGCATTGAGAAATGGATCTCTGTGTCATCGTTTGGTACTTGAATGTTAAACGCAAATTTCATTTTTCACCTTGACGTTGGCATGTATTATTTATTTATTTGGCAGTTTTTGGACTCACTATTCCTTAGCAATGAATGAAGTCGATGGAAAACACTTGACTAAACAGCAGGCGACGCCGACTTGAATAACATTAAAACAGTTTATGGACTCGACATTAAACGAAGCAATTAAGAAGATAATTAAAGGGTGGTGTTGGTATGGTGTATAGTAGCGTTTATGGCCCTGATAAAAGTTGGTTCGCGGACCGTGCTTTCCTGGCTTATACCCCTGGGAACTCCTCGAGTCCTTCAATATGCCATAACCAAACACTTACCGCACCCATTGGCAGCAGGGCCCATGTGCGTATGTGGGCATAAAAACAATCTGCAATACATTACGCATACGCCACGCTGTGCCAAATTGTTTCGACAGTTGGGAGCGGGCGAATGCTTATGTCTCTCCGCCATGGAAGGCATTTGCATACACGTGCCGAGCATGGGAACGAAAGGGATGCAGTAGTCCATCAATATATACGACGCAGACACAGCACTCGTCGATTGAGGATGGATTTTGTAAGTTATGGCCAACACATTCTGGCCACTCGGGGGTCAAGAAGTGGCAGCAAACTGCGAGGCCAGAGAAACTAATCAAATATTTATGCTAGCTTTCGTCTGGCTCAACGTCTGGTCACGATATCGTGACGACGCTAACTCGAACGGCTCATATTGGCTTTAATGGCAGCAACAAGTTATGGGGATTCGGAAGCTCCATCGCATGTCCCCGGCCACAAAATAATTGGACTAGTCACTTCTAGTAAGTGAGCATCTACTTTCGGGGAATTTAATTACACGGTATTTTCGCGTCTACTTTGGGAAACTTTGCTTTTCAAACTCGGTTATTATGTAACGTATAATGAGGTTTGACTGGCAGCTTTTAGGGAAGCCTAATGACCACTTTACAGCACTTTACTTTCAATATAAATTGTTATTAAAAGTGGAAATGCACGAACATTCTTTTCGTGCTTTATCGTTCAACGGAGATGGAAAGTGTTTTGGACTCTTTATTGAGATATGTTTAAGAAGATATTCAAGAAGATATATTCAAGAAGATACAACATTCTAACACACGTCCCTGAGAGCCAATTTATATCTTAATGCCATTGACAGATGGCGCCATGTGCACTACGACTGGCGCCATCTTCTGTTCGAAACCTCTTGCAATATTAAGGCATTTATTAGGTTTTCATGAAATTGTTTCAAACCAAAAACAGTTATAAGGCCGAGCTTCCTACTTATTTCTATCCCGATAATACCTTTTCCTTTCGCATCCGAACTTTATGCTTTAGTCCCAGCCTGGCACAGCGGGAGTTTTATAGATGCATAAACAATATTAGGAAAACAAGAAGTGGCAGAAACACAAGCACATTAGGCCGCCTCAGCAGCTGGATGTCAACAGATTTTGCCAGGACCTTTAACTTGGCAGCACCAGCAGAGAATAATACATCAGCCCTCGCCCTTTCGCCTGACTACGCCAGGCCACTCCATCACTCGAAGCTATTCTGTGCTACCTGCTCGCTAGAAGGCACAAACAGCAGCAATCCCGCCTCTGCTCTGGCATTGCTCCAATTAACTTTGGCGTCTATTGTTGTCAACACACCCCCCTCCCCCCATTTTGCCACCCACCAAAAGCCAAGACTTTAGTTGCAACTTAATGGTCATGTGTGTGTGCCCATTGTCGTCGGGGAAGCCTTGGCGGCGAGAGTGTTGTCGTCGTTACCTGAAGATTGTTAGGCCAAACAATTAATTAATCATCAGGCCTGGCTAATGGGTAAACGATACACCGAGTAAACAGCAACTGTTTTTCTTTGGTCTTTCACTTTACGCCTTCCTAGTTTGATAAACTTGACTTTATTTGATTTATAGTTCCTTTGAGAGTGGAGGTCAGAAGCTGGGATCACTCTTTCCCATAATATTATCTAAGCAGAGCACAGATGACTATTTTTACCCAATATTCTAAGGGCAGAACTATAACTATAACTAACTATAATAATTCAATTATTATCAAAAACCAATAATTGTTAATGCTTAACATATTTCGTCGAGTTCCCCAAACCTGAACTCACATTTCTGAAGGTTCTACAGCATTAAAATGTTTCCTAAGCCAAACGAATCCTCAATAAACCTTCCTTAAGAGCACAACCAATTACTTTAATTTGCTCGCCCTTGAAGTTTGCAGTCAAGGCGAAATTTTTATTGAATATTCCTTTCATAATTCAGCAGCCAGAAGCGAACTCATATTTCCAGAAAAGAAACCAAACGAGCTGCCTCGTTCTGGATTCAATTACAAATTTCCTTCCTGCAAACAATAGACTTCGATATGTGTGCACCCACACCGCTTCCACGTTTCATATATCAAGTTCCTTCCGCAGGGGAACGTTTACAATTGAATTGGGAGGAGCAATAAATAAGTTAATGAAATATTACGGAGGACGCCCTCCCTCCGGGAGTGCAAGAAAGTGTGTGTGGCGTTTTGGCCTAAAGTAAAACAATTTGCCGACTAGTTGGGCATCTAAGTGCTCCTCATCAGGCAGATAATTGGAATATGTTGTGGCCAACAAACTGTGCAGCGACAAGCAGATTTATGGTGGCTGTAGGAAATTTCTTTAATTATGACTTCGAGGGGGGACTGGGCAATCTGTCCGGCCTTTGGGGCGCTCCATCAGTCAACGGGCAAGGACACGGAGCAAGGATTCCTTCTGAACTCCCGTGCTCCTTTCCACAGCCACGCGGCAGCGACTTATGAATAATTTATAGCTGGCTTGCTGGGGCTTTGTGCTTTATTAAAAAATTTGTCTCAGGATGCCGCCTTCGGATACTCTCTCTCATTGATATTTTCTACCAAATGGCCTTAAAGAGGTCTTTAAACTGAAGGGCCAGCGACCCTTTTCATCCCTGGCCGCTTTGCAAAGGTAAACAATTTCCATAATGACATAAGTGAATCACCTTGGAAGCCAGTCTATTGAACCATTCGTCACGTGACGCATAAACTGCGGCTGCCTCGAACCTTTTCCAACCCAAAACTGATATAAAACAACAGACGCAGGCAATCGGCATTAACCTTGGCGATATTTGCACAATTGCTGCTAGTCGGCAAAACAAAAATAATCCCAAAAACAAAAATCGAATGTATTTAATTGGCGCATAAAACTAGGCAGTCGCTGACGGAAGCCGAAAACTAATAAAATGACTGCCTACTTCTGGACATCGCCGACGAACTCTGTTCAAGAATGCAAACCTCCAAAGGATCGACTTTCCAACCAGTATTTCTGCTTACGTTTCTATTTTCTAACTCGTCTGTTGCTTTGCATATACATATTCCTATGCATAATGCATAATCCGCATAAACCGAAATCATTCCCCACCTGCCGCGACTTTTCATTTTGAAGGTCACAGCTCTTGATGGTGGCGAAGGCTGAGTTTTCGATACTTAAACTTCGGGTGAGCTGGCTCTCGTTTTCGTACTTAGACCGTGAATACAAAAGGTTCTTTTAAGCATGACAACACACGAAAAACAAAACTATAATGGCGAGAAAAGCGACTGTAAAAGGAGGACGGGATTGTTTGCAATTGTTGGGAAAGGACATCTGAATACCCAGCTTTCGGGCGGGAAGGAGATGTTTTTGACAGTTTAGTTGGGACTCGCGGTCGCTGTTGTTTTCGGTGGCTTAGGGACATTTGTCAACCCAAAAAAGCACAAAAAATGAGAAGTCGTAAACGGTTTGTAAGTTTCCTTTTTCTCTGGTTTGCTCTTTTCTTTTCCCAGCGATGATGTGGACGGTAAATTATGAAAAGCTAATTAAAAAGAGTAATGGCTTCAAAGTTAATGTAATTGTTATTCGGCGTGAAAATATCTTTAAGTAGAACATTTTATACACGAGTTTCCAGCAATTTAAAGGTTAAATTCATGTTTAATTTATAAGCCTAACGTAATTGTTTTGGCTGGCAGATGTAGTTGGTAAGTTTCGTGATGAAAAGCTATTGCTTTTTCGGTCTGCTGGGTCACATTTCAGCTTAAACAAAGTCAAACTAAAACTCAGAATGTGTAACTATTTGAAAAAGAAGTGCGCATATGTGCGAAAACGGTGCGTATTATTAATATTTGCGATGACAGCTGCTAAAAAACAAATATTAGCAAAAGTATGGATTTTAAGTAAACTTATTTACAGAAAGAAAGAGAAAGTAAGAAAGTTTACATACTCGTACCTATTCCCAAAGATAGATTTACAATTATGAGATTGGAGTAGCAAGCAGATCCACCGAGAACTGCAATTTAGGTTTATTATACGCCCAGAGCCCACAGGTCCAGCAATTGCTGCACTCGAGTGCCCCAGGCACCAAGGACACTCGGGATAATCAGGGAATGCCATTGAATTGAATTATTGCCCCTCGTCTGGCTATCAATGGCTAAGAGACCAGGCTAAGAGGCCAAGGCCATAAAAAATAAGAGGTTTCGAAGCGAAATGAACTGCACACGTTGTATTGAGCTGATAAGTGATATAAAATTAATTCTGCCTTAACAACAAACCTATAAAGTATATAGTTACTGAAATATATAGAATGGAACCTGTAAATGGAGGCTTGCAACAATATATTAAGTTATAGGACGTTGCTTTGCGAGTAAATTCAACAACCTAACATATCTATTTTACAATTCAACGGGTATAAAAACTATTTAATCAGCTCTTTGTAAATGCATTTGAATACCCCAACAATAATCGCAATCGTAGACTAACAATTCTAAAGTAGACTTTAAACTGTATGTTAGCTGACATGCTAATTGCCTTTTTTTTCGCTTTTTCTCACGCAGGCAGAGTCCCCTCTACTACCCCTGAAGGACGACGAGTCATCGCCCCCTCGCGTCCAGAGTTCCTCGCACATATCAGCCAGTAGGTCACCCCACCAGTACAGCACCTTAGACGGCGACCTCGAGCTGAAGCACCACCCCCTGCCACTCACATCCGCGCCCGGCGAGCTGACCAACTGCAACAGTCAGGAAGGAGAGGCAAACAACAACAGCACCAAAAACAACAACAACCACGAGGGAACGTTCTATAAGAACTATCCGGGCAGGGACATTCCCACCCACAAGCATCAGCACGAGTATCAGCTCTACCCCAACGACACCTTCGCTCGATTGGAGGGCAAAGCCCCGAAACCGAACACCAAGATGCAGACCAAAGTGGATGCGGTAGGCCGGATTACTGGGCCTTGGGGAAAGTGGCAGCTGCGAACAGTGCTCCTGATCTTCCTGTGCAAGATCCCGTCCTCCTGGTTCATGGCCTGCATCATTTTCACTGCCCCAGCACCGCGACATGGCGAGTTCTTCTGCAAGCCGCCAAACACAATTGGTGCCCAGAACCAAACGCAATGGATCAAGGTTTCACATCCGCAAAAGGAGGAGAGCGACGATCAGGAGTTCAGCATAGACTTCTGCAATGTATACCAGGATGCCCAGCAGCACGCCCATCACTACTACAACTACGAGAACAGCGAGCAGGAGCCGCGTGTCTGGGAGAAGCCTCTGCACCGCAACTCCAACGTGATCCCCTGCACGGAGTTTCAGCACGAGTCTGACTACCACTCGGTGGTCACCCAGTACGATCTCGTCTGCTCACGTGACATTCTCGTATCGGTCACCCAGTTCTTCCACCTATTTGGCGTCCTTACTGGCGGCATCCTGGCCAATCAGTTGCTGAAATAGTAAGTTGATGATGGGTGAATATGGCTAAGTCGATGGAATGGATAATTAATAAATGCATTTCTCTTTGCAGTTTCAGTCCGCGGAACGTAATGCTCTTCGGCATGATCACGCAAATATTTTGTGGCAACCTCACTGGACACGTGGCCTCTTACGAACTTCACGTCTTCTTCCGCTGCCTCTCCGCCGTGTGCTGTGCCCAGATGTACACTGCCGGAGGCCAAATCAGTAAGTACTGAGGCCTTGATTGCTCCTGTGATCATATCTCATGGATTCTATCTTCCACTCTGCAGTGGCCGACATAACAGGGGGGAAGTACCGCACCTGCGTCTCTACGCTTTTCGAGCAGTTCTGGTCCATTGGGGTGATGATGCTGCCCGGAGTAGCCAGCTTCTGGTCCAGCTGGTCTCACCTCTACATGGCCATCTCGTGGCCCACTGTGATACTAATCTATCTGTGGCAGTAAGTATTGGGGAAGAGTGAAGCCTTGAACATCCTAAAATCTTTGTGGCCCTATAAAGTAACTATATATGTATATATTCTTGATCAGGATAAATAACCTTGTCGATTTAGGTATGTCCGTCTGTCATTACTTTAGAAAACTATAAGAGATGGTACTTTTGGAGGTTTGGTTGGATAACCTCCAACAGCACACATCATTATACACAGACGGCTCTCACTCACTGCCATTCTTTACGCATGTAGATATGCCGAAAAACAAATAGGAAGTCTCACTCTCAGCCCTTACAGCACTAGAAAACCTAAAGAGGTCTACCTACTATATATTTGAAATTAGAAAACTTGCAGACCAAGCTGCTGAGCAAGCACCCCACTGCCATTAATATGAGAAATAAACTACAACGTACCATATACCCTTAAATACATTAGTAACCACATGAAAGCCCAAAATGGCCTTATATGGAACAACACATCTGTACACTACAAACTCATTAACACAAGAAGAGAACAATATCGAACTTTTAAATCCAACTATATCTCGAATATATACCATTAAACACCCAAAGCTGTGGGATCCGTAATATTAAGATTTCTGTTTGCTTTGAAAAGAAAACAAAAGTGTGCTCTTATGGTCGACTGAAACGTGCGTTTTTCCATTCCATTTCCAGGTGGATACCCGACTCGCCGCGCTGGCTGATCGCACGAGGACGTACGCAGGACGCCAAGAAGATCCTGCTGGAGTGCGCCGAGGTGAATGGAACGCGGTACAACCTGCCCCACGACATAGACCAGCAGCTGGAGCTGCAGGCGCAGACGGCGATGGACGCCCCTCCACCAAGTGGATGGTGGTCGATATGGAAGGGCGAGCGGGCAGTTCGGCATATGGTGTGCGTGCACCTAGCCTGGTCGCTATACATCGTCGTGTACTACGGCATGCTGCTCAATATTCGCTCCTTCAGTCGCGACCACCTGTACATAAACACCTTCGTCGCGGGCTTCAGCGAGATGATGGGCACTTTCTTCGGGCTCTTCCTGATCCTGAAGACCACCCGCAAGTGGCTGTGGACAGGACTCTTCAATATCGTGGCAGGCTGCGTCGCCTACTGCGGTTGGTTGGTTCCGAAGCCCAGCGTAATTGGGCTGGATCCGAACGTGGCCTTGCTAATGTGCTCGGCCATGGTATCGAAGATGGCCATATCCACGACTCTGAGCATACTTACTACCTGTACAGTAGAACTAGTCTCGGATGACAAAAAGAAAATCACATCGTTTTCTACAATCTGCTGGGCTCGTTTCTGGCTGCTGGGAGCCCCTTTCATTGGATCCACAGTGGTCTTCGGACAGCTCATTCCTCAGACGGCCTTTGCCTCTCTGGCCATTTTTGGTGGCCTGTGCACATCCTTGATAAGTAGTCCTAGAACACATCCCATCTCTAGACCAGCCTCACCAGCTGCCCAAGGAGCCCAGAACATGGCATCGCAGTTCACCATCATCGATGGAATGGACAACAAGGGCTATACGGCCACCTCGAAGGCCATTCACTCTAACAGCACCATTAGAAAACTGACCACGCCGCAATCGAATCTACCTCCTCAACTTATGCCCGGCATTTGGACGACCAAGATAAACGAGGACGGCCCACCACTGTGAACAGCCTTTCCAAAGTGATGTTGGGACGAAGAATTGGGTGTGGTTAAGCTTTGGAAGCTCATGAAGCATTTCCAAAGCCCAGGATTAAAGCCTTTAGGATAATGAATCCTGCGTTCAGGAGCAAGATACAGTTAAAGAAGCAGATGTTCAAAAGTAAGCTATTGCTAACCTCACAGCTAGGACCTCGGATGGGTTCACTTTGGTGGTGCTGTGACCTGTAAACTATAGTCTACAAAATTTGATAAATACTATATAGCCCGCTTAATAACTTTAGGGGCTCACTTTTTCGTAAGGCACATTAGAAAACTTTCTTAGGGAAGGATCAGGTTAAGTACTAGATCTTTTCGCACACTTAAGTAAGAGCTCAAATTTACCCAACTCGGAGTGCTCAAGTGAGAATATCTTAAGCACTTGAAGACAAAGGTACATTTCTAGGTAGGCAAACTCTTAAGCTTAAAGCTGTGGAATATAATCCTCAACCAAATTATTTTAAACGAATGCTAGGCAACAGACATATATATATTTCATTATCTTTAAATTTAGGGCATTAAACTATTTAGTAAACCCGGAAGGCCATAAGGCACTCGAGTCTGGGATTAGCTTCAGCGCAGCCATAATTAGTAGTCTCGTAAGCAAGTAAGCCAAATGTGGAACACGGCTTGGGACAAGCCCAGTATTACGCAGTCACCTTTGAACCAAATAAGAACCTTACCTCATGTAGAACCCACTGCACAGATAAACCAACTTCAAATGGTGATCCTTCTAAAGGCCTGTGGTTCCACATTTAAGTGATTGTGTTGCAAACACCTGGAGAGAATTACATGAAAAGACATACAAGAGTAGTTACACAATAATTACATATTATGGACAGTTTTAATTAACTAATTTTATCTATGATAAAAATCTCTAATTAATTGCGTAGAAAAACAATAATTTTAGTGTACACATTAATTACTTTACTACCGTTATGTATTATGATTATCAATTACCAAGCTAATTTAATATAAATCAATTAGTAGTTTTCAGGTCCTACCAACATACATACTACCAACTCTGAATATAAAATCTCTAGTGAATACGCTTAGCAACTTGTTGAATGTTATCTGAAAATGGTTACTATATGAAAGGAAATGTTATACATGGCAAAAGAGCAATATTTTTCTAATAAAGCATCCCCATTAAACCAATGCATTTAATTTATTTATATAATTTATGGGTAAGCAAACCTATTATATTAGGGCAGTACCCTTACAATACCCGTAAATTACATTAAAAATTTAACACGCCCCCATAATTATACAACCAAATCAAATATATGTAGGCACAGGACAAAAGAAAGAAAAAAGTTAGATTTCCTTTTTAGTTTTATTTACTTTCCTTATTTTTTATCCCAGCTTTATCTTGAAAAGAAACGTACATATAGGCTTCTAACAGGATTTGTCAATAACTCCGTGACTTCCTTAGCTTTTTTCGGCGAACCTATAAGAATGTAAGTAAGTTACGAAAAGCTTCGATTTACAGAGTCTCACAAAAAATAAAAATTACATATATTTATAAAATATTCGACATCCCTGGCTAGATTTAAAAACCGTATCGTGCGTTGGTTTCTATCGATAGCTTATTTGATAAGTAGATATTAGAGATGTGCAATGCGTAAACTAAAAAAAATGGACAGTGTGAAAATATTATCACATGCGATTTTTATAATATCCGTAATTTTTAAGAATTTTATACAGAGATAGGGAAAATTTAAGAAAGTAATATTTTCTTTATTAAATCCAATATATTCACGAAGTTTTAGTATATTACGTATGCGCCTGGTATTTCTGCCTAGAATCTGAACGGCCACACTTGCAAATATGCTTCTTTAAATTCTAGCGGCATTTTATGAAAAAAAAAGCAACGCGAAGGATTAGCGTCACTTAACGTCGTAATAAAAAAGATTTTGTGTTTTACGATAATACAGATTGTTAAAACAGTGCCATCGGCGGAAAGAATACTGGGATATATGCCATGGAATTCGATGGAACTGAGAATGGCTTGGGAATAGGAGTCGGCGCTCGCGGAGTTTTGCGGGAGATTAACAAAAACGAGGGCGGCGTAAAGGTAAGCAAAATAAAGTAACGGGACGTGTCCCGTCCAACCATGTGCGATATGCCAAAACATTCCCTTTCTACTAAGTAACCCTGGAATGCAATACACATATGGGGTAATGCCTCGAACGCAGGCCGTTTCTGCTATTTTCCTTTATTCGCATTTGTACATTGTATATTTTATTTGCTGCGTGGTTTTTATTTGCTTTGAGGCAGCTGTCGTTGATGCGAATTCGCCAGTTGATCGGTGTTCGCCGGACATTGTCCATGACAAGTGTCCATATTCCCGGACTAGCGAAAGCTCCACCCCAAAATGGGCAATAGGCCAGGCAAGACAAAGAAATCGAGGGCCTTAACAGAAGAAATGACCATAAAGGCGGACAACGGGCCAGGGAGACTGGTATGCTAAGTGAAAAATAAGTAAATGCATTGTGAATATGAATCATGACTATTTCGGAAATCGGATAATTATGGATGCCCCTTGAAGTTTACAGATGTCCAGATGTTGACTTAAAATTATATTGACCAGAGTTCGTAGTCAAATGCTTCCTAATGTGGATTTCTATTTCGTATCATCTTTTAATATGAGATGAAAGATTGTCTAAAGAAGGTTGAAATCTGCGATTTGACAGAAAAGTCATTAAACTCTAGGATTCAGAGACTCCCCTTTTGCCACCTACGATGATGGTTGTGGAGATCTGCTGTTGTCTGCACCCTTGTCGTCTACATTTGTTTTTTGTCTATTTATAGCTTATTTTATGGTCGTCTCTTCCAATTTTTGTTTGATTTTTTTTCTCAAATGTGTTGTTGCTTAGGCGAGTTTCAGTAAAAGTTTCAAATAAACATTGTTTATTCCCGTCTCCGAGTAAGACCATCTGATCCATTGGTGTATATTTTTATTATTTTTCATTTTCATCCAAACTAACAAGATATTCATCTATTATGGACCCTATCCAACAAAACATTATCTTTATCTATTTGACTAACTCATTAAACTGTAACTATCTAAGAAAGATTTAGTGGTTGGCATGGATTTCACTCAAGCTTGATATAATTTAACACCCTCATACATTGTTTTTGGATTCCCACTGGGCCGGGCGCCGGGTGATATCTTGTCACCTGTCACGCATTGCTTGGCTAACCCTAAGGCCAACATCTAGCTATTGCCACCTCGTCATGGCCCATCGTGTGGGATTCCGTTTCACTGCTTAGATTTTCTCGCCAAATATGCAAAGTCAGCTGTTGGGCAATGTGGAGCACTTCCTCGATTCGATTCGGCTCGACTTGCAGATAGTGCGCCGTGATGCGCAACAATGGCTGTGGGATTGCATGTCACTTGGCATCCACAAGGGCTGCACCGGGAAAAATAAGATGAACGTCAGAATAGCAAACATTCCTTACCTCTTTCCTCCTTTTTATATTTTCAACTTAGGAAAGTGTTGGTCTCTAGGCTAAGCCAAAAAATTATATCAAATATTTTGGAAGTTCATGTCCGACTTTCAACAGTCGCCTTATCAACTCTTTTTAAGATATATCTAAGGTCTTAGAGACTTAATGAAACAAATCTTTCTTGTTTTTCTATAAGAAGCTAGACAAAAAGTTGTATGTGCACGAGTTCCTTCAGCTGTCTTGCGAAGACTTTCATTCATTAGTAGTCGACGGTCGCCCTATTTACGTATTCCCCCGTTTTCTAACCCCTTCATTGAGTGTTTCGGCTTAGTTGCAGTGTCTTGCATTTTCACTGCTGCCATTTGAGTCTGAATCGAGTCTAAGGCTTGTCTAGCTTTTCAGTTTTCCATTGCAACTCAGACCAAAAGGTTGTCATCTGGCACCCGCACTCTTGCCATTGCACTAAATTACGTGCCAATTAAGTGACTTACATAAATTGAATTGCATTCGTTCGCCCACGCGCGCTTAAACGTTCGGCGATCGGACGATTGGCGATCTTTACCTTTTCGGTCTGACCAATCTATATCTATAATCAACCTAATCCAAGTCCATAACGGTTTAAAACAAGCTTGCTACTGACGGGCTTTATAATATCTGATTATAATCGTAGGTGTAAATCAGATCTCTTAATAAATGGGAACAAAAATTAATAATGCCTTTTCATAAGAAACTTTTTGAGATATATAAATCCCTTGTAAATCGAATTTGATTAAAGCTACAGAAAGCAATTAAATTTAGTGTAAATGTATTTAATGATATCCAAAACATTTCGTTAGTTCTCGAAATGTATTTTAAATATAGCACCCACACTTTGGGTGAAATCAGATCGTGTCCCGGGTGTTTTCTTAAATACAGCAATCAGAATGCTGCTAGTAATTTTGTTGGTTTCAATAATAATAATAATATGAATTAGTGAGTTTAGCATTTTCTTTGCAAATTAACTTATAGTTAGGCACCAGATTGATGGAAATAATGCTTTGACATAAGAAAAATAAGCAGAGTAAGATACATATTCCGAAGAGATTGTTACCGGCCACCAAAAATATAAAGAGAGGCAATAGCTAGTATTTAACAATACAGAGGGGTAGTGCTGATAAAGGGAAAGCGCCATGAGGGCTAGAAACGATCCAAACTCATAGTCATACGAAAACATCCGGATCGTTATGTGGACGCCATTCAATCTTACAGCTCTCTCTCTCACTGTCTATCTGCCGGGGCCCACACGCTCGCCTTAGTGAACAATATTTGAGCATGTGTGGCGCTGAGCGAAGCAAAGCAAATTGAAAACGAAAATATTTTTAAATTGATTTCAAAGACAGACAAGATCGGGCGCCGGCGAGAAGAGTCGCGGCTACGGGTCGCGAGAGTCCCGACGGTATTACCCAATATAATGGAAGAGCGGAAGGCGGAAAAGCGCAGTAGAAATTTTACCGAGTAGGCGAGTCGAAATCTGTGTCACAACGGAAGCACCGAAAAAAGGAAAATACACTAAAGGCCAAACAAGAAATTCTATCGATCCGTCGGTTTATGGAATCAAGTGAACCGTATCGCGCCTAGGAGTTAATCGTGCGTAGAGCATCATGGACTTTATCGCGAGTATCATGAAAAGGCCTAAGAGCATCGCCACCACTGGCATTACCTCCACTCAGTCAGCGGCCATGGAGGCCTCAGAAGCTGCTAGTCCCCCGGAAGATCTTCCATCAGCAAAGGTTACCGAAGGAGTTTCACTGATCTCCCCCCACCTCAGCACTCTACTTGAATCTGCTTCGGAGGATCTGCTGCGTTTAGAAGAACAGCACTGCAATCTGCTGATGGAACCCGTCCCCATTCCACTTGCAGCTCCCGAAACCAACAGTGCTAGTAGGGAAACCATCCAGCAGCTCCTTAGTGAAATTAACGTGAATCTAAACCAAGTCAGTGCCAATGAAATGGAGCACTTGCAGGCCATGAGTGGCGAGGTATGTCACAGCACTATGAAGTTCGTTTTTTAAAGACATTTTTCTTGATTTTTTTTTTGCATTTTAATATGACGTGTTAATACCTTTAGAAGGGTATTCAAGTTGTAGTAAGAGTTTTGTAAAACTTTTTCAAAACATATTTTATACACATATTTTTCAATAATTTCAATTGTTTCGCTGTATATCTATAGGAGGAAAGGAAATCCGTCACCCTGGCTTATAGGCAGTTTTGTTATTTTTTGCCAACTTATTGCGCTTCAAAATTATTTAAAATGGCGCTGCATTTAAATTTATTTTTGCCTAAAATTAGCTCAATATATGATATTGTATCACTGTGTTCACTTTTTTTTGTTGAATTCCACAGGGTGTTCCCAACATTTTATTTTAATGATATTAAAAAAAAAAATATTATTTTAGAACAAAATTAAAGTACCGTGAAAACGCGCTAGGAAATAATTGAAACAAAATTACGGAAAGAAAACGTTTTTTTTTCACTTTTTTTAACTTCATTATTAGACTTATAATTACCACTACCCAATTTGTCCTTTACCAAAATTTTCACATTTTCCATTGCCCCGCCCATTTTCCGACCCACACTGGCTCATTAGCCGACTTTGCTGACTTTAACCTTGCCGCAAACATCGCACTATAATACGTTCTAATTAAATTCCCTGAGTAGAACATTGCACCCAAACCTGAATAAACGGAAAACATGACGGACCGGGCCAGCCGCATTGAGTCCGCCGTATGTTCATTTTGCACTGCACAAAAGCGGACGCCGACCCAGTTTCACATCTATCTCCCCACCTTCTGTTCCTCAATCACCTCCACCGCCGCCTTCCTGCCGCAACCCCGATTTCTGACGTCTTGGCTGGCTTTTAAATTAATGACATTTGCTTGTCGACTGACCGACCACGCCGAACATTTCCAATGTGTGCTCTCACTTGTCCCAGTGTGGAAAGTATCTAAACTATCAGTCATTAGCTCTAAAGGATGTATATTCTATAGTTATTCTCTTTAATTGATTGTAGGTCTTAAAAGTAAGTTGTGTTATATATATATATATATATATATATATATATATATGATGATGAAATGTAAGAATTTTCTCTGCGATGGTAAATTGAAAACATACATTTTAAACTCCAATAATTTGGGATTTTTATTGCAATAATTAGCTAATTTAATTGCCATCCAATTACAACATATTTAGTTATATTGGGCGAAATGTGTTTTTACTTAGAGCAGACCACTGTAATCCCAGACGTACCTATTTATATCTTCAGCCTACGAAGCCCTTACGTCCCTTCTCTAAAACAATATGTCAACAGTTCTTAATTAAGCGCCAAAAACAGCTGCTGTCCGTGACCATCTTTCATATCCCAACGCTTGTTTACGTATTTCGTCTGCGAATTGTTTTGATTATGTTAATTTTTTTCCTACTCATTCCACTTTAATTTTCAAAACTTTTCATTCGAATCATGTTGCACGCGATGTACAATTTGTAATTAATTTTCTTGCATTTTCTGCATCTCTCCCTTGGCAGCTAAGTCCGCTGGCGGTGAAGCCCAATCCCAAGCCATCGAGCATGGAGCAACAGAAGGCTCTGGTCGCTGCTCTGGGGCACCAGACGGCAGCAACTGGTTGCCAAAATCTTAATGTGGGAGTGGTTCCAAAATTTGGAGGTCTGCCAGAGTTTGACGAGACGCAAATACCAGAACTGGCTCCTTCAAGTGCCGAAATGGAGGGTAAGTTAACGCTCAAGCTGGTTTCTCAATGACAACAAACATTTTATATGCAAACTCGGGTTCAGGACCTACGTTAATATATTTGTAAACAACTCTACTGCAGTTGTGGTTTACTCTATTTCCATTAAATAACTGTATTTTTTTCTAACTTACTTACACTCTTAAAATGATTTCACAGTTCGCCACTCGGATTCAGATGTTTTTGTGGAATGTCTATCGCTTCATAGCGAGAGGTATACCGCAGATCGCTCTGAGTTAGAAGCCTATTCGAGTGCTCTTAACGATGTGTTGGAGCAGCAGCTGTCCATGACATCAGCTGCAGCTTTGGATAACGAAATCGAAGATCCTTTGGCTGTTAACCAGAACGACAACGTCAGCTATGAAGCCATGGATGTGGATGATATCAGCGAAACCATGGAAATGTTAAAGGATGTATTAGGCCCCGAAGATCATCAGCTTTTGCAACAACATATTCTCAGTGAATCTCAGCCAGTTTTACAATTAAGTAAGCAGGAGATCAAAATACAGGAAACAGAACGTCCAAGTCCGGACGAAGTAATACAGAAAGACGACGATCAAGGTCATCATCAGATCCAAAATCCGCCGCTGGAGGAGCCAGAACAACCTATACAACCCCAACAACCTCCGAATGTCCAAAAGCCCTCGGAACTGACTGAGGTCCATACAAGTACCTCTATTGAGTTCCCCAAGAAAGATCAAGAAACTTCGGTGGTTGTAGAAACCGCACAGAGCACTGAATTGGATCTACCAAAAGCATCCTTCAGTCTTGAGCAAAATACATCACCGGCTGTAGAGGCTACCGAGGAAGAAATTAGCGGGGAGGAGTTTGAACCCATGGAAGTAGATGTCTCTATTAGGATGGATGAAGCAACGGAGCTTGGGTCGTCTCGGCACCCACATGTCGAAATCCAGGCACCAAATTTAACCCCTACTGCGTCTAAAGTCTCAGAAGAAAATAACCAGAATGTGGGCGTACCAGAAGATCCATTGAAGAGTACTGGTCTGCAGCCATCAGAAGTACCACTACCAGCAGCTCCGCTCTCACCACCCATACCCACACATACCCTTCAGGACAAAACGGATGAGCTGGGTAATTCTCCGCCCATACCCACACACCGCCCAAAAACAGCTGAGGAATTAAAGTTCCTAGCCCTAAAGGAGCTACCGTTGCCAGATGATATTGATACTGAAAGTAATGTTCCTCCGCCGATACAAGAAGTGGATAACGTGGCACCGGACGAGCAAGCTCATATCCGTTTAGTTGCTGCAGTCACACCCAGACAAAAGCGATCGGCGACGCCTTTGTCGTTGGATGTGGGAGGTTGTACCACCGAGGTATGCACTCCAGAACCCACGTCGCCAAGTTTTCCTCTCAAAGGACAGGCGGAGAAACCATCTCATTTCCCGCGCTCTCCACATGCTCCACCAGAGCAGGAAGAGATGCCCTACCTGGAAGAAGCTGTGATAGAACCAAAGCAAAGCGGTTTTGGAGCTGGAGTCATCGCTAAGTCAGCAGTAGTCATTGAGGTAACACAATCGAGTCCGGAGAAGCAGCAACATCTTAATGAAACCTTGCCAATGGAGGAGCGTTCACCCTCACCCTTGAATGAGACCTTTGACAGCGGTTGGAAAATGGAGGATAAGCCACAGGCGGATTATCAGGATATTGAGGGTTCCTCCACATATGCAGTAAGCCTTGGATCGGTCGACGATCATCAACGCCGAACTTTTTCGGTAATTCAATCTACGGCGGATACGGGCGAGTCAAAAGCTCAACAGACAATATTTAAGGAAAAGGAAAATGCGCGCCGCACCTTCTGTTTAGAGCAAAATGCATCGCCAGCTATGGAGGCCACCGAAGATGCAATGGGTAATGACGCCATGGATTTGGATGTGTCCTTGAGGGTAAATGAGGTAACCATTGTTAAGACACCTCAGAAAATCGAAAAAGAGTCACAGGCACCTATCTCAAACTCGCCCCCGATTCCCACTCATCAACATTTAAAGAGAGCCCCTATTCATGGTCTGAACTCTCCTGTGTCGCCACTGGGTAATGCTACTGTTGTTTTGGAGGAGCAGGCCCTATCTGCCAAGGAACAAGCCACCCTTAGTGCCAGCGATGAGAAGGATGATGTTTTTGTGGAGCACTTCGGTGCCATTTCTCCTGTTTCGGATGACATGTTCAAGACCCCACAGTTCACCAGCAGTAGTTTCAACAATCAAGCCAAGATGAAGGCCAATGGTGCTGGGGAAATGGGAGGTAAAGCTGCTGCTGCGATGAATAGACAAGGACGTGCTGCCTCTGTTGAGGAGGAGGCCGTCTTTGATGCCCAATTCCAGGATGGCGCCAGCAACCAAAACCGTAAGTAAAAAAACCCTTTTTATTTTACAGGGAATGTTACATCATTTTTTATTACTGTCAAGTATTTAACAAGGTTTTAAAAACTGTATTATATATATTAATATTTAATGAGGTTATACTTATCGATTAGGATGCTTATAAATTCTTAGTTTAGATTATGATTTTTAATAACAAACAAAAACTTTAATTTCAAAAAATACCAGTTTTAACGAGCCTTAATTTGACGGAAACAACAATTTGCTTCTAAAGCCGAATACCAACATACGATATTTTTGTCTAGCAAACAAATTCCTATACTAATCGTGAAAAAGTTATTAAACATTTTTAACAACATGGAATTGCTTTTGATGCTGATCAAAATATTTGCACTTAAAATTTAATTAAATTTATTAATTTTTATTTATTTAATACTAAAGTATCCTAAATGCTTATTCAATTGAATTTAAAAAAATCGAACAGTTCGATTTTATCTTACAACGCCCAAATCATCTCAAACTAGTGAGGTTTTAACGTAATTACCACTTACAGGGGTACCACTGTGCCGTCGAGTCCTTTGCATGTTCGTGTCCTTAGCTCATCAGCCATTACAAAAACCCAAGCACTCATAAACCTTTGAACTTGAAATACATATGTATTGTGTGTGGGGAACCCATAGTTCCTCCTTTGCCCGCATGGACGATATCGCGGCGATATCTAACTGTAAAAATAAACCTAGCACACGAGCAAGGCAATGAACCTGAACTTCAAATCGGGAAAGGGAACTTCGAAAAGCCAAAAGAGCACACCAAAACAAAGGGGCCCCACAATACCAATTAGTAACATAATTTTATTTTTCAATGGCGAACTATGGGGTGTAGGAAGTGACTTTTTGTTTTGGTGTTTCATGTTCGTCTGTACGTTTTCTGTACGTTTTGTTCGTTCCCGTTTCCTGGTTTTGTTGTTATTGTTGCTGCAAATGCATTTTTTTCGTGCTCTTATATGGAAAATGCCGCATTACGCGTGCTCTTGCCCTCTCCGTCTGTTGCCTCTCCTAAGCAATGGTACTCTCTCTGCCATTGCAACTCTCTCATTTACTAAGTACTCTTTGTCTCTTGAAGCCCTTATCAGCAGAATATCGTAAGCTATTATAAAAAGCGAATAGGAAGAACTCGACTCTCTGTGACGTCACTTTGTCCAATTGAACCCACTCTGTCAGATTTTGTTGTTCCTAGTAACTTCCAAAGGCTTTGCATCAGTATTTGTGCCTTGATGAGCGCATTTATATTTTTGTTAATTACCCAAGCTTATGGATAATTGGATAATTTGATAAATGGCTGCCCACTTATACAACGGAAATTATTTCGTTAAATTTATTTGTTTTGTTTATTTCGGAACTTAGTTTTTGTTAGTTCTTACATTTTTGAAATAGTTTTATTGGTGGCGCCTAAGTTATCGATATCGCTGACTATAAAAATGCATCTCTGATTTCTCTCAATAACGCACACATGAACTACAAAAAATTAATAGGCTTTCTACTGCGCTCTCATCATTCATAGAAACTACAACACTGCACAGTGTGCATTCCAAAATGGGGCAATTTAATAAAGTCGAAAACGAATAAATGTTTGTATTCCCTTTTGTTGTGAAAGTATCTTTTTTATGAATTTGAAACTTTCTTATAGATAATGTTTTCAGAACGTTATATAGGACGTTTGGTTAAGGAACTATAATTCAAAATGTCATGTATTGTTTCTCCTATGTGTCAAATTATTTTATAAAATGGCATAAGTTCGCGGGTTTATTAAAAATGAAAATGGAAAATAATTTTATTTTGGTTTGTTTATTTAATAACTATTTAATTGAAGAAAATTTTTTAGTTTTTAACGTTTTTAGTATCGCTAGTTGACTGTGACCTATCGAATGCTCTCTTCTCCCATACACACCAATACCCAAGCGCATAGGAATTCAACTTAGAACTCGCCATGCAGTTACACAGCAACCTCTCATCTGTAGTAGAACGAGAGAGAGATAACTAAGGGGAATGTTGGTGGGGGTGTGAATGTGGAGAGGAAGAACGGGCGCAACTCCAAACAGACAACGTGTACACAGCGCTCTCTCTTTCGCACTTGCTCTCTCTGCGCACTTGCTGACTGCTGAATACGCGTCACTGTCCCACACTCCAGTCAGAATTCAGGCTCTTCTGTTCGCTTTTTCACTCGCTCGCGTGCGTGCGTTGGTTTGTCTTATTGGACTTGCGGAGAGAAATGTAAGCAATAAGAAATTCCATTTCAGTTAGTTTTCAACATCTGACGTCGCTATATCTATCGGTAGTACCCTACTGCTGTTTAATCTTGGGATTGCCAGGCTGCTAAATTGGCAAAAGTAAATTTGTAAAGCGCAAAATTAGAATTATTTGTTTGTTTACCAAGGCTAGAGTAGCCTTATTTTGAGCTTGGCTCGCAGGAAGTGCTAGAAATTGGAAATGCAGCCAGCAGCTGTGCAGAAGAAAACAACAAATAGGCATAAATAAAGCCAGAAGACAAGTCTCCGAATCGCCAAGTAAAAAATAATATGTGAGAGTGAGAGCGTGAAACTTCATTGTGTGATTTGCTCTGCGTATTAGTGTTTCTTCGAACGTATATGTGCGTGTGGGTGTTTTCGGGCGCTGCGTGGTCATGGCTAACAATATTATGTGAATAACTGTGGAAAATCTTGAAAATGCACACCTTGTCAAAGACAAGACACGCAATTAAGACGCAGTGCAGGGCGAGGAGCTGCTCTCTCTCGCTGCTCCGCTCTCTCCGCTTCCAGTTACATTCCCATTTCTCCTCTCCTTCAATCAACCCACTTTCGGAAACCATTTGTCGATTGCATAAAATGACTCACAAGTCGACGTTTCCCTTTGTTTTGTTTTGGTCCGCTGTTTGAGAAATCGGAAAATGCATAAAGCTAAAGCTACATATCCGATAGTTGTGACCTGCATTGAATATCTGGGCCTGCCCGGGTTTCCTACTATTTTTAAAGCCGACCATCGCTCTGCATTTGTTTATGAATTCTCTCCATTCCATTTCCATGTGCACTGAAATAATAGGGTCCACCCTCTTCCATCGACACAATATCTATCGTGTCACTTTGAATTTTAAAAAAGAGGAGTCGCTTACAAACATAAATTTATATAATATCATTGTGTGCTTATTTTTTTGTACTTTCTATGATTAATAGTTCTTATCAAATTTGTCATTTGGTATGGCTCATTTGACATATTCCTAAATCCTAGGAACTATGTAATTGTTTTCTGTGTACTGTGAAAATAATAACGCGGCTTCTATGCAGAACAGGCACACCTCATTTTCGTGCCCCTCGGGATCTGGGTTTGGGATATAGGGGGTTAAATGAGGAGGGACCCTTGCTTTGAGTCATGCTATATCTTAATTTTCTTTTTGTCATCGTTCTCCCCCTTGTCTTTTGTTTTCCTTTTTACAAGAAAGAATTTTGAATGTAAGATACATTTTTATACTCTTCTTTAAATTTTATACTCTTCTTTAAATCAGCATTTCCTTAAAGCTTATTGACAAAGTCGGTTCAGTTTGCTGATAGTGCACCTTGTCAATAAAGCCAGCAAAATCATTAGAGATAAAGATATTAGTGATAGTAGGAAAAAAAAAAGCAATTACAAAAATAATAGAAATCATAAATGGTTAAAGTTGTCAATTAGATGCGTTGAACTAGATTAGATATGGGTGATCCAATCTATACGCTATAAATTTTCAATTATGGCAACCCTAACTCAATATTTTGCAACCCGTTTCTCAACCCGAACCCTAGCGAAGCTTTTAAGTATTTATTTTCAAGGGGCGTTTTGTCCATTTCATTTCCTGCATAAGTGTTTTCCTTCAGTATGTGACATGTATATATGGTACATTTCCAAAGAGAAGAGGTTAAAGAAAACCTTGGTTGACATTGATTTGAATTGATCTGATTAGAAACCGAAATGGAGCCTTCGAAGCCAGTGACTAACTATTGTTTTTGTATTTCTTCTTCTTTCCTCACAAAACACAAATGCACGCGCATGCACTCATCTAAACCCACCCATCAACGCACTACAAACCACGAACGCCATCCACAGTAATACTGAACTCATTAGATTTTGATTATTTGTACACGAAAGGCAGCAATAATGCGCCCATCGATCGGAGTTCGCTGCTGCTGAAGTTTGACCCGCTTCTTGGAGCCCCTGTTCCCGTTAACCATCCGAGTCAGCAGGAGCAGGCGCTGCTGAATATCCTGGGCTCTAATCAAAACAGGATCCTAAGTCCCACATTGGAGGAGCACGAGACAAGTGGCGGAAACCAGTCGTTTGGAATAGTACCCAGTGCCAAAGATACCGCCAAGAAGTTGGACTTTAAGCCACCTGTGGATAGGACAAAAGTAAGCTATAAGACTTCATTTTGCATTACGAAATTTCGATGAAAATTTCAATGGTTATTGTCCATATTGAATGTAGTTATTAAGTTATATAAATAATATTGTGACTAATACATTCTATTGATTTCCACAGAAGCATGTTAAAATGAGCGTGGACGTCATTGATAACGATTGCAACAAAACCTTCGATAATTCCAAGTGAGTATCAGATAAATTAGTTATTATGTACCAATAATAATATATTTTCTTAACTTAGCCTTAATACGGAGGACAAAACCCACAGCTACAACAACATGGATGAGCTCGAGAAGAAAATAAAAAACGAAGTGTAAGTTGATCTCGTTCATAAATAAATTCGAACTAAAGTTATTTATCATTGCAGAACAAGGTCCGAGGACATTGAGAAGAAGCTGAAGGAGGGAGAGCAGCGGGAAGAAGCGCTGATCAAACGTATCACAGAAAAGGATAAAACAAATGCAAAGCTGAAGTGAGTAAGACTTTTCAGCTATTTGGAGCATATGAAATGCGTACAATCATAAGAGAGTTTCCTACAATCATTTGCCTAGTAGAAACGTAACAAATTTCACTTCTCCTTGATTTCATTCCATTACTCTTTAAATTGTATTTTTAAATAAGGATAAAATAATATTTAAATAATAATATAGACTCTGCATTTTTGATCCATGTTGATGAACTGTTCGTCAAAGGCGTATAAAAGTAATAATATAATAGTAATGTAAATGCTTACAGGCTATACGCTTCTTTAATTTGTCTGGTACACCAAGTCCCTCTATCCATGCTCTTAGTCTTTTTAAATATTGTTTCTTATACGGTACATTGATTTTTACTAGATAACGATAAGATCTAACATATAATTCTGTAACTAATTAATGTTTTCCGTATTTTCTCAGCGGTGTCATCGAAGCTTATGAGAAGGCCATTGCGGAGCTAATCAGTGAAAAGGAGCAGCAGGCGCAGCTGCACGAGCGACAGTTGCAGGAAGTACAGGCAGACCGGGATGCCAATTACCATCACTTAACCTCGCTGGAAACGACATTCTCCGATCTGCATGTGTAAACACCACCTTAACAGAGAAAGTTATAGTAGTTTGGACAAACCACTAACCAATCGTGTTATTGCAGGAAATACGAAAAGAGCAAAGAGATGACCTCGCAGCTTAAGAGTAACGAGGAGACTCTTCTGGCAGAGCGGAAGCAAATGATGGACAATCTGCGGTTGCAGGAGCAGCGCTACGACAAGATGAAAAACCACGCCATGCAGCAACTGGAAATGTGAGCTAGTTAATTTTTGAAAAAAGCTGTTGTTTGTCTAACGAATATTTTTTTCCGATCGCTAGTGCCAACAAAAAGCTGGACACGTACGCTAGGGAGCATGCGGACGAGTCGAAAAAACTAAAAGCTTTACTTAAGAAGGAGGAGATCTCGCGTGTCTCAATGACGGAACAGCTGCAACAGAAGTCGCGCGAGAACGCCGATCTGCTGAAGATCTGCGAGGAGCTCATCTACGGAAAAGGACAAGGTGGTAGTAGTTAAACTCAACCCGCGGATTGCCCGGAATGTATTTTATATGTTGCTGTAAAATCGCACACACCCCCATCACAACACTCTCATCCGGCATGTGGAGCCCATCTCGCAGCATGTCCGTAGAAATGTAACTGCGCCTCGATCATCGTCACCCCCATTCGTATCATGGTGTAATAACTGCTCGGTTGCGTGCTCTTAACTGAATAAGAAAATGCAGATGCAGAATTGTTTCATATTGCCAACTCCACTTATGTTGACTTTCAAGATGTTCACCTAACGTTCCGATGCATATTATACTTTTTCTAGATTTTTAGTTGACCCGTAAACACTCACTCACACAAGTCACAGGCAGACCCATCGCGTTCCGTTTGAGTTCCATTCGTCCTGCGGGTCTGGTTGGCCGGCATATGTTACTAATTCTCTATCGTATCGAATCTGTCTCCTGATTTTGTTCTATGATATTACCTGGCGGTCAGTTGTGCACGGAAACTGTAATGCGTTTGTGGTTTAGATACTGACCAACGAAGCAAAACGATATTGTGCAACGGCAGCTAAACCAATATGCAAATGCAAACAATAAACAGCGTTCGCTTGAGGCGCGCCTTTATTAAATGTTTAAGTTTAAACTTAGTTTAATTTAATTGAAGATTTGTATTAGGCGTACTAAGAATATCTCTGTATTACATACTAGTACTAAAACAAGAAAGCGTAAAAAACAAAACGGAAACATTCAAAATACACGCTAAACTTATTTATGCATAAAATAACATTTTTGTTTGCTTTGTTCAGCGCTTGAATGATATTTTGCCCAATACTGGAAGAGGTTGCCTTACATAGCAGAAATACTTAGATAAGTCAGAGCAAAAGCGCTAGGACAAACAGTCCTATAAAAAATGTGCTCCTTTTTTAAATGTTCCAAGATTATTTTTGTATGTTTTAAAGAATTAGTACATCTTTTAATTACAATTTTTATTAACTTTAATAATGGTCAACTTTTGCTATTTATAAAACTGTTTTTTTGAATGAAGATAATTAAAACTCCTCCCGAAAACAAGTTCTACATTAACCTAAAGTGGAAGCACTATGGCCAACTGAGAAATTGTAAGCACTTTTTGTAGTAACCTACTGAAACAACACGATCCAAATGAACCCGTTGATAACTCTTAATGAATTTTACTTCCATTTATGACATTTACTACTCTACTCTAAGAGCAAAATGAAATTGTTGATCACAGTAGGAGAAGTGAAGAAGACACACGAATTGTATACAAATTTGTACCCAGTCCATATAATCTGAAAAAAAGCTACTTCATAATATATAACAGCATACATATATATTTTTCTAAAGTAGAAAACACAGATGAAACCCCCAGACACAAAGATGCGCTTTTAGGGAAAGTTTTCAAGGAAAAGCCCAAAGTAAATATTGTAGTTTGCCATTCGAAGACGAATGGATAATATATCAATGCGCTGTAAAAACACATAAATAGTATTAAAGCATGCCAGCACATATGACTTACGATGTGTTGAGCAGGCGTTGTACGTAAAGGTGATTGAACGAGTTGCATTCAATAAATAAAATATGTACTTGCAATATATCTCTTGCATTTGGTCGTTGATTTTTCCAGGTGCTTACAGCGGTGACAATAATGTTATATGTAGTATGCTTTTGGGGATTGTGTAAAACGGTGTTTAGGAAGCATCGGACTCTGCATATTGTCATTGAAAACGGAAATTTATGACGATGTGCATCGGGATATTGCGACCACTGTATATAGTCACAAAAATGAAATAATATATTCAAATATTTTGAAATGATCCCCAAATGAAAATATTTGAACTTTTTGTTGGTTTGTTTTAATTTTATTTTTTTAAGATCTTGGAAAACGAACTAGTTAAGAGGAAAAAAAGCTAGTTATTGCTAAATTTTCTTTGCTCTTTTAAACCTCCATCCACGCAGTCGATGTTGTTGAAGAAGTAATTAAATATTATCAATTTTGCCTATAGTTAATTTCTCCATTTGGTCATCGAATCACTGAGCTTTCTTACTTTTTATATCAATATGATGATATTTTTAAACATTTAAAATGTATATCATGTATGGCAACATAAGCAGTGACTCTTAAAAGTGACAAGCACCTTTTGTTGCTTGGACATTAAAACTTGCCAAAAAATATGCATCACAAATTTGCATAACATCATGTTATTATAGAAACAAACATGTTATTATAAAACAAATTGTAAGTTAACCATTACTTATAATTTCAGAAAAGTTTAAAGCAAAATATTTTTGAAATACCTGTGTTAAATTTAAAAATGTTTATTCCATATTTATTTTATGTATAGTGATCAAGATTTCTTTGGCTTATTGGCTTGAATCTATGAGATGTTTAACATTATGAAAAGTATCCTGGTCTACAGGACGTCATACTATAAAAATGTTATGCTTGCCTGAAAAGTCGAATATCTTTATTCTGTTCTAATATTATGTTCTGCTTAAAACAAACAACAAATAACAAAGAAACCTAAAGTCGTGTGCTTTAACTATAAGATACCCCTTTCACTGTTATCCAACTTGAAGGTAACGCACCATCTGCATTGTATTTCCATTAAAAACATCTATATAGGAATAACATTTTTAGATATGCTTGGTATTACTGCAATGCATGGAAGGAATACCAGGTTAATTCCAGGGGATAAGGCTTTATTTCAATTTATTTTTCGTTAAACAGTAACAGTATGCGTTAAAGTAGGCGCGGCCACCTTATTCTGAGCCTGAATTTTAAACAGTCTTTTGATAACATAAGTTCGGGCTGTAATTCCAATTCTTTTGTTGTCAAAATATAAATTTGTATTTCCTTGATGGCTATCCTTATTCCTCTAATTGTACCAGTTTACTGTACGCAGTGTAAAAGGGGATAATGCATTCAATGAAAAGTAAGTTACAGGAAGAAGGAAGTATTTTGGACTCTATAAAGTTTATAAGTCGAGCACAAACAGTACTTCCTAGCTCTTACAGCGCCTAAGACCCCGAACCTGATTTAGAATATACATATATACTTTAGCCTTATAATATCCCATACATACTTTTCAGCGAACGCAATGTATGCTTTTACTCTGCGACCAACGAATATAACAATTAACAAGGATATAAGAAATGTAAGAATACTTCGAATTTTTCTGAATCTTGATTAAAATCAACATGGAGTAAGTTCAAATATTTACCCTCTGCAGTGCTTTTTGTGACATTTTCTCGAACAATTGTATTTCTAATTGACAAATATAAACACTTTGGCTTTAAACCCGATAATTAAATGATACTATATTACATCATCAAAATCCAGAATCGCATTAAATCCGAAAGAAAATGGCGTATCGGCAGAGTATCCGAGGTTCAGCAGTGGAAAAGTGGCAGCGAGCTTTTCACTTTTGTTTTTATATAGGAGTGCGATGGAGCGGCGGAGCGTCAGTCGGTTTTCGTTCGTTGCCGAGTTTAGTTCACCGCGATTCCACCTCTGATCTGCGGAGTGGCGACGGTTTGTGGCAGTTTGATTCAAATTCCCGTGCTGCTGGAGCTGGAGCGCTGTGTAAATTAATTGCTTGCTAAATAGATGAACAAACTAAAGTCAATAAACCATTAAAATCCGAATGGAAGAACGGCTAGCTCTTTTGTGAGGCTTGTAATCTTCTGACGAATGTCCGACTTGCGATGAGTGTTTACTAAATGCAATTAATTCTCTTTAACAGCTTAACAGCATCTCGTTAACTATACGATTCCGAAATTAAGCAAACTTGTTGCCCAGTAAACTATATACATATATCGTTAGCCCCAGAAAAACCAAACAACCAAAGCGGCCAGCATGCAGACAGTCATTAAGTAAGTACGGACACCTCCTGCCATGTTTTGATTCCTGCTTTTCCTGTACACCAAATCCCAAATCCCAAATCCCAATCCCAATCCAAAATTGTACAGGCGGTTTCACTATCCGTCCCATCCACTCGGCATTCAGCCACATATCTGAGTTGGTTATGTGTAAAAAGAAAGCTGCGCATGGTTATTGAAAACACGTTTCGAGGGGCCTTCTGCTGGGACCCTGGCTTATCATTGGGACTGGGCCCACCAAATCCACAGAAAGAAATTTTGATTTTTTTATTATTTCGATTCAAAATCCAATTGCATACTTGCTGTCTCTCGCAGGGGATTTTCTTTCATAAGACTCTTTGCCAAGTATTTCCAACATTCGAAGTATTAATGTGTATTAGGTAATAGTGGAAATATTCAACGTCAAAGCCACATCTTCGATTGATTATAGTTGAATTCAAGATGTCTAAAATGATCATGTTTTTCTGTTTGTGGAGTGGCAATGACAGACAAAACTAAATCCAGCTCCCGGCAAATCTTCATTTGAGTTTGGGTGCATCGGTGGACACTGGAAAACGGGTTTCAGTTGGCCGGGGTTCACTTTTGAGTGGGATCGGTGTTAATCGAGTTCAGTCAACCAAATCGCTTGGGGGCTCCACATACGAACCTGGGAGATTAATTGGCGTCGTACGCGCTTTTATCAGCGATTTCTAACAAACTGATTTCGGATCAATTCAGATGAAATCATAGACTTTCAAAGGTGCATTTGTGCGTGCTGCTTGCCACTGAAATTGATTTGCCATCGCATGACCATTCATATTTCGAATTTCCTATTTTATTATTTCTGTGGCACAGCCTGTAATCACTTTTATTTGACAGGGACGCGTAACCGGAATTATTTAAGGTACACACTACCGGTTCCCACTGTCCACTGCCCACAGCTCATTGTTCTTAGGAGTAGAAAACTGTAGGCATTCTCTAGCCAATTGTTAAGATACAATGCTGAGACTATTGTACTGCTAATGGCGTTGAGCGTGTTCAATGGCTTTGTTTAAGAAGCAAACAGAAATATTTGGCGAAGATAAGAAACTCCAGCAAATATCGAAATTGACTCAGACCTGCTGGCATTGTTTACAAGTTAATTAAAATGTTTGCTCTCGGCCAAAAAAGTTCGGATAATCGAAACCGCATAAACACACCGATTCAACGTATCAGCTGTAAACATCTCCGTCCGATCACGTTTTCTACTTATACTTTAAGTGTAAACAAAAGTGTATTTCTCTTTTATTATTTTTATTAGATTAAGGTGTAGCCGAATATTCGTAAACTTTGTTTATGCGAATTTTTCTAGGTCAGCGTTGCGTAACCCTACTTTTTGCCCTTTCAAAGCTCCATGGTCTGATCAGCCGTATATAAAAATCTTTCCGAGTCAACATAAATCATGTGACTTCATGATTTTGGGCAAAACAACAATAAAGTGCCTTGTAGACCCCCGAAAATGGGAGGAACTCAAAACAAAGTCGCACCTTTGATGGAAATGCCTAGCCGGTTTTACCAACGACTAATACAGAATGCCTTTGTTTTTCAATGTTTCTTTTAGGGTTTCTGGGGCAGACTCTTGATTCGAACTAAGGAAAGAGCCGAGAAGCAAGCGCTGTTTCCCTTGTTGGGCTACGGCTTCAGTTTTTTATTGCTGGGTAGCTATTTGCTCAAATTGCATAATTAAATGCACGCAGACCTTAGTGCAACTCCAATTATGGTCAGCACAGTTTCTTGGCCATGCGGTTGCGTTTTCTTGGCTTTTCGTTTTCTTTTTCCATGCACCGCTGAAGGTAACTTGTGCGGTTTACCGATACTCTCCTCCCTCCGGCACTAACTGACCTTTCCCCCTTGCTCTGCTAACAAAACTCACGGGTTATGCAAGCCATAAAGCCCGCGAGCATATTAGTGAGCTATTTTTGGGCACAAGATCACCACCGAAGTTTGAGCTTCTTTCGCTTCAAGTTGATTCTAGCCACTATTGGTGGCCACTTTCTCTCTGCTTTGATTTTGGATACCCCGCCCGGCGAAATCAGTTGGAGAAAGCGGAATCGATCTCGCCGCTTATTCTAATTTTGGAGAGTGGAATTCTGGCAACAGAAGCTTAATTTTTATCTGTCGACGAACAAGTTGGCGATCGGATTATTTTGAAATCTTGATATCTTTTAAAATAAAGTTGAAGCTGTGATTTCTTTCTAGTCTATCTTGACTTTTCAATGATATAGCTTGGTTTTAAAATTATATATAAAACATGTAAGAAGAAAACCATTTTTAGCGATTGACCCCTTAGTAAGATTACTACTTCAGCGAGTCCATATAAGCAGAGGGACGATAATAAATGACTAATTAAGTAATTCCAATCTGCCACAAACATATAGCATTTTGAGTCTTGACACGTTTTAGTAATGAAATCATCCTGATTCCTTCCGCAATTGCATTCTTGTAGCCAACGCAGAGTAAAATTACTTCACAGTTGTTTGTTGGCTTTACTGATACCCCCAGTAATTTATGGCTCAGGTGGAGTAGTATGGGATGGGCTGGCCTGGTACCGGGTTGATTCTGGTCGCTTCCTCATGAGGAGCACGTGAGTCGTTGAAAAGCAGGCCAACGACAGTAATTCAGTAATTCGGGAAGATTTTGGAGCGTGTAGCTCACGTAATAGTCCGCTCTTTTATTCGGCTTTCTTTCGCTTCAGGTACTCGTTCTTCTGGCTTTGATTGCTGTAAGCGGCTTATTACTCATTTGGCACATCATAAAGTCCAAATGATTTGCGTACTTGTCAGGCTGATGATTGATCGCCGCAACTTCGGGCTCTAAAGTACTTTGAGTTCTTGAGGAAATTGAACGTAATTGTTCGTTGGCTTTGGGGGGCCAACGAAACCTGGGAACGTGCCACAAGTCCGTTAGTAATGAGGATTTGAGTTGCTGGTCTTCATTTCTTTATGCATTTGCATTAAAAATGTGTTCAATTTTGTTATTGATAAGTCAATATTTGAGGTCAAGTTGCGAGTTATAAATTTCGCCGACAGTCGCAACGCTTAATGCATATTAATTAAATGAACTTGGGCCCATTGTCTGTCGATATCAGTTGTTTTGTGAAATTTCCATTTTGCTTGGCATGCAGGGCGCCATTTGCAATGGCAATGTTGGCAATACCGACAGCCTTGTGACATCTGGCAACCACGGCGGTTTCACGCATTCGGCCTTGCTAGTGTGTACTCGCGGCCAATTGAACCACCCGCCTACCAGTGTGGCCCCATCTCTCTTGGGTTGCATCCTGCGATTTGTTTGCCTTAGCTGTGGCGCCAAGCGCTTTCCCGTTTTTCCACTATTCCGCTATTCTGCTTTCCTTCCTGCCCGCCAGCCCATTAAAGGTAGAAAATTAAGTGGCACGGCACTGGGCAAATTGCATTGTCGCTGGCTTCTTCTTCCTGCTGCAAATTGCCCTCTTCCTGCTAATAAGTGGATTTCAAAGGTTTGTCGTTTGTCGTCGCAGGCTGCATCTGTTGCTCCGGGACTGTCGCCTTGGCCAAGATCCATCACGGTGCCGCAGCAAATCCACTTAGGCTAGCCAAGTTCAAGCCCACGAGATAATGCGATTATTGAAATTTATTGGCGCTTTGCCATTGCTTTGTGGTTAATTAAGCCGAGATACTTCAAGCGGGTGTCTTTAGGAAGAACTCTAAGAATTGTAATTGTTATATTTGACATTTGGACTCCTATTAAAGACTCTCTAATGCCCTAAGGTATGCTACGTTTTGCATGAAAAGGCATATAATAGGGTATCTGAGTTTCATTCTGATTTTTAACCATTTTAGATTTTGCATTTGTCTCTATGATTCCAAATGATAGTTTAGCATTATAAAGAAGTGTCCTGTTTTCGGCAGTTTAAGATCTACTTTCCAAATGCGGCTCAGTTGCAGTCCGTGGCCTCTTAATGAGTAAACACACTCACAGGCGGACAGTGGGGCTCAGTTAAGAGAAATCGCATATGTGACTGCTTGAAATTTACGTGGGGCAATTAAAAGCGCGATTCAGTAATTCGGGCAAGTAAGTGACGCCTGAATCTTAGTCGCATCGCTCGACAGCGAAATTAAAATGTATTAGGTAATTGTGTCTGTGGCACAAATTAACACTTGAAAGGCAATTTGTCGTATAACTTTGTTTGGGCATTACGAGAAACCCAACTGCGGCAAAAACAGCGAGTGCCTACTGGGAAAATGAGGCAACCAGTTGCACGTGTCGCCGAAAAGAATCTTCAAACTGCTTTCCGATTGAAACTATGATTCATTGCAAGCCAACTGAAGGAGGAATCCCAGTCACCTACGATTAGCCGAACTTTTCTACTGTTTAACTGGAGAACAGCAGTGTTCCTCAGTGATTAATCCAAGTTTATCTCCTTAACTACAGTTGATTTGGAGGAACTCCTGAAAGGGGTTTTAAACGATAAACGATAAAAAACCAATTCTTTATTTTTCAAATTCCTTTATAATTGGCTTGTTTTTGCTATCGTTTTCAGCCCGCTATAAATAATAAAAGTCTGTTTCTGTTTCGACTTAAAGTGTTGCTACGCCTTCCGAGACACTTTAAATATTTACCTAGATTGCTGTTGTAAAAACTAATGAAATAACATCAGCATGTCATCAATAATTAGCTTTGCAAGGTTAATGCTCATGAATTTGCGGACGGATGGTAACCACCCCATTATCTGGGTTGGGGAAGAGCGAATGATACTTTAAATGGGTGTCTGTCAATCAAGGCTGGGCATATTAAATGAAACAACGGCAAAAGACACCAAAAACTATCGACAACATATTAAAAGCTAAACAATAAAAACTGAAACGTAAAAGTTGCCAAACGTCACTCACACACAGCCCAGACACTCGGCACTCGCACACATGTGCGATTTCACGTGTGCCCACTACGGCAGTGTGTTTTGTTTCTGGTTTATTTTCGTAGGGAGGAGGTGACGTACAGGTTGCCACGTCAACGGCAGTGGCAGAGGCACACCGCCTGCACTTGACACATTTATTGGGCAACGTAGTCCGCAGACAAAAGCGGGGCTTCAAACTGGCCGCCCTATTGACACGGGCCCCAATGACGCCCTTCCATCCCCCGGTCGCCCGCCCGGGCACTTACATAATCTTGGCAACACTTGAGTATTCAGAGCCACCCTAGCTGAGGAGCGTCCATGGGAATCCCGCGGCCAGGGGATGGCGTGCGTCAGTCGATGCGGGTTCTGGCCGATCTCCGGGACTCCGAAGGTCGTGATCTCCGGTTGCGATAGATCGGGCAAAGGAGAGGCACGATCTGTCCCCAGACTCAGTTAATTGGCTAGGATTGTGCTGAGCAATGATCAGTAGTCATATCTCATATTTGGTAGCTCGGAGATTACGAGAGGGTTATACAACGGCCTGAAAAGTTACAAGTTTACTAATTAGTAAGCCGCGCTCAATCAAGTTAAATTCGTGTTTACTCCCACACCAAGAAATAATAATAGATAGAGCGTCTTCCTCGCTAACTTATTTCAGTCGTTATTTTGGCATCTCAAAATTGCGTTTCAGCATCAGAACCTTCATAAATAAGTTTTTAAATGGACTCCACATACGTCTTCCAATTTAATGCCTTCAGCTTAAAAATTAAATGTCTGGGAAAGTGGAAAAGCTCGCCTGTTCCTTAATAAAAACTGAGTTATTACTCAGGGAAATGTGTTTAATTTGTGTAAAATTTTACTTACTTCTGTATATATTCGGCATCCGTGCTAGGAAATCCAGAACACTGCACTTCGACTTAAAGCCGATCTGCAGTGTCGTTCAACTTTGTAAACTCCGTATCATTGCGCCCAATTAATTGCTGGCCAAAAAAATGGTTAAGTCACTTACGGAACTGGTTTGCCGATTGACTTCACTTTGTCTTACGAAATTTTGAAATTCTTGCGAGTTTGGGGCTGTAAGTCAATACACAGTACCTGACAATTCACTCCACGTTCAAAATTAGAACTCGGAGTAAGTGGGAGTTACCTTTACTACTTAGTATACTACAAGATGGGTCGTTCCACTGAACAATGTACAAATATTAATAGATTAATAGATATTCTTTTAAGAATCCCTAGAACCCACATATTAATCATGACCATCTGACTAGTCATTAACTTTTTTGGTGCTTGCGATTTTGTGTCATTAGCGTTGGGAGAGGTTCAGCTACATTAAACCGGATGATTGATTTAAAGCCGGTGACTCGAATGTATTTTATACGGAATAAATACCCAACTATGATGGTTTTGATGGGCGCGGCCTGATCGGACGAGGAGTCCGCGGATTCTGCTTACCAGACCTGACCTTTTCCCCATATTGACCATAAGCTACTTTATTCACGGCCCGTGACTTAATCGCCTATTAAACGCATCTTCTCTCCGATCCGGAGCCGGAGTAATAGCTTTTGCTGTAATTATGTTACAACTTTTCACAATAATTGAAGCGTGCAAAAATTCATCACTTTCGTGAATCCATTTCGGTTTCGCCTCTGTGTGCGGCGATTTGGCCGAGATACGCTTACACTTTGACCACGGAAATGGGTGGGCATTATAAAGCATTCTGCCCGCGGTTTGCGTGTGTGCGAATCACTCTCGAATCACATCAAACACAGACAGAGACACAAACTCCCAAATGTCGTAACGAGTTCGACGGCCAAATGGTTTTTCAAACTTGTATGTACACAATTTAACCAGTTGAACGGCGGAATAACAACAATAATTATGGCCATAAATTGCCAAATCGACTGGCTTTAGGGCGAGGGGGGAAATCGGAAGTCGGCCAACAAGTACATACAGCATGCAGCAGGGTTTGGGTCTAAGTCCCCCATTGAAACTCTAACTGTACTTTTCTAATCAGTGTTTCGTGGAGTGAAGGTGTGCGAATTTCCATTCAAGCCGAACAATTGAATAACCCATTCATCGAGCCTAAAACTCACATTTATAAAGCGATAAAAATGATGTAATAATAATCACTTTGATTGAGGTTATTGTACTAATAAATAAAATAATAAGCTAATGCTGATGAACCACCTGTTAATTGATTTTTTAAAGCACTTTGGCAGTATTTTTTTTTTAACTTAACATTTTTGAAAAGATGTTAATATTTACATTTTATAGTTTGAGATTCCTGGGTTTTCAAATAAACTTTACTTCGATACTTTACGTAACTCGGATACGACTTAATGTGATAACCTTGCCATTTCTATGCCACCATAACCATGTTGTTTAGTGTGAATAATAAATGTGCAGCGAAACGGAAAGTTGCGGGGGAACTTTTCATAGATTAGAAACTTAGTTATATATTTTTTTTATTCCTGTCTAACCTTGTCTTCCTTGTATCTTCCACAGGAACCCTAACTGGTGGCGTCGTCGCACCAAGTTGGAGAGAAGTCTGCTGGTAGTCAGCGGTATTTTTTTTGTAGCAGCCGCCGCCGGATTCGGACTATGGATAAGTGAAGCCCTGAAGGCGTCCAGCCCTCCGGAGAATCCACACGCCACCGCCCTTGTTGGCGACAGCACCACCACCAACAAAGTGAACATGGGCCCTGGCGCGAAGGGCAAGCCAGGTAACTCCCTCGACGTGTGCCTCACCGAAGAGTGCATCCACACGGCGTCCACCGTGCTGCGGAAGATGAAACCCGAAGTGGAGCCTTGTGATAATTTCTACGAATTCGCTTGCGGCACCTACCTCGAGGAGGAGAACATCCCTGATGACAAGGTCTCCATCAGTACCTTCTCTGTGATCTCTGACAAGCTGCAGGAGCAGCTGAAGGACATCATCATTGCTGAGCGACCGGAAACGGAGCCAAAACATTTCCGGCTGCCAAATCTTCTCTACAAGGCCTGCATGAACAAGAGTAAGTAATCAAACTAGTTTTATAGAAATTAAATCTTACGTTAAATATATAAATATGTTTTAACCAGCTCTCATCGAGGCCCTGGGTCCTGAGCCTATCAGGCGAGTAGCCGAACAGCTGGGCGGTTGGCCGCTAATCAAGGGAGACTCGTGGAACGCAGACGACAGCTGGACCTGGCAGGAGCAAGTCAAGAAGTTCCGCTCTGCCGGATTCAGCATGGACTACATCATCGACTTCTCGATCGGTGTCGATCTGCAGAACAGCACTAAACGTCTTATAGATGTAAGTATCAACGACTTGTTCTTTGCTTTGAGAAATTAAGATACGTTTTAGATGTATATACTATCTGTTGTCCTATTTTAAACATTACCACTAGATGGGAATTATGTGGGGCCTATATAACTGCCTTTTCGCTTTTCAGTTGGATCAGTCTTCACTGGCCTTGAGTCGCGAGTACTTGGTTAAGGGCTTCAATGAGACCCTGGTGACCGCCTACTACGAGTATATGGTGGACATCGCCGTGCTCTTCGGAGCTAATAAGGATCTGGCCAAGACGGAACTGCTAACATCACTGGAGTTTGAGATGGCCCTGGCCAACGTGAGCATCTGCTTCCCATACCAGACGGAATCTATTAATAATTTTCAAATTCCCTCGTAGATCTCTTGGCCCAATGAGAAGCGTCGCAACTCCTCGGAGCTGTACAATCTGAGGACTCCGGCGCAGTTGCAGGCCGCTTATCCGTACGTGCAGTGGGTGGATTACATGAACGCCCTGCTGCCGGAGGGACTAAATGTGGCAGAGGACGAGATGATCAACCTGTCGGTACCCAGTTTCTTCGAAGATCTCGGCAAGCTGCTGGCCAAAACGCCGAAGCGGGTTATTGCTAACTACATGTTCTGGCGTATCCATGGATTCTCCGTAGGATTCCTAAATGAGGAGTTCCGCAAGCGGCAGCTACAGTACGCCACTGCCCTTTCCGGTCGCCAAGAGCAGGAGGCCCGATGGAAGGAATGCGTGGACATCACCACTGGCAGGTTAGTTGGGCTTCTTACCACTGCATCCCAGGGTCAAGGTCATCGGGGGTTGCCTATATATCTCGTATTTCTGCCTGTTTCTGTATCTTCTTTTGATTTCTTTGTGATTTGCAGCTACGAAGAAACCGAAGAATTTTTCGATAGGTACTTATTTAGTGACTTGTTTTAAACGTTTCTTTGGAAAAAGGCCACTAGCACACACACGAACAACACAGACATCTGCACAGTCTCAGGACACACTAAACAATATACACGCATGCTAAAAGAACGATTTGCAATATAATTTAAAGCGATATTGAACTGGTCGCTGGCATTACCAGTCCAAGTCAACAAGTTCAGTATGGTTTCATCGTGAAATATTAGAATAGTTTCCCTCATCGCTTTGCACTGTACAGGACATTAAAGTTTTGCTTTTACAAGTCAGTACAATAAGATATCGTAAATATGTCTTCACTTCACGCATAATATATATTGAATTGCTCTTTAATGGAATACTGCTTTTTAAAGTTGTATATATATATGTAGTAGAGGGCAATGGTAAAATAATGTCTTAATCAGGGATATGGAATATTTCATTGTCTTTTAAGTTTCTTAATATAAGTAAGGGTTTTGTCAAGTCGTCTTCAAGAATATGCTAACTATGTATATATATCTTAAAGCTATACCGGTAGTAGTATTCCATTGGGGGTACTGTTGACGGATTTACAACTTTATGGTCGATACCAATTATTCAGCATATCACTCATAACATTATAGTCAAGGCTAAATCCCAAAAATATAAGTCGAACTGCTAGGCAAAGTCTTTTGGTGGAAGAGCATTCATCTACCTTGAGATAATGATGGAGATCGGTAATAATAGGTTAAGAAACCCTCATAATATTCATTGTGCACTTTGTTTTACGCATATCGTGTTCAAACTGGCACTAGAGGTCCTTAACTTTTTGCGCAGCACTCCCATCCAAACCAAGTCAGATGCAATCTTCTGTCCTAATATGCACGTTCATTTTGTGTTTCATTTTCACGCCAACTCTTCAACCCACCATTTTAATAACATTGAATTGAAAATGCCACCATGCGCCATCTAATCAATCGGTTATCAAATCGAATCCCAGCCTTGGCATTTCCGTGGGATCGCTCTACGTCCGCAAACACTTCCACAAGGACTCGAAGGCCAACGCCCTACAGATGGTCGACGACATCCGCAGCGTGTTCAGCGACATTTTGGACGAGGTCCACTGGATGGACGCTAAGACCAAGAAGGAAGCCAAGGAGAAGTTGCACAGCATGGCCACCCACATCGGGTATCCGGATGAAATGCTCGACAATGAAAAGCTGGCCACGTACTACGCTAAGCTAAACATCGATCCCGACAAGTACTTTGAGTCTTTCTTGGGCATGAACATCTTCGGCACGGACTACTCCTTCAACAAGTTGCGTCTGCCAGTCAACAAGACCGACTGGGTTCGGCATGCTCGTCCGGCGATCGTGAACGCCTTCTACTCTTCCCTGGAGAACAGTATTCGTAAGTTGAAATCAGTAATTTCTCTAAATTATTATCTTGTTTTTATCTTTTTGAAATAGTTAATAAGTTCAGCCTAAGTTCAAATACTTATTCGCTTTGTGAGATTTTTTAAGTTTTGCAAATACTGTTGAAACTTAATAAGTAGTTCCTATGATTATATTACTATCTTATATAGAAGATTACTCTAAGAGTTCCGTTTTCCTTCTTTAAAAGAATTCCCGGCTGGCATCCTGCAGGGACACTTCTTCAACGCCCAACGTCCGAAGTATATGAACTTCGGCGCTATTGGCTATGTTATTGGGCACGAAATCACCCACGGCTTTGACGACCAGGGTCGCCAGTTTGATGTTAAGGGCAATTTGAGAGACTGGTGGCAGCCGGATACCCAGAAGGCCTACTTGGCCAAGGCGAAATGCATTATCGAGCAGTACGGCAACTACACCGAAAGGGCGACGGGCCTGAACGTAGGTTATTTCCTTTTCGAGGGTAGACAAGTTTTAAAGTTTGTTATTCTGACAGCTGAATGGAATCAACACCCAGGGTGAGAATATCGCCGATAACGGCGGCGTTAAGGAGTCGTACATCGCGTATCGAAGATGGGTGGAGAAACATGGACCGGAGCAAAAGCTCCCCGGGTTAGACTACACCCCGGAGCAGATGTTTTGGGTGGCAGCCGGCCAGACCTGGTGTGCTAAATACCGTAAAGGTAAGAAATGGTCTGGGTCTTTAAAACTGGTTGTCGTATAAATTAAATGTCTAGATATATATCATCTTTTCAAAAGAACTTAGTCCGATACTAGAGCATAACTCATGCCAATCTTATATTAATCTCCCCTAGAATCTCTCAAGATGCGTATTACTACTGGCGTACATTCGCCATCCGAGTTCCGAGTCCTTGGATCGCTCAGCAATATGAAGGACTTTGCCAAGGACTTCCAATGTCCGGAGGGTTCGCCCATGAACCCGGTTCAAAAGTGTGAAGTTTGGTAGGATCTGTTCCGGCGCCGATTACGGATTTTTGTGTCCGCCGTGACACGATAAGTAATAGAATGCATGGAATGCCAGCGATCAAGCCCGATTCTAGATGGGCTAATCTCAAGTAGAAATACAAATACAATACCAAGCGTATTTATGCTAAGTGTGCATTATGTAAAAATCGTATTTAATAAAAAAATGTTTATATGTAAAGAATTAAAAACCTGTTGATTATTGGTTCTAAAATATTCAATGGCAAAATGAAGTACATATACATATTTGTTTCTAAAATCGGGGGAATAAAAGATCGGACTAAAAAAAGACTAAAAAAGGTCAAAACTGAAAATAGAATGCTTCCACCTTGAAATACATTTTGAAAACTTGCGCCCTTTCGATGTACGACAGCAATAGTTTCTGCTTTCGATATATCGGGCTAAATGCTATCGATAAGACACCCTAAGATGGGCGAAAAACTATCGCCTGACACCCACACTATCGATAAACTCTTTTCTGCATCCCTATAACATACGCGCAGCGTGGCTGAATAGAAATTTTGCGGATTTTTCCTTTGCAAATATTTGCCACCCAAAATAACGATGTCCGCCCTCAATCTAACCGTACGCGTGCACCCAGTGGTGCTCTTCCAGGTGGTAGACGCCTTCGAGCGCAGGAACGCGGACTCACATCGCGTTATCGGTACACTGCTTGGCTCTGTCGACAAGGGAGTGGTGGAGGTGACCAACTGCTTCTGTGTGCCGCACAAGGAACATGACGACCAGGTGGAGGCGGAACTGAGCTATGCTCTGGACATGTACGACCTCAACCGCAAGGTGAACTCCAACGAGAGCGTGGTGGGCTGGTGGGCTACCGGAAACGACGTTACCAACCACAGCTCGGTAATCCATGAGTACTACGCCCGCGAATGTAACAACCCGGTGCATCTTACCGTGGATACTTCGCTTCAGGGTGGCCGAATGGGCCTGCGCGCTTACGTCTGCATCCAGCTGGGAGTGCCTGGAGGTAAGACCGGCTGCATGTTCACACCCATTCCCGTAGAGCTGACTAGCTACGAGCCGGAGACGTTCGGGCTCAAGTTGCTCCAAAAGACCGTGGGCGTATCGCCAGCCCACCGGCCCAAGACCGTGCCGCCCATGTTGGACCTGGCCCAGATCTCGGAGGCTTCCACAAAGCTCCAGTCCCTGCTGGACCTGATCCTCAAGTACGTCGACGATGTTATCGCCCACAAGGTGACGCCGGACAACGCCGTCGGTCGCCAGCTGCTCGACCTTATCCACTCCGTGCCGCACATGACACACGAACAGTTCACCCAGATGTTCAATGCCAATGTACGCAACCTCCTGCTGGTCATCACGCTTTCCCAGCTTATCAAAACCCAGCTGCAGCTTAACGAGAAACTTACCTTCCTGCCCACCGCCTAGAGGAGTGGATGCAGTAGTTGTGGGGATATCTACTAACGGCAAAATTGTAAATGCAGATTGTATTGGATTGTGTTTTCTATCAACGGGTCTGGGTAATAAAGTACTCTGATCTAACAAAACAAAACGTTTTTATCGACTTAACTGTTTAGATTGCCTCAACATTCTATAGACATTTAAATAAGGATTCTTTTCATCAACGTTTTACATAAATGAAAATCAGCGCTTCTTGCATCGGGTGCTTCACCGCGGCGTGTTGGACCTGGCCCAGATCTCGGAGGCTTATACAAAGCTGCTATAAAAGATACCAAGAGCCGCATGCGCTTCTCTGAAGGACTGCTTAACGACATTTTAGAAGTACAAGATGATAACTTTTATCTTTTGATATTATTTTTGATAAGGTATAACGTATTTTCAGCCATGTATATCCTTGTTCCCGTCCAAAGATTAGATCGTATGATCATTTAGTGTACCTGGGTGGTCGACGAAATCGGCCACCAGAATCCCAAGACGTGGAATCGCGGTCGAGATTACGATCACTAAGGCCTGACCCGCTCTCGGATAGAGCAGATAACTTTTACTCAAGAGTAACGGGAATAATGTTCATATTATTTTAGAATTATTTAACAGGCAGAATGAAGCATAATATGCTTAGAAAATTAAATGGCATTGAAAAGTATCGACACTTATATTTTCGACATATTTTAGATATATTTCTGATCAGGATCACAAGCCGAACTAGACGATTTAGTCATGTCCGTCTGTCTGTATGAACGCTAAGATCTTATTAACTAATGGAGGTAATAAGTAAGTCGGAATAAGCATGCCTAGTCACTGTCAAAATCACGATCGGATAAAGAATTTTTCTAATTTTATCATCAGTTTATATTCTGTGTACATTTAAATAAAATACAAAGATCTCACAGAACCTAAATAAATAAACGTATCACTCATACGCCCTATAGCCATATTTACTTATTCTTTCGTTGCCTATAAGTATGCCACATACTTTCTGACAATTAAAAGAAATCTATGCGCCAATCTTGTTTTAGGTGGTTTCTAGCATATGAAGGGTAATTATATGATTTAACTTAAAATCCACATAAAAAAATAAGAAAATATCTGTCAAAACGATCAGGTCATATTTGCTCATCAAATGTAACTCAGATATGTAAGTTTCCAAGGCCACAAAGAAACAAATATTTATTATTTTTTTAAATACTTTATTGTAAAACTAAGCGAAATTCAAATGGATTCTTTGATGTATTTATACAGAAAAATTATTAATATACCGATCAAGTTTGAAAGTTAATCATAAAATTCCAGACGTGTACAGAATATACATATTTTTGATTTTATGCTTAATTACAATAAATAAGAATAACGACAATTAGAAATAAAATCATTCACGTTATATGCACATCTCATGTAATATGTAGGTATATAATAATATGTACTTATGTTAGTGTGTTGCGTATGTATGGGTGTTTGTAAACAGTTTTAGGTACATTGGATACGTCGTTAGGTATTTTATGTGGGCTGGGGTACGTAGGATAGATAGAGGATAGAATCGTTAGATATAGAAGTATCCGAATAATCGGACGCGAAAAGAGAAAACTCCAGTATTGGCTGCAAATTAATGTACAATTTTCATATGTCTGTAGGTTTACATATATATGTAGGCAATATACAATTTCAAAATTTTAACAACTTTCGTAGAACTATTTTCCTTTTTGTTTCATATTTTTCTCTAATAATCAATCTTCAACATACATTTTAATCGCATTTCAAATTTCTTCTTTGACTTGGAGTAAAACCGTAGAGAGCTTTTCAAACATATTATTATACGTATAACGTCGGATTTTCAAACATGTAGAATATCGTATATAAAAGTTAAAATCTGAGTCAAAAAGCAATGCAGACATCAAAAAATGTTATACCTATATAGAAGCGATTAACATTAATCTGAAACGTTTTGCATTTGACTTTGTTCTCAACATGGATATAGGGAGTGTATATGCATATGTGAACATACGAATTACGTCAGTAGTTAGTATCTATGTATTACTAGTACAACAACAACAATCAATGTTGCAATAGCAACGAGAACAACAACAACCCCGAAATCCATCATCGAATTGACTTCCGTTTCCTTGGCAAGTTCCAAGACTCAGTTAGACGCAGCTGAACTTGATGCCGTCGTCGCTGGAGTAGCAGTTCTGGCAATGCAGCTTGTGGTTCCGCACCCGGACATCGGTTCCATTGAGGCCATCTCCCAGCTGGACATGGCAGACGCAGCACTTGAAGCAGTTGATGTGGTAGAAAAGCAGCAGCGATTCGATGATCATGGCGGCGCCGCGACCTGTTATAAAAGTGCAAAGACTAGCATTAGTAAAAGAAACTTGTCTAGAAATCTGTGGAGCTCAGATAATAGATTCCGCTCCAAAGATTTCTCCTTAACTTATTAAATAAAGATCAACCCATATTAAAATCCCACCTTAAATGTTACAATTTCGCTTAGTTGTGTATGCATTAGCTATGTTAATCAAGTCTTTTAAAATTACACCCAAACAATGTATTTGAGTGCTTTGTGCACTTGCCGACAATTGTCGTGCGTGCAGCCCAGATCTGTGTCAGACATGTAAGTGAAACATGGAAAGATATGGGTAAAGATTTCATAGTTTGCAGGAAGGAAACAGGAAAAGCTCTTGATGATCGACAGAACTCAACCGTGAGACTAGTGAGTCCGAGTGTGTGTTATTCTTGTGATGCTCGCTGTGACAACAAGCCTAGAAGATGTTACCAACAATGATCGGTGAGGTGGGGCACGGGGAGTAGAAGAATAACAACACTCACAACCAACGTAGTAGCAAAGTTTACCTAATTCGTCGCCGCAATGGGAGCACTTCTTCTTGCCACTGACGCTGAGCACCTTCTCCTGGCTGCTGCTGCCGTTGATGTTGGTCTTCTGCAATGGCTGCTGCGGTTGCTGCTGGTAGCCATTAGAGTTGCCGTTGCCATCGAAGCTGTAGGGTAAAATATTAATTTCATTATTAAAGGTATTACTTTTTAACTTAAGTATTTTCCAAATTTAAACAAGACCACTCACCGCTTTCGTTCGCCGATGCCTTTGCTCTGGACCCGCTCCGTCAGTGTCTGGATAATGGAGTCGGGCAGTGGTTTGCCCTTCGGATTGTTGGCTGGCATCGACCGTCGATTGAGTTGCTCGATGCGTCGCTGCTCGGCCTCCTGGAGCAACCAGTGGTTGTTGTTGTAGAGGGCTCCGCCGTAGTCCGGCATGGATTTGCGCTTCTGCTGTTGAGCGGACAGCCAAGCCGGATCGTTGGTCTGGTGACTGTCGTAGCTTTTCCGCTGCTGCACCTGCACCCAGCCGTCGGTGTATTTGGGTTTTGGTGTGGCACTTAAGGCGAGCAACGTGTTCCTGGACATATTGCTCAGGTTTTGGGCCGACTGGTGATGGTAGGCAGCCGCTGCCGACGCTTGAACAGGATATCCTGGACCGGAGATCCGCGGGGCCATTGGTGCCCCAGCGATCTTCACCAGAGATCCGCCGTACGAAACCGTCGGCTGCCGCTGCCTCGTGCTAACTGCGTAATCTGGCTCCAGGCCATGGCCATTGGCGGCTATTTGCATAGCCCTTAGTGGCTTCGTGGGTGGTGTTGGCGGCAACATAAGGCGGTTGGAGAACTCGTTTATGTCCGACATGGACTTCCTGTAGTCCGTGTCCATTTGATGGTAAGCATACAACGCTGCTTGTTGCTGCTGCTGCGGCACATTGGCGTAGATCTGCTGTGGGTGTGGTGGAGGCATCGGCGCCTGGTGGTGCTGTGGCGGTTGGAAGGCACTCAGCATTCCGTTGCCGATGCCCATGCCGTGGTGCAGATCCTGCAGCGATCGCCGATTGTTTGACATCAGCATTTTCGCTCCGTGCTGCAACTCGCGTCGCGCCAGATTCTCACGGAGCAGAAGGTTCTCACGCTGTCGCTTCAGTTCCTCCTGCTGTGGAAGAAAAGAAAAGGAAAACTTTATTTTTTTTTTTGATCTCGGTCAAATTTTCCGTAAGAGTTAAACGATTTTTGTTTGTTTTTAGATTATTGTTTAATATTCATTCCTTTACCAATCTCTTGTACTTACCGAAAAGTGCAGTAGCTCCCGCTCCACCCGCAACACCTCGCCCTGCTCCCGGATCTTATCCTCAATGGACTGCATCTTGGCATTAGCCGTCGCAGTGGCTTCACTCAGCGATTGGGTTGCGGCAGCTGCCGCCGTCGCTGACTCGGTCCAGGACTCGGCCGAGTTCCCCTTGACCGTCTGGAGAAGAGGCGTCTGGGCAGCTAGAAGGCTTTCGTTTTGGTAGATAACTTCACCCAGCTGGGTGGTCGATGGGGGTGGTGGCAGTGGTGGGGGCGTCGCTTCCGACTGCGTGTCGTTCTCCTCCGAGGAGTTCGTGTAGTGCTCACTACTCTGGCGAGAATGGTTCTCAGAAACTCCAGAGTCGCGGCTCTCACCTAGAGATGTTATAAGAAGTAATAGGTCGATTTAACATATTGAATTAACTTTTTAAACTATTTTTTTCTAAGAGTAATGGAACCCTATTTCCGGATATCCTCTTATTCTTAAAGTCTACATGTCAGCTATAAGCTTTAATAATCAAAAGACAATCAAAACAATAACAATCAAAAGACAAGGTAAACCTTAAGAACCTCAGAAATTAATAGAATAGATCCCAAATCTTATCTGACATGAGTAGATACATAGAATATAGAATTTAAACGTAACTATACATCTAACGAATATATTTTGAAACGTATTAGTTATTGCCAGTTCAACACCCGAAAGGGGAAGCATCTCAGCCAGCCTGGGCCACGCACACTAAACGGATTATTTATACTTAACCTCACGGGGCAGGTGGAGGCCACCTTATACCCTCTGGCCCAGTCCAACTTGCGATTTGCTCATTGCTGTTGTCTTGCGTTTTCATGCCCTATTGGCTTCTCCTATCGGTTTTCTTTCACCCTCATCGTTATTCTTATGGCCTATGGTCTATATATCGACTAACCTGTGTCGGAACTGTCGCAGAGTCCCGCCTTAATGTACAGCTGCTTCTCCAGTCGCCTCTCCTCCTGCAAGAGTTGCGCCATATCCGGCGGGGGTGCAACAGTGAGTTCCAGGTAGGTCTCCATGTCGTCGAGATCCCCGTCGGTTTCGATGCCTAGGAAACTGGAGCGTTTGTTGCGCAACTCCTTCTTGATCCGCTTGGTCGAGTTCATCCGCTTGATGGGTGGCGATGGCTGGGCGGGTTCCATTTGTCCCTGAAGGTGCCGGCGAGTGCCATTCGATATGGTCTCGTAGGTGTTGTCCGATGACCAGGTATCGGTGTTGTGTCCCAGACTGCTGCCCAAGCCATCGAGCTCGTCGTCATGGTCCTGACCCACCGGAATCGGCGGCGGACTTTCGGTGGGCGGTGGTGGTGGCTTCTCTTTCGGTGGCTCCATCAGACCCATCGGAGCTCCTACTGATCCCTGACTGATCTCCAGGCCCGAGTAGAAGATCTCGATGTTCTCGTAGACTGGCACTGGTCTTAAATGCTTCGGGGCGTCGTAGTAGGGCTCCGTGGCCTTCGGCACTTGGTAGTAGGGCTCTGGATCCGCCGGTGTGGTTGGTGGCACGATGGTTGCTGCTGATGCTGCTGATGTTGCCGCTGTGCTGTGTTCCCTTTGATTGCTGCTGCTGTTGATTTGATTAGGGCTTTGATTATTCTCGTTATTGTTGCTAGTTTGCTTATTTGGAATGCTTCTCCTGTGACTCCTCCGCGTCGCTTGGGTCTGTGTGGTTATCGTCATCGTTGCTATCTGTTCATTATCTACTTCATGCATAGATATAGTCGAGCTGACATTCTCATAGATGGGCTCTCGTTCCCCCTGCTTCTGCTCATCGGTTTTATTTGGCATTTCCCCGCCCTCGGGGCGTGCTTCCCCCTGCTCGTTGGACTCCTCCTCCTGCTGCTCCTTCGCCCGAGATGGCTCCTCCTCCTCTGGCTGATCCCCCAACTCCTCCTGCTGCTCCTCCTCCTTCGGCTGCTCCCTCTCCTCCTGCTTCTGTGGATGTTGTGCCTTGTCCATTGGCTTGGTTGTCGCTTCGCGATCGATAGCTTGCAGCGCCAATTCAAGAGCTTCGTTGATCTGTGGGGCGGGATGAGGTGGGCGTGGCATGGCGAGCGAGCGAGAAAGCGTCAGAAGCGTGCATGATAGAGAGAAAGAGAGAAGAATGCGCATGGATCGCATGAATTTCAGTTAGTTTAAACAAAGGCTAGCTTGCAAATTAATCAAAAACATAAACAAAAAAAAACGAAAATAAATTAAATAATACAGCGGAAATCAATCAAACAATAACTGACGGGAAAACGAGAACACAAACACAATACCAAGAACAGAGGTGGTTTTCCTAGAATTGCACGAAAACTGTAAACCCAAACCGTTGGAAGGTAGTTTTGAGCTTTGATAAGTTAAGCTAATCCCTTGATAATCTCAAGAACCATAATTTTTAAATGGTATACTAATGTTGAGACACTAAGCTCACCTATTTTCATTACCTTTGATATAGATTACTATTTTACTGAAACTTTAGTTCTGTCACAAGAAACCCCTGAAGTATAAATATCCGAAAAAGAACTGATTTGCCTGTGCTAATTCAAGGGGGCTACCCTTCAATAAGTATATATACATGCTTTGAGCCTTATCACCTCTTTCCGATTCTTATAAATTCTCACGAGATTCCCAGAACCGATTATATGTGCAAGGGGAAGCACTTGAGCAAATACGGGTAATGGTATGAATACTAGCCTCTTACCCCTGCTTTACGATCGAGACAATCTAACGAACTGGAGCGCTGCAATCGATTTACTTGGTATCTGCGGGACGTACTCTAGATACCGTCCAATGCGAATTATTCGCGCGATTATATTATTACGGGTCGCTGTAAAGATAGCCCGTTGCGGACATATACTCGTATGTATATTTGTCCGAGTATATATAGTATATGTTATTATGGCCCGACCGAACCAATACCTTCGAGGGCTTAAAGTACACTAAACGTGGGCGCTGCAGAATCGAATCGACCCAAACGATTTGTTTAGATAAAGAGACGGAGGCAATATACAAATGGGGCGGCAAAACTGCGGAGACAGCACTCCATGGTCTGGCCATGGGGGGTTGGATACACTGCGCGGCCCCCTAAAGTATGCAGAGCCGTGCTGAATCCGAGCTGAAACCCCACTAGGCGGATGGGTGACTTTTGGCATTTTAAATAGGTGCTAAGTGGGTAAACGCGACATGCAATGCGACTAAGAACAGCCGAACAAAAACACAAACAAATGACACGAAATGAATAAACAGAACAGAACATAAACAGATCAAACAGGAACAGGAACACAAAAGGTACAAACAGGGGGATATGAGATAGAGAGAACCGCTTACCTCGGAAATTGTATACTTGCAACAACTTTTGCTGGCAGTAAGCATGTAAACTATGTAACTGCATTAATAGATAAGACATATTTTACATTATTTAGCCAACAAACGAGCGCAAGGCATGTAAGAGAGATATGCACACGGATTATGACAGTGAATGAGTCGGATAGCATGTATAATTAAGCCTTAAATAAGTAGCCTTAACCTCTGGCATGGGGTTTGGGAATCCGGGGGGATAGTCGGGATTTTATAGACATAGGGGGAATCAGGATCCATGGTTCTGTCCACATCCACTGTTGGCGGTTTATCTACTTTCCAGATACTTGTATCTAGAGTGGGAACTTTATCACATAATATTAATTTATATTTTATATTAACTTTATCTAACATTTAGCCACTACCTGCTTGTTCAAAGATAAAAAGTCGTCAAAAAGTCGTCAAAAAGTCTGTGTAAGCTGTGTAATATACATTGGTGTATGATTTGGAATCCCCTTCTACAACGCGTCTACACTAGCTAGTCAAGCAGTGCAAGCAGTTCAGTTTATATCGACATGGATGAGCAGTAGTTTACAAGCGGCGTGTAGAATAATGAGTTTTTACATCCATTTTGAGTATTTCAGTTTCTTGAGATTGATTTTGATTTTAGTTTTGGTTTATTCATAAAATAGCACAACAAGTATATCTCATTTGTATTTATAATATTGGTCCTCTTGTATATTATTTGGTATGCTTTTGAGGTTTTTAATTATTCTTTTTTTGTGTATTAGCGCGTAAGAACTTTCGATTCTTGTTTTTGTGTGTATGTTTGTGAAAAATATACGTATAGTTATATATCCGTAAAACATATGTTTGACAATTCTTTATATAAAATCAAATTTTGTTTTCATACATAATTTTTGGGTTTAGTATAGTGTATTATTAGGTAAAGAAAACTGTAGCTTACGTAGCTTGAGCCCATAACAAAAGATAAATAAAAATGAGTAGAATTCGGAGGAAAAACAAAAACCAGAGTTAAGATAAATAAATAGCTGTGTAAAAATAAATTCGATTCAAATAATCATTCGTTGTATTTGATTGTAAAATGTTCAAGTTCGATTTCAGTTTTCCGAATATTTCATTTCGACTCACGAGTATGTCGATATGATAGAGCCATTTCAGGTCATAGTTCACTCGAGAGCTTCTTTTAATCTCGCAAAGCGGCGGAGAGATCACGTATTACTCCCAAGTATGGGGAAGTCTAAGTTCTCCGATCTTGAAGATCCGAAGGTGGTTTCTACTCCGACATTATTTCTTCAGTGTTGAGGCCCCCACTGCCTCCAGTTTCATGATCTCATCGTCCAGCAAATCGCTGATCTCCTGGGTCAGTGCCTGCTCCGTGGTGTTCTCCTCTAATATCTCATCCGTAGTGATCTTTTTCCGAATCTCAATGTTGACAGGAGCTGGGCTCTTGGGCAGAGGTGGCGGTGCGGGCTCATCCTCCTCCTCACTGGCCACATAGAATTTGGAGTTGTCTACCCGAACGAACTCATCCGCATTGACCACATCAACGCCACTCTTGGTGCTAGTTAGCACCACCTTCTTCTCGAGTGTCTCATTGATCGTGGGATGGTGCTGTGGCTCCTCCTGGTGCCCGAAGTTCCTGCGTAGGAAATCGAATATGTTTTTGGTTTTCTTCTCCTTAACAGGAGGTATAGGTGGCGTGGTTCGGTCCTGGGTTTTGGGTGAGCTTGGTGGGGAAATCGCCTTGACCTTGATTTCCGTCTCCACCAGGTGAGTGCGAGCTATCAACGGCTGGTCTACATTCGAGGGAGATGGAGTCGCAGTCGGGGCATAGCCCGCTCTACTTATCGAATCCGTTCCAGAGGCTGAAATGCAGCAAGGCTTGGGTATGGGAATCTTGGACCTGCGGCCTAATAGAGGAGTTGAGGGTTTGGTTTCCACAGACTCCGGTAGCGAAGTCTTCATCATCTGACTGCTGGCTAGCCGCTCCTCAGCAATAATCTGCTCGCAAGTGTCCATCAAAGCCTTCGAATGAGCTGCTCTGGCAGTCCCAATGGGTGAGCTTGGTCGGTTTGTGATCACAGAATTCTTACTCGATCTATCACACCGCCTCACCTCCTCCTCGGTGATATCCTGGAAGCCAGTGGCCGGCACTGGTGCCTTGTTCACATCGATGCTGTCGCAGGCAGGCTCCTGAGCTGGAGCTAGGCAATCAAGAAGTCCCGCGCACAGGGCTATGTCTTCCTGGCTGGGAACGTCTTCCATCTCTCTCACTGCAAGGGTTTCCTTCTTGCCATCACACTTCTGTACCACATCCTCGGTCACATCCTGGAAACCAGTACAGGGAACTGGCGATTTGTTCACATCGATCTTATCACAGGGCACTTCCTCTACAGCAAACTGCTCTAGTATCCTACGATCTTCCTCGGCCAGCTGGATATCTCTGGGCGCTTCTCTGTCTAGGAATTGCTGACACAGAGCAACCTCCACCGAAGGCGAGGTGGGACGTGAAGAAGCCAGTTTGAACAAACTAGATTCATTGGGGGAACAGGCTTTCAAAGAGGGCATCTCGCAAGGCGAGGATGTATGCAGGTACAGTGAGTCATTGGGTGCAAGAGGATCAAGGGTTCTGTTGGTCTGGGGGTTCACTTTGCTAGGGGGCGTATGCACAATCGCCTTAGTTTGGCCCACCACTGGGGCATAGTCCCCGGAGCTACGATCAAGCTCATCTATCTGAGCTCGTTTCATCGGCTTCGGAGAAGATGGTGGTGTGATCTGGGGAATGCGACTCCTGGGTAAAGCTTTGGGTGACAAGATGGGTGAGGTGACTGGAGGGGAATCGCTCTGGGTGAAGCAATTGGACAAGGCCTTTACAGTGTTTGGTTTAGGCAGCTCATCGGGATGAACGATGGTTACTGGAGGAGCACACATCACCACTTCTGGTGGGGGCAAAGCTCCCTTAACTGGCTGCTCAACTCTCACTGTTCTCTTTGGAGGAGCCGGTGGCGTTGGCGGCTTGTCCAGTTGCCTGGAGTTGAATATCTCCACTCGTCCATTAATGCTAAATTGCGGAGGCGAAGCCCCGGAGCTTGTGGGCGAACTTACAGGATTAATCTGAGCCCTGGGACTTGAGGCCAATCTGACAGCCTTGGGCGACATGGGAGGCTTGCCCAGAGGACGTGGTATTTGGGTGGGAATCGGACTCGAGGGTGCTGGTATCGGGGGTATCGGTGTTGGTGGGTTACTCGGTTGATGGGTAAAATCAAATATCTGGGAGAACTGACCCGGCGAGGTGACCGGCTCACCGACTTCTCTCAGATCGTCGTCGTTTTGAAAGGTCTCCTTGAACATTTTTAGCAAATTGCGATGATGGACCATTTCGTTAGAGGGCTTTCTACGCAAGTTACAGTTCGGGGACGAGGGAACCGGATTGGGAGTGGATGTGGGATCGGGAGTGGGGCCAGATTTGGACACCGACACCGCTGAAGCAGCTACTACATCAACTTCACAAGGAGTTATCTTAGCGGATTCGATAAAATTGTTAGTAGAACTTACACTAAATTCCATGTCCCGCAATGGAGGAGCAGCCGCGTGGTTGGCCGCTTGTGCTGGAGCTGGAGCGGCTGCCGATGGTTGGATGGTTGGTTGAGCCGATGGATGAGCCGGCGATGGTGGTAATGGCGAGGGATTCAGATCGGTCAGCTCATCGAATTCCGCCTCGATTTGATTGACCGCGTTGGCCGCTTCCTCCAACTGGCGCTCCTCGAGGGCCAAGGCGGCGATGGCTGCGTTGAGTTGTTGCTGCTGTTGCTGCAGTTCGTCGGTGGTGTCCTCCTGAATGCCGCTGTCATCGTTGGTGGCTCCCACCGGGGGTTCCTCTATAATCAGGGCTGGCGGAGATGTGAGCACAGTGGTCGTTTTTTGTGGGCTATGCTTCTCCTTCTGTTGCTGCTGGAGCTGCTGTTGCTGGCGCATTCGTTCCTCTTCGCCTCGCATGATCTCCAGTTGCCTGGCATCGATAAGAGCCACCAATGGTGGCTTCTTCTGCTCCTCTTTGGTAACGGACTGCTGCAAGCTGTTCAAACGCTGCTTGAGCGGAGGCACTGGCACATCCACACTCTTGCTGGAATTGAAGGCCTTGCGTTGCTGCTCCAGGCTCTGCATGCGGTCTCGAATGCTGGAGATGTCGCCGGACAGACGCCTCACATCCGATTTGGGTGCCACGGGAGCTGCATTGCCATTGGTTAGGCGATCACGGAGCACCAGTTTTGGTGCAGCGGGGGCAGCTCCATTGGACACTTCCACCTTGGCCTGCTCGAAGATCTCCTTGCGCTTGGAGATATCCACCTTGGGCACGTCCACCTTCTGTTTATCCACACCCTCTTGCGTATCGCTGGGCGAGGTCACCTCAAAGCCGCTCAGGCGATCCTCGATCTTGGATCCACGCCTGGTGGGATAAGAAATTGGCTCTCCAACCACCTTGCCATTGGCGTTTCCATTGCCATTGCTGCTGGCCCGTTGGACCCTCTGCTTGTAGTCCTGGATGGCTCCCTCGTAGGTGTATTCACACGGATCTGGCGAACTAGCTGGTGCTGTGCTGGACGAGGTGTCGTATCCTGGCGATGAAATGTATTCTCTTCCTGCTGCCTTAGAGGTATTAGATATGCCCGCCTGGCCGATGGCCATTCCGTTTCCGTGGCTTCCATTACTGCCGTTGCGGTTGATATGATTCTGCTGCTCGTCGACATTTAGGGAGGCTCCTCCAGATGTACCAGAGCTAGCTGCTCCAATCGCCTTGTCCAGCTCGCCAGCGTGGTCACTCTGTTAATGAATCGAAAGATGGATTTAGATTAGTACTTCAAACGATAGAGTGGCTTAAGCTAGAATTATATTGAACTGTATTTTCCTCTCTTATGCTGTTCTAATTATACCAGTTACTCGTAGAGTAAAAGGGTATATTGGATTCGTTGAAAAGTATGTAACAGGTAGAAGGAAGCGTTTCCGACCCTATAAAGTATATATAAAGTATCTTGATCAGGATCAATAGCGAAGTCGATTAAGCCATGCCCGTCTGTCCCTATGACACTATACGAGATACAGAGTTGAAATCTGATCAGATTCTTGAGGTTCATACGCAGCTCAAGTTTATTTCATCATCCTGCCACGCCCACTATATCGCCCACAAACCGTATATAGTATATAGTGTATGTCTTCGTTTGACCTTGTATAACATATTTTTGTCAATTTTTATCTATTTACCAATGACTTTTCAAATTTGGGCTATAAGGCCTCACATGGACAGTGACGACACCATCAGTTTTTTGACAAAAGGTGGCACTTTGCCCATTTTCACTAGCGAAATAAATATTTTTAAATTGTGTAAAACACTAACTGGTATCTTACAGTCGCGGCTCTCGACCATAGCGTTTCTTCTTGTTTTTTGAAAAATCTGAGCGCCTTTCGGTTTTACATTTCATTTTATTCTAATCAAACTTTTAAATTCGTTCAGTCATTAACTGCCATTCTGCCTTAATTACATTTCGCTTTTCCAATATTTTCCACCCAATTCTAATAGGTCTCAGATGCCATGAACTAACATATATTTTCCTCACTTTGCGGCTGAACGGTTGAGCATTTTATGGACTGGCGACAAGCGCGCCTAATTGCTCAATCCGCAGCTCGATTTCAATCTCAATGGGAATCTCCGCTTCTGGCGGCTGTGCATCGTCGATTGCTGTGGATCATTGTTTATTGTTTATTATTTATGATTATGATTTTATTGTGTTGCTTGTGCGCGCTTTTGATTAATAAACTATTTGTGTTTATTAGCCCGTGTCGCATAGCTTTGCTGGCAACACTTTCCAACGACGCTTCAATGGCCAATCGAGAGCCGGAGCCTCAGCTTAGCGGCAAAATGTTTAAATTATATTTAATTGTTAATTTGCGGTAATTGTTTATAAATGCGGAGGCAAGCAGACACCATAAATGACTCTTAATGATGGCAAAAAAAATAATTTAAAAAGGAGAAACTTTAAGAAACGGCCTGGTACTAGAAATGGTGCTAATTATGTCATTGCTACTGCCAAGATGTGTTACATTGACCCCGACCTTTAGGGGATTTCGCCTTAGCACTCACCATAACACTATTATTGTCGTAGTCCTCGGACAGACTGCTCTTTCCGCTGGCACTGCTCGTCCCGATCCCCAGGTCACTCAGATCGTTCGTCTCATCCTCGTTGTAAACGGCCAGGGAAGCCAGTTTGGCGCGCCCCCGAGGTCCGCCTCTTTCAGCCCTGTAAGGATATTAAACCGATATAAGTATAAATTCACATTCACGAAGCTGAAGAGGTTGGTTTCAAAGTGGCTTTCATAGTGCACAATAACGTTAAATATTCAAATATGAAAACATAATTTTGAAGTTAACTTTTTGATTGACATCTTGGTCATATTGATTAAACGAATAATTAGTCAATCTATAAGTTTACACTTTTCTACTATTGAAGGAACTCTGAAGATCGATTTAATTTGGAACATACTTTTGCAGCAGCATTTGAAAGAATGCAACTTTGGGATTCACTTTTGAGCACTTTTGACACCCAACCGAATCTGGGACTTGTACTTGCCTCTCCTCCATCATTTCGGTGAATGTCTTCGATTTCCGCCGCATGCGATCATGCTCCTCCAGCTCGAGCTTCTTCGTCTCCACCGCACGATCGATGATGTGTTCGACACGTTTTCGCCTTGATGACTTCCAATTGTCAAGGTTCTGTTTGAGAGTTTGCCACATAGTATTTATTATTTGTCGTTTGGGGATTGTTGTTCGTTGTTTGTTGTTCGTCCCCGGATCGCATTGTTGGCCGTGTTTTGTTTTGGGGCAGAAAGGCAGCGAAAGTTAGTATAGAAAACGAAATGGGCAGACGTGTAAGTGTAAATCGCCATTGTATTATTCGCGTGGAAGTAGAAGTGGACGAGCAAAAGTTTCTTTTGATGGCAATTAAAAAGTTTTGACGCGGCTGCGGAACTACGTGACAAAGGTGAAATGTTTCCGCAGCGCGTGAACTTCGCCGAGTTTCATGTCGAGCGTCAACTTATGAAAAGAATTTCTGATCCCATTTTGTATGAATCAGAGAGATGTGCCAATGCTCAGATTGGAACGAAAGATTGTGCTCCCTTACTAAGTTAACTGATATTTTCATTCCTATATCTCGCGAATATGATGCTGATAAAGACTACCTATCAACTTGGCTTATTAATCTGATCGGAGTTCTGTTGTTTCCTCGTTTGACTCACAGTTAATCAGCTTCCGGGTGGCTGCGATGGCATTATTGATCTGCCATTCTTATTTAGAAGCTTTCGCACTAGTTTGTACAAAAAGAAAGCCAAAGATAGAGACTATAAAAGCGGCTGCGGACTTCCTTTCCCATCGAACTCGATCGCCCAGTTCCAAAACGCCGTTCGCATCTTAATGGATTTTTCCCTTTTCGTTTTTGGCACACAGTCGTAAAGCAAAAGTTATGCCTGGGAACCTTTAAAGTTTCGATGAACTGATCATGGAACATTGGTCAACCGTTTGAGGGCACTTCAAATGCAGCGAGTGCATCGAAATGGCTGATTGGGTAATTAGGTGGGTACAGTCACTTCAAAGGCAGCTCTTCGCAGGGGTTACGCGGCCAGCGAATTTGCATGTAACACACACAGCATTGTGCAAAGAAAATAGAAGCGGGCCAAAAGCAGGCGGCCACAAAAACTATCAACAAAATGTAATAGTGATTATGCAACGCAATATCTTTTTGTCCGCTAACGGGCGACGTGCATTGGAAACTGGAGCGGCCATAACGAGCCGTGTGCCATGTGCCATGCCCAAGTGGTTTCGCTTTAGTTTATCCGCGGCGATAAGTTTCCAACGGCCAGTTAACAAAAAGAAGGGAAAAGCGAGCTTGGGAAGCCGATGCTTAGATACCCTATCATATACCATTCTCAAAAAATTAGAAATTAGAAATATTACGAAAATTGATCATTGAAAAAGAGAGAAAAACATTTGAAGGATTGGTCTGATCAGAAGTTACAACGACCTATATCTGTACCTTATTTAAAAAGAAATCTTGTCTTTGAGCTTTATTATCTTAAGAGCAATGTTATATTGAAAGATTTGACTAGAATTAGTTTAGCCGAAGCGAAGGCGATTTAGAAATTTGTCACGTCATCTTTATCCAGTAGCAGTTTTCTGAGTTTTTACATCGATGTGATGTTTAATATGGACTTACGTTCTGCCACTCCTCGGGCTCCTCCTTCTTCACCTCCTTCAGCTTCTTGACCTCCTCGGCCTTCTTCAGCTGCTCCTGCGCGGTCTGGTATAGGTTGCAGGGCTTGATCTGGACGAACTGCATCGGATTCTTAGAAGGAGCAGGAGGCGTGGGTCGCGTCACTCGCTGCTTGGTCACGTACGACGTGGGATCGGGCGAGGTTACGGTCTGCAATTAGCAATAAATGAAGTAAATGCAATAAAATTTCTAATTAGCGTGAATTGCTTTCAATTGAATGAAGTTGCAAAGGGACAAAGGGGCGGGGAGAGTCAAATGCAAATGTCAGCGGACCGATGTCCAGGGCGTGGAGTCATTGATACCGCTTCCATGAGAGCGTGTGGGCAGTTTGTTTATGTGCCTGTATTTTCTGCTCTTAAATTCCATTAAGTATTCCGCTTATTAAGCTGGCAGCCTTCGGGCTCTTTAATTGCATGAAGTGTTCAGCGGCTTATATGGAAATTCTGATTAGCTCATACCTCGGGTCAAGGGGAGCCTTGAGTCCTCAAGAGATTGGCTTTTTTGATTGATTTACACCGTTTCGAAAGTTGGTGTGACCTCCGAGTCAGATTACTTTATGAAGAGTTCAATAAATGCAACCAATAAAGTAAATATGTTAAATGCGTTTTTTGGTCGCAGTAGTGTTTTTATTGCTCAGCTGTAAGAAAGAACTGAGAGCCTTTGCTGCATAATTCTGGCATCCAAAATACCTCAAAGATTCCACAAAAGCTAAACTGTCTTGAACAGTTTATTGAAAGCTATCAAAGAACTTTTTTATGCAATAAGAAACTAAAATCCCATATTGACAGAAAAGTATTTAAGACTCTTTATGAAATTTTCAAAAAGTATATTAATAAACACATATTTTTAGGCCTGCATTATTATTATTTTGTAAATAAAAAATGAAAAAGGCATCAACTCACACCATTTTTTAAAAAGTTTCCAAGAAATTTAAATATGGTTTCTTACTTAGGCAGTCACAAATGGCGATATTGAAAAGTTTAACATATTTCAATATCTTATAATTAACGACATTTTAGTTCAGTTGATTTCTTTGTTTTATTCTGCTTAAGAGAACCCATTAAGTATTTAATGTTTTCATTTTTATAACTTTTTGCTTCCTCTGGTACTAGTGGTTTTCTGAAGTATTTCAGTTGCTTGAACCCACCCACTCCCACTCACATAAGGTCTCAGTGGAGCATGGCAAAAGTCAAATGGTCCATTGCCCGCAAATATTTTCTTGAATATGAAAGGCTGTAGCTATCAACTAGAAGGGAATACTAGGAGAACTAGGGGAGTCCTACAGGGGAACCCTAATCGAGACAGCTTTTGTCCTCCAAAAAATGAGGAACTTAACTTACATCTACAATGTTTTCTTATCAAAACTAAGTCTTAACTAGTTTTTAAATACTCACCAGTTTTTTGCCGCAGCCATTTGAGTCCCCGCCGCCATTGATGGACGAGGCCGATGTGGACATGAGGTCTTCGCTGCCATCCAGCATGACATCCTGATCAGTGGCCTCCATTTGGAGCTTATTGTTACTGCAACCTGTCCCTGGACCACTCTCGTCTGCCCTTTTCTGTAGTTTGGTTTGCGTTGAATGTTTTCTGTGTCGACTGAGCTCTGCTCACATGGCAGCTCACTCCTACGCGGGTTTCTTGGCCTCTGGTCAATGGCTCAACATGTCTCCGAACTCTGTTCAAAAGCGATGCGCCACCACCCACGGACATCGGGCGGGGTCTCTTGAGGTGTCCAATTTCATCAGCTGCAAAACAAAGATACACCTGATTGAGTATAAAACGCTTTCTAATGTGCTGTCGGAACGTAAGAGCTGGCCTCATCTAGGAACCATTAACCCCTGGTGTGTCTTTTTGAGTGGGCAGGTGTCATCATCTGCCAAGCTAGTTTCTGGCACAGTTTCTGGCATCCGTGAAGGATCTGGAGAAAAACTGGCAAGAATTTCCTCAACCGGCGGACGACGACAGCTGAACAATGCTCGAACAGTTCAGTGTGGAGTTCAATTAACATTCATCAAAGTGCATCCATAAGATGCTTTATCTAATTGTGCAATTGTCTGAGTGGATGCCGCTCTGGCCTGGGACCCACGCGGTGGTATGCGGGTCAAGCTTATAAACTTCTGCCACAGTCATCACCGTCATCGTCGTGCCCCAGCCAACACATCTTGCATCCAGCAGCCACCAACCCATCCACATACCCATCCGCATCGTTCGTCATCCATCTGTCGGGCTGCGAGCTGAGATGCTTTGTTTTTCCTGCCCTCCATTCACTCTATATGACCCGGTATTTTTTGATCGTTTTGCTACGCTTTTCATTCCCTCCTACCAATAAATATCTATTAGGTATTCTTCCCATCCCCCTCTTGTAATCGAGCTTGTTTATTAATTTTTGTGAATGCAGCTCGGCATGTTTGGAGTTTTCCGAGAAAGTGGGTTCAAAAGGTTACGAGAGAAGCGGGCTACTGCCGTGGGGGGAAGAGTGGCTAAACCTCTATCAGTCATAATTACGAGGTTAATATGACAGCTGATAAGTATTTGGTATGCCTCGGCTTCCTGTCTTATGAAGAGCAAACAAATCGAAACTGAAGCCGATCATTAGGGGGTTCTTTGTACTCTCGGTAATGCCCCATTAGGTGGAATATGTTCTGCCATTAGCTTGGATTATCAACGGTTTGCCAGAGATATCTCGATCTGCCTGGATTGCAATCTCTCTTTCGCACACTTGCACATCAAATTTGATCAGCAAGTGGGTAAGTGCTGAAGACAGGCACTTGAGATAGAGGACTTGAGGCAGAAGACCCAACAGTCAAGACTCAAGACTCCAACGGCACGAGGCTAATCAACATAGCTGATGGTGATGTTAAACATTCATTGCCGATGTCTCTGAATGCTAATTTACATATAAGATGCAGCTTGCAACTACAGCGAAGACGTTAGATGTAATGAAATACTGCAACGAAGAGCCAACAGAAATTAAAGCAAAACTTTCAAATTGAAGTAATTAGCCATGGGAAGGGGTTTTAACTTAATGCGACTGCAACTGCAAAAGTTAAGTAGCAGGAAGAATCGAATCATATTTTGTTGTGACTTTTTTACATTTTTAACAAAATTAGAAACATTTTTGTGCAATGTAGCCAGCAAGTGACAACAAGGCAAAAAACTTCAGTGGTTAAACTTAATGACCAGGCCAACGACGGCAGCAGAAAATTGCAATAATTTGAATTTAGCAAAAGACAAGACTGCGATGTCTTTTACACAAGAGACTCGGCAACTTTCCTAAGAGTTGGCTAGGCCAGAGGCGACAAAGTAACAACAATTATTTAGCGAACAAAATGATAATTAGATAAAAATGCAAAAGATCAGCGTCAAATCCATCTTAAAGGCGCCAATCGCGCCGCAAAGCCAGGCCGGCGTCAGTTTGTCGGCTCCGAGTTGGAAATTGTATCAAGATGTTTTTGTATGGGCTTGAGTGCTGAATTAATTAATAATGACGACTATGATGACGATGCCGCAAAGTGAAAGAGAGTGAGAAGTGTTCCTGGGGAAGGGGAATTCTTGTGAGTTCACCAGAGACCAGAGACTAGAGAGAGGCATGTAAATGCCACGCAATTGTCTTTGCGGCTGAGCTGGCTCTGGGTCTGCGTTTTAGCTAATTAGCAGCAGCAGTTAGAGCTGCTCTAAGGCGGCGATTGCCGACATCAAAGAAACTGCGAGCCACCGATCCATGCTCAGTGCTGTTTGGGGCAAACAAGGGCAAGGCTTTGACTGATTTTGAAGTGTAAACGTTATTTCAAGATTAGAGAGAGGCTAAATGGAAAGAGCACAAAGTGACTAACTAAACAAATGTTTCACGCAATAATTTAGTTGTAGTTTTAAATCGCTCAATAATCTGCTTTCGCTAGACTATTCTGATCATAATCCCAGGCACTCAATCACAACTAGAACCTTCTAGCTTATTGTTTACCATCGACTAATTCGAAAGCAAACAGCAAACAGAGCTCCGAGCTCATAGAAGACGATCATTGTACTCAAGAGGACGGACAAACAATAACCAGACCGTTCTGTAATAGCAAAATATCTAATTAAATATTTATCAGGGACTTGAATCTGGAGAGGGGCAAACGTATTACCTTATCAGGCAAGTGAGATCAAGATTGCGGAGCACTTTGCCCCAGAACACAATGGCTGGGCCTGTGTTTTCCTTTGGGGAAAAGCAAATAATAACCGCAGTACTCTTACTGCTCGCTGCCGCTCAAGTAGCGGAGGCTCCGCTAATGATCCCCCGAGCGGACCAGCACACCAGCACATTCAAATGGAGCCGGCGACACTTTCGAGTAACCGCGATTCGGTAACAGCAGTAAAAGTGGAGCAGAGTCGAAGAGTTGGCCAGCTGGAAAGTGGCATTGTAATTAATGTTTAACGTGACTTTAAATTAAAATTGTTTTTCAGCCGAACGCGGCCTCGGTCGCGTCGAAAAGTGTGAAAAAGAAAAATCACAGGGTGTGTGGGGTGGGTCGCCGTCGGGAAATCATCAGTGGGTACTGGGTGGTGGAGACGAGATGGTGTCAAGCTCCGTTAGTTGCCGGCCACTGACACTAATGACATTCAAATTGTTGCGCCAAAAGAAGCCATAAAAATAAAGCCAGAAAATCCATGGAAAACTAATCAAAGCGCGACACCGAGAAAGTGCGACTGCACTGCAAGAAAAGCAACTTGTCCCTTGTCCCTTTCTATGTCATTGTTCTATCATAGCTCTTAATCGTAACTAGTTTATTCAAATTTGAAATGATTTGTGAATATTTATCTTAGGGAGTCAGACTATTTCTCACAGTGCAGCCTCCGTCTGTAGTCCAAACCCCAACCCAACCCAAGTCCGAGTCCGAGTCCGAGGCGTGCAATTGAAAGTGTCGCCGATTGCTTTTTGTGGGCGCTGATGTGCAGCCATCACTCACTGAGACCAACCCACCGAATCACGAAACCACCGAACGAACCCCCAGCCACCAACCAACAACATAGACCCACTCCGCCCCCCGCCATCTAATATTGTGGGTTGGCTCATAAATCGAGTCGACGGCCATGCCACATGCGCTACAATGAATGCTTTTCTTCGTGTTACATGTATCCGCAAGATATCAGGCGCATTAGGTGACATGCCATGCCAAAGCATATGTACACGTCTTTCGCGGGCACCTCGGCTGTCGATTTCACTTGCCCGGAGTTGTGCAATGATCAAGGGGTTAATAGACGCCAATCAAGGGAAGCTTAACTATGGCAAGACTGCGGGTGATGTCGTCTCCCTAGTTTGGATACCCTTGTTATAAAAGACGCGTTACTTTTTTGAAGAAGTAACCAAAATTACAGATCGTCTGTGGACCAAATGATAGGATCTTGTTAGCATAAGATTGGAATAGAATGTCATCACTATCAATAAGATTATTCCCAACAAAGTACCAAATCAACTAGCAAATTGTGGATTCTTCTAAAAGAAGTCAAGATCAAACATTTTAGCGCAACTAGAAACGAACTTCAAGTGCACTGTTTGCCAACCATTAGATATTTTCGGAGCAACATTGAAGGCGAAGATCGCAAACGAAATGGAAAAACGGAAAAATATGTCTATAGATTTCGTGATAGAGCGATCGAAATGTACAAAATGCACAGTGAAAATCTATTTTTACCCTTTCTGTTATGGCCACGACTCGACTCGTACTTCTCATTTGGCCCATTCATTTTCGGTTGCATTAATTGAAATATTTCTCAAGCGTGGCCAGAAAACAACAAAATGGAAAGTGAAGTGTGAAGTGAAGTCTCGAATGGGCTTCCAGCTCGGTCTTTGTCTGTCGCTGCTGCCTTTCCAATCACAGCAATGCCAATCTCGGCATGTAAGTACGAGTACATCGAATATACTATAGCTGGGCAATTATCACGCTGCCGCGATCTGAGCATAGATCTCGGATACATGCCCAGCGCGAACTGTTCGCCGATTCGACACGCAAAATTTTCAGTTCATTAACATTTCAATATCGATAAGACCGAAATGCACTTTCGCTCCGCCGAGATACAATCGCCGACAATTGAAATTGTATCTCTTAATGTATCTACACTCGAAATCGCCTTCTGATTCCGTCAGTTTGCGTTAATAATAGTTATTGACTTATCATGGCGCATTCTTCTGGCACTGAGTTGCAATTTGTGACTCCTTGCCTGTGACATGCATGTCTCCATCTCGGCTGGCAACTACTTGTGCTGCCCCTCTTCGGGGGCTGAAAATTGCCAAATCAACAGGAAAATTGGGAAAAACAAGCAAATGAAAGGAAAACCAAACAATGTACAAACTGAAGCATTTGCATTATGGCGGCAATTTGATTTCAATTTCGGAGCATTTGTATCTGTATCGCTTAGATACGTTGCATTTCAGGCCAACTGCTGTTTGCTGCTTGGTGCCTGCGCCTGTGCCTGTGCCTGTGCCTGCCACTGCTGGCAAATTGTGCTGCCATCTGCGTTGCACTCACTTCTTTCCAGGGCTTTTGCACATTTAGAGCAAACAGAAACCAATCTGTGAACTCCACAAGTCGCTTTGTTTAAATAACACTTCTTATGAGTTGCCTCATTCCTCCCTATACACTATCAAGATATGTTTTTTCGCAGAGAACTGGGGTTATACAATCTCAAAGTTAAGTAAAGATCGTATAAATAAATTCGATTTCTTGGTTAATATGCATTTTGGCCCACAGCGACATTGGGTCTTTTAATCAATCCCTCGACCTGCCACACGCTCACTTTTCAGCCTGACCCATTTCGAGTTCCGCCACAACAGCACTAAGCTAAAATTATTTTGTTTGCCTTAAAAATGAGTTACATGTTAAAAATTTACATTCGTACACACCCACCAAGCGTCGGAGCCTCGCTGCCACGAGACACGCCCCGGGAAAGAAGGTTGCCAAGAACGTTCTGTGGCAGAAATTAAAATTTCGTACATGGATAGCAGTTTGGCTTTATAAATCGAGTTTGTTTCAAGGCGTGACAGAATGCTGGATTCGATACACCCAAGGGAAGCAACCAAGATGGATTTATTCAAAGTAAGCATTTGGGTTGTAGCCTTAAATGAGTTGGTTAATTGCACACCGAAGGGGTAAAGTTAAAAAATTGCATTAAAAAAAACATATTTAACATCAATTTTAAGTTATAATTCTGGTGCCCACACGGAACGTGAATAAAATTTAAGCTGACAGAGTACCTAATTGAAATAATAATAAAATAACAACAAAATGGTATAAAAAGGGTCAGTTGGGGTAAACTCACGTTAAGTAAGGGCATTACACTTTCATTCTTCTACCGTAGCTTTTATACTTTATGGCAAAATAAATTGACGCATGCGTAGGCCCAGTTTTGCATTGTTGTTAAGGTTTCGAGGCTAATGTCGTCGTTTGTATGGGGCAAGAGTCCGGTAGCCAAAGCAACTGAAAGTTAGGTGTACCTTTGCCCCACTCCCGTGCGAATGTGCTACTGCAACATGAGACCGCAGCATCGCCACCTCGCCCCCAAGCCATCGCTGGCTCTGCGCACATATGCCAACCACATGCAGCATAAAACCAACCTAAACTTTATTTTTGTGCGCATCGCTGGTCGTGCAACACAACGCAATGGATTTCCATTGTTTGGGCCCATGATTTCCCTGCTGAAACTGCAGGTTGCGAGTGAGCTGCGGGGTCCGCTGCCTGTGTTAATTGTTGCCAGCCATTCTAAAAGGCGTTCTGTGTTCTAATATTAGCATGGAAGACTGACAGACCAAATCAAACTACAATTTCGTTTGGATTTGTCCTTAGTAATGATCCGAAATATTTTGAAAAAGTTAAGCTTGGAAGGTTTATGTTCAAAATAAAAACAAATCTGGAATCTGCCTATTAACATCGTATTTATGGTAAATATATATTTGCGAAGCTGCGGGCAGACTTACTAGTACTATTATTATGCGATTACGCTTGCATCATTATCAATATGCAATTAAGTTTGTTGTTTGTTAAACAAAAATAACAAACGTTCTACCAAGTTTCAGCCCGACTATGAAACACTCGTTTTTATATAATAGTATATATTATCTTTCTTTGCATAAGTAAATAAGCAAGAAAGTAAGTAGTTTTACACTTATTGAGCGTCGGCACAGCAAAGGTGTAGTTTCTAGTCTTCGAAAAGGGGGGATAAAAGAGCTTGCTTGAAACTGAAATAAGTCAGATACTGATTACAGATACAGATACAGATACTTTATAATATTCCCCTAAATCGTATATAGCTAATGGTTATAATTAGTCCAATATTCAAATGGGAGTTTAATTTGAACCGTAATAAAGTCGAAAAACAGAAAAATGACTGAATGACTGAATTTTGTCAGATCTACTATTTAGTATTTAAAACTCGACACAATGGGCCATGGATCAGAAGTTTTTGCTTTGATTTTGACAGTGCATATTGCCCTTGAAATTGGTTCCATTGTAAGTACTTCTTTTTAACATAAAAGCATAGTAAAATAGAGAGTTTTCCCCTAAGAATGCTTCCAGGTTCAGGTTCACCAACTTTGTTTGTGATTCTGTGGATGAATCTTGGATTTCGGTGCACAAATGCCGTTTGAAGGCGGTTCAAAGGGGCAAAACAACATTGAGTTTCGATGGAACTGTGCTAAAGACAGTCTCAACTCTTAAAGTTCATGCCCAGATTTTCAAGAGGGCCAATGGCTTCAAGCCCTGGCTCTACAACATCACGTTCGATGGCTGCAGATTCCTGAGAAAGCCCTACGAAGCGCCGGTAGTTCTGGTTTTTAACCTTTTTAAACCATTTTCCAATCTCAATTTCACATGCCCCTATAAGGTAATAAATTGTTGATATTAACTTTATATATTTAAGCAAAATGTTCTGTTTCAGGGACCAGTACGCGTCATAGGTTTCCACATCATCGGAGAGCAGATTCCCGTGCCGCTTCCCTCTGGGGAATACCTAATATCAATAAAGTGGTACCTCAATAAGATGCTCGCCATTTCCACGAGCATTTACTTCTCATTTGAGGAAAATTTGACTTAAAGTGACGCCGTTGTTGTTTTTATTTGCTTTATTTACCAATCTATATTCCTAAACGATTGAAATATAAGTTGCATACGAGTATGACTTTTGGCAGTAATAACTAAGAGATAAATTCTTTCGGGTCTACGCTTAACAATTCTTTATATTTTATTTAAATTCTAAACCGACACTTAAGGTTGGTAAGGTAAAGAAGCACGCTTTCGTAGCCTTGAGAAATATTTTGGATCTCAATTTAGGTATAAAGAATAAGTAGAAGATCGTCAGATTTAACCACATTCCAAGAATGTTTTTTAATTGACGGGATAAGACATTGCCTAATAATTAACTTAAAGAATGTCATGTTTTAAATTGAAATCAAGGAAAATATCTGCAATCTTTCTATTTTTAAAAATAGTTGCGAGCAAATGCGTCACACTTGCGGGGAATAAATATGAATAAACAAGAATATGCGATGACCAATAAAGTTAATTATAAATTAGTGGACGTATATGAAGTAATATTAACGCGGAATTAGTCATCCTAGCTTTTCTGATATTCGAGATCAAAGCTTGATGCGGATCAAGCTGATAATCTCATCTCTCTACAGGGCAATATTAAACAAAAACGTTCGTGTGAGAGATGCTTCCCAAAGAAAGAAGTTTAAAGTTGCAATTTCTGTTGCTATTTAATACAAATATCAAATATTATATAATTCTTAACCGAATTAACTAAACGAGGGTTGCAAATTAAATTGATTTGCCTTTTGGCTATAAACCTTTATGTATCTACGCATTAGGTTTATAGAGTTTAAAAGGGCAAAGCCATGGCTAAATGCAAATGGCGATGGGTCTCACTTTGAAAAATCTTTTCATTTTCCCTCAATGATTTTCCAGCATTATTATTAATACAGGCTAAGAATGATTTTCTGCCTCAAGAAGTTTGTAAAAGTGGTATCCAAGTAACTGACGCCAAGAGTGAAGCTGTTGTACTGCAGGCAACCGATTCTTATAAAAATATATATATTTCAACATTTTCCATCATGGCTTAAGAAAAAAGGCAGTTTTCTGAGCATAAATGAAAGGTTTTTGCAGCGGATGTTATGTAGTAATTATTTTGTCGGAGGTTTTTCTGCTGCACCACCAGCACCTGTGTAATGCTTTTGACGGCGGAAGTCGCTGGCCACTTTTTTTTGACAAAATCTTATAAAAACGAGTAAAAAGTTGAACCAAAAAAAGTATTATTCGAATAAATATTACTGAAAAGTAAATATGTTGCGCAGCTCATTTGAGTTTCAACAAAAACTAATCTCAGTATTGCAAAAGCTTCCGAGGTAATTGATTGTGTAAAAGTTGGTAGAGGTTTTTGTGAGGAACACAACTTACCGATTTGGTCTGATTTAGTTATTGTCACTGTTAAGAAGAAAATCTGTAAAGAAAGAAAATTTACTGATTAATATCTAACACTGATACCCAAAACTGCGGCTAGCCGAATCAATACAAGTTGTTAAACGAATGTCTTTAGTACCAGGTCTCTCAGTGGCCGAAAGAGGCGCTAATGAAATTCTTATTGACAGTAAAATACACTCACAGAGGCACATACACACACAAGCAAACCGCAGTCGAAAGATAAACAAACCAACTTCTCGCCCCAAAAGAACTTATCCAACTCACGAGGAAAGCTACCAAGTTTAGGCATATGGAATCGACATAGGTGAAGAAGCCCAAAGCGATGCCACGGAGAACGAGAATCAGACGAGCGGCCAGTTACAGATTCAGATTTAGATACAGATACATTTGAGTGATCTCTTTGGCTTCTAACGTAAGCGGGAATTCTCGAGGTCAGCCACTTTTGCTATGGGACAGCCAGCTAGCCCCATGCTTATAAGTCTGTCTCTCCATTCTCGGCCAGTCCCACCAGCATTTACTCTCGTCTAAGACCCGGCTCTGTCCGGTTTTTCCTTTGGCCGCAGTGCATTTGCTGCTCTGTTGCTGTGGCTGCTTCTGGTGTATGGTTTTACTTAATTTACTTTACTGTTATGTTTTTGCTTTCCGCTTGTTAGGCAAGCTCAGCAATCCAAGCAAGCCAAGCAATCCAAGACGGCGATGCAGTCGCTCCATCGACGTGTGTATCTGTCAGATACTTTTCTGCTGGTTCTGACTGCAACCGCAGTGTCGTCATACACTTGAACTTTTTGGGTGTGCACCGCCCGACTCCGTGTCATAACCAATCCGTTAATAACAGCAAGAATAAAATGAATCCGCGGCGAAATGCCAAAGTTTAATGGCAAACTGATTTGTAATCCAACAAGTTATTGCAATTCTCAGCTATTACTGCATCACAATTTTGTTGTGGTCAAATGTTGCAAGGTGTTGTCAGTTCCACGATTACGTAAACAGTGTTTACTGCCTTTCGGCATTATCAAATCAAAAGCAATATTAGTAGAGGTCCAAATCAATAACGATTTCTGTTCGGAATTATTGGGGAACAGACTATATGGCTTTGATTTTTATTGAAGAGTTTCGGCTGGAGCTAACGACCAGGCCATAAACAAAGAAGCCTCTTTGTGTTCCATTGACACAGTTTGCAGTTTATAACGTTTTATTGCTCTCTTAGTCCCATATATGCCATTGATTGGGCATGATCTCAGACCTCCTGATAGAGACATCGACGAATACCAGTGACCCAAATAGGCTAAGCGTTGAGATGGCTAATAATTTTATTGTTGGTGTAGTTGGGAAATATCTTTAATTAAGCAACAGCTTTGTAAGCAGTAAGGATATATATCATAGCTTTTACCCAGTCTTGTAAAGTCGGTAATGTACTGCCAAAAGTTTGAGAAGCATTGGCGGCATTTAATGGAGGGTGAGCTCAGGCTTTTGTCAGCTTTAATACGGTGGAATAACACAAGAGGGATCTCTGTTTGCTTTCCACAGGGTAAGGTGCATGAGAGGGGAAAGAGGCAGACTTCGCTGGGCTGAGACAAAAGGCGTGAAGCCTAAACCGACGATAAGTGTCTATAATGTCTATGAATATCCGGCTGAAGGCAGGCACGAAGAGCGCACCAGAGCCCAAAGTAGTAGACAAACAATGTCATCCAAAGGATCCGCTCACGTAAGGGGGCAGGAGCAAGGGCTCAGTAGAGGCGAAAAAGGGTAAGGAACCATAATGACAACATGACATGCAAAGTTTTGTCAAAGCCCAGACAGGCAAACAATGTTCGAGTTGTTGGAAGCGGACGAAGCCGAGGATGCGGATGATGGCAGAGATGAGGATGAGCTCGCCCTCGCAGACGTAAGTAGCCACTGCGGCTGGATGCGGGCCTTAATCAACTCTCCGAGCGGGGGCCTTTTGTCATCATTTTGCATTTCTTACATTTTTGTTTAGCACGTTATATGAATAACTAATTGAGGGCCGTATACCGCAACACGTACGAGGGGCATTCGAGGCAGGAATGTGGCCGTTCACTGGGAGAAACGGTCGACCTTTTGCTATTATTAAGTTTAATGACGGTTCGCATCAGTTTAGCTTGCTTATCAATAATTTGACATAGGAACTTACTGAAATTGGCAGATGTCGATCAGAATTATATAATATACAGTTTGAATTCTGATAAGAATTATATATCTATGAGTACTGAGAGGAATAAATTATAATATATTACAGTAGCCAGGCTGACTACTTCTAAAATGATTCCCAATTACTTCATTGAGCACTAGCACTTCCTTCTCCCAGTGCAAGCCATCCATTGGATACATCTCCGCCGGGGAAAAACATATAGCCTGTTGAGGGCGGGCATTCGTGGCAGAGCCGCCAAACCATGACTGGGCATAACAACCAACTACCAACAACCAACTACACACTGAAATCTCGGATCCATGAAGAAGTGGAGTAGGACAGCAGCAGCAGCAGAAGCACGGGGCCAGTTCATCGTTCGATCTCCAATTCTTGGCTCTGTGGGCTAAACTGGTAGCACATTTCCTTCTTCTTTCTCTGCTCTTGCTCTTTTTTGCCAGTCCAGGGCTGAGTCATCCCCAAGTCGGCAGTCGGCTGCCTGTGTTTTGCATTAGGCCAAGTTCGATGACTAAGCAGACTTGATTTCAGGTTCTCCCTTCGCGGCCGGCCGGCATAACTTCAATCTGACCGCATCTTCGGCTTGATTGCTGGCCTGCCAGCCCGAGCAGATGCTGTCATGTCCATGTGGTCATGCCTGCCAGCCAGGCTGCCTGCGAGTGTGGTGCCCACTTGAACTTGGTCGGAGGTTCAGCCAGCGTTTGGGTCACTGATTTCGTAGTTGGGGCTTAGATTAAAGCACTTTATATTGTACAAAGTTACAGAAGGTGATTTTAAAAGTTTTGGTATACAAAACCGAATAGATCCTGACCATGACTAAGATATACTTTATATCCCCTACAAGACATATATTAATAAAAGCACTCTAACTTTGCTTTCAATAATACTTAAATCGTCACATGTGTCTGTTTTACATCATTTAAGTGAGAACTTCCATTAATAAATCCACATGTTAATAAGTACCATTGCCCTTCATTTCATTTTATTGCCAGTTGTTAACACTTTGCTAAACAGAACCACTTAGAACTTACAAATTGATCATGTTAAACAATAAAACTATCCTTATTGCAGATGCCCATAAAAAAACAAAACCAAAAACATTACTTAATCTAGCAAAAAGAAAGGAATCATCTGTTTATTTCAATTTTCCCCAATACCAATGCCAGACGATGATTTAATTCTATAATAAGAATTGTTTTGATTTGCGGAAGAACCAAAATAAATGGTGATTAACGAAGGGAAATGAAAATACACGACAGTTTGAGAGCCACTGTTCACTGCTAACTGGCGATTTTTGTAATTACGAGAGATTTCCCCTGCGGTCGGCGATGTCGTATGGCCTATAATTTCAGCTAGTTTGCTCAATTTGCTCGGCCACTTCCCCCAGTTCCAGTTCCAGTTCCAGTTTTTCAATTGCAATCAATACTTAGTTTCCATTTCATTCGTATTCAAAGTTCAGAGTCCCCCCTTCTGCAGATACATCGCCACACAGACACGGCACACTCGCAATTACAGAGAGAACTCAATGAGTAGAATCAGCACAATGATCGTGCAAAATTAATTTTCCTTTAAACTGCTTTTGTGCTTTTGTTGATCTCTAATTCTTGTTTTTGTGCTCACTCGCTCTTTTTTGCTTTTTGTGTTCCTCAACCGAAGTGGAACAGTTTTGTTTCGCTTTTGCGTTTAGTGGGGCGATCGATTTTTGTCGGTTTACAGCTTGACTTTTCACTTGCGATCGACCCGATAAGGATTTATTTATTACATATCCGTTCTGTGCTGAGGTGAATGTGAAACTGTAGAGCTGCATGCTCGATTGGCTACCAAAAAGATATCTTCGAACAGGCTAAAAGAGTTGAGGGGTTGACATGCCAGTATGTTCTATAAATCACCAAGTTCGAATGTCTTTGTAGATTGTTACTAGTTAATAACATATTTAGCTTCAAGGTTCAAGTTCCTTATTTGGTAAGTGTGTGAAAGCAACTTTGATCCGTCAACTCTATCATACGAATGGGAGGTATTTAACAATGTAGTAAAAAAGTCCCAGATATTCCCTGTATTAACTTCCCACTGCATTCTCTCCCATCCAATCCCATTATTACATCAGTTAACTGCAACTTGGAGGTTTCTTCCCGCTCCCCACCTCCGCTGCCATCACAAATGGCAGGCAAAATACTCTTGCTCTCATACCTTGAGAGACCCAGCGAAGCGTGCAAGTCTAGCTTGGCTGCTGATCCCCTCTCCTTCGCCCAGATCCCCTAAACCCCTTATTCACACGCACTACGCCCTTAACAGGCTAAACTGTGCAACAACCGACGGGGAGCGCCATCTGGCGGTGCTCATGTGAACAATTGCGTTGAATTGTATTTTATCATGGACTTCACTTTTATCTAATACTGGCTTACCCGTGTAGACAAACATCTCATAAACGGAATTTATGCTTGAATTTGCAGAGAAGAAAATATCATTTTTCTTTCCTATATCAAAAAGTATTCATAATTCGGGATTTTTATCTATTAACCTAGGATAAATGAATATACCTATTCAGATTGCAATCTGATTTTGTTAACAGTTTGAGCTAAACCAAAATTTCAATCTGATTATCAGCCGAAACTTTTTCAAAATCTTCTGTTGATGATCTAGCTTGGGGTTTCACGAAGAAAACGGCTTCGTGTAAAACTATTTTCCCTGTGTATATTTTTATTTTTCGTCTTAGTTTTTAATTTGTGGTTCGCTGCGGTCGCGTAATCAGGGTGTAACAATTACGCGTCTTGAATTGCGCCGATCTCCGGGGCGGGGAGCCCCTAGATACAGACACAGAGCTGAGCAGACATCCATAGGAATTCGCGAGTGCCGCGCCCTCTCACGGATTTCTGTGCTCTGCGGCGAGTATGCGAAATAATTTTCGAACGCTGAAATCCTACACCGTCGACAGGTGACGGGCTCTGGCTTAAACTTTCGTATTAGATTCTTAGTTAATTTCAGTTGCGGTTACGCTTTGCCTTCGATTGCCGGGCTTCACGGTTAATTAAACATCGGCCGACAATGCATAATGATTTAGCATCGGTTATGTGTAGTTCTGCTGCCCCGCGAATTATCCACATTAACCAAATAAATCACAAAACAGCTCGGAAAATGCGAATTAAATTTATTTTAGAATGCCAGCTTGATGGCCAAGTAATAAGTTCAGTTTGCTTTGGGTGTGGCCTTTAACGGCCACCCACAAGACTGCCCAGCCCAACGGAATTCCAACGAAATGTGTGCCTAATGTGGGTACTTACGAGCAAATTGGTCAAATGGCATTTTCAAATGTGTTGGCCAAATTGATAAACAATTGAATCAAATTGCTGTAAAAGGCAGACTGTGAGTCGTTTTTGGCAAGTTCTGTAGGCGAATGGCGAATGTGTTTCAACGCGCCATAATCGAATTATTTAAATATCATAATCTGTATTACACTTTGTTACGAAATGTTACTCATTTTACAAATATGATTATTAGGGATAATAGTATCCCTACTTCCGTATCTAATCTCATAAGTTATTAAAGAAGTCTAAAATCCCTATAATCATTAACGCTGAAAGTGTGCTCATTTCGAAACTACATTACCCAACCTACAAGCCCAAATTAGAAAACAAACTAATATTGAAATATTATTCTAATTCAAGCTAAGAGGCACTTCGAATACCATAGATGGGATTTACTTTACCCTATCCTAACAAACGGAAAGAAAAATCCATTGATCACAACCCACCGAATCAGCGAATAACATCGTGCAGAAACTCCAAACTAAGCAATAAAACAAACAATATTTCATTGAAAGACTAACCTTGGAGGCAGCCGAAATCGTTCTATCAGACAATCCCACACTGGATGCCGAGATCAAAGCGATCGGGGCAGGGATGACAACGAATAAGCAATCATTCATTCGGCTGCCTGCCAAAGTCATTGCTAGACACCGCAGATACGTATGTGGCTGCACATCTAGATGCTAACGAATCGAAGCCACTAACAATGTGCAGGATGCAAAGACAAAGACTCGGGGCAATGCAAAGCTAGCAGAGAAATTACAAAAAGCTAACGGAAGAAAAATCTGGCAGCAAAGTGTTATAAATGAAGGAAATCAAAATGCAAAAACTGAAAACGCCTACGCCATTACGAGGGCCTTGCAACTGCAACTAAAAGTGCATGATCATACCCCGATCACAAAAGTTTATACCTAGAAAGAAATTGTTTTTATTCGTTCATAGTTAGCAACTAGACCTGAACTTTGCCCAATATAAATGAGACTGAAAATAGAATTTAAGAATGCAAATTGGTGGATAATAATCGGAAAGATCTCCCAATTATAACTTCAGAAGCAAGTCAAGGGAAAGGCATTGTTTTTCTCTGTGTAAACATTGATGAAAATATTTCATGAGTTGGGTTGGGAAATGGGGGAACCCGGCAGCTAGGCATAGATCATTTTCCAAGTTATTTTTAAAAGAAAGCACAGAGCAGGCAGTGGGGCAGGCAACTGTACCTACTGTAGCCCAAGGCTATTGTATCTAGTGGATGCGTTTAGAATCCACCTTTAGAATCCGTTCCAACCAGCTCTCCATACTTTTTCGCCCCTTTATAGGTTTCCCTCTTTATGGGCTGGCTGTCATTTTGATTTCGCCCGACATGTGCATTGCCTTTTATCTAGTTGCAGTTGAGTATCTCGTATCTCGTAGCTGGGATAATGCGTGCGTATCTGAACACATGTAACTATAACGCTTTGTCGAAAGCAGACAAGTCTCGAGTTGAGTTCGGCCGGCGACTCAACACAGCTTGCATGTCAAATTAATTTCATTCAATTTAAATGCAATTTGACGCTGTTTCACTCGCTGCACTCACTGAGCTGACTCTCAGATCTATAAGTATCTGTATCTGGCAGGTATGCCAGCGCCCGAACACCGAACACCGAGCACCGAGCACCGAGCACAGGGTATCTCATAGCTGCTGATTCAACGTTAATGATGCAATGCGCCGTGTGAGACGGCAAACTGTGCGTTTTATTTTGATGCCTTTTGATTAACGACCCTTGGCTAACATTTTTGCGCGGTTTCAGTGGATGTCGGAGACTTTGTTTATATTATAAATACGTATATGACCAGCTTACCTTTTGAAACTCCTTGACTGAGTGCGGTATTGGTCGAAGTGTTAGTCGTTGGGATCTGGAAATAGAAACAAAGCAACTTTAAAATACTTGCTTTCGAAATTACATTTCAATAATGGCACACAACATGCTGTTCTATGAGAGTGTTCACACGACCAATGCAGGCAATCGAAACTTGAATGTCAATCAATCAATGCTAGCCAAAGGCGATTGATTTCAGATCTAACTATAAACGAAGATGGTCAGCAAAATTCAAAACTGACTGGAGTCCCATTTTTCACGTGCTAATGGACGGGATCATAATTTTAACGCCTTTCCCCGTGGGCCCAATGGCCATTAGAAGTTCTAAAAGAGCTGACCCCAAAAGTGTCGACCACTCAAGGCACCTAAGAATAGCCTAAGAACTGTTGCCATAAAACCCAAAGCTACATGCAATTTACCATTAATATTGAGGACACAAATTTAATAGTTTTACAGTGTTTGGTCTGTAAGGCCCCCTAGCAGATTTGGGACAAGAATAAACTTTTTTTAAATTCCTAATGACGTCTCTTTTTGCATAGTCACTAACCAGGGTAACTCCACAGGCTAACAGGAATTATCATATGAGTTTGTCATTGCTCAGCTAAACAATTAAAAGCGGCAAACATTTTCTTTTTCCTGCTAGTAACTTCTCACTTGGCTGTGAAAGTTCTGCTGCTAAGGCAGTGGGGTTAAATATCTGTCAGCTTCGGCTGTTGAAAGTAAGTCAAATGAGATATTGATACCCTTTACCTTTACCTTTATCATCAATACATTCAATATAATCAATCTCTAATGTTTTAACCGTTTCGCTTTAATTTTAATTGCAGTCTATAAACTCGAAAACGTTTAACAGATTTCCACACGCTATTATATTTGCTCCGCTTTTTAGACTCGCAAATTATCACCAAAAATTAAAAACTTTCATCTTTTCGGATTACGTAAAACCAAACCATCGCCGATGATTACACTTTGTTTCCTATCAGAGAAAAGGCAAATTGATTGTTTCCGAACATAAAATTGACAAAACCCTCAATCTGTCAGCGCCAGTGGACCATTTAAGCTTCAAAACATATTCGCCAACTTATGCTTGATCTTTGAACAGTTTTGTTTCAGACGAAATTATGTTAATTTGTGGTCTTTAATTTCTGCGTCTGCTTGCCTTTTGCTATTTTGTTTTGAAGATTTTATCAGTGCAGTTTATTTGCTAACTATAAAATGTATTTTTTATTAGCGAAGCTTATCTGATGCTGATAATTTAATTCGCTTTTTATTTTAAATTATTTTTAAAAGGTGACAATGCGGCGTTCTGACCTTGAGGGGAAATGTGTGTAGGCGGCATCGGACTTTTGTTTTCGTTTGTCCATTTGGTTTTCAGAAATATATAAAGTACGAAATTATTTCTGGCATATTTGTGTCACATCATCGGTTCTCTTGGATTTTGAATAAGCATACGCCCCCTTGGCCGTGAACTAAAAGCCATCGCAAAATGAGCGAGAAACAGACGGGGAAAATGTTTTCATTCATTCCCAAAATGTAAATATCGGTTTGCTCGTATTTTTGCAGCTGGCCTCGACTTGGCATTTCTCGTCTTCGCTCGTTTTCGAGTAAACAATTTCGCACTCTTGGTGTTCCTTTTTGAGTTTAATTAATAAATTTCCTTTATGTTTGCCCCGCTGGATGGATTATTTACAGTTCCGAAATGCTGAGGCGCAGTTCTTAATACGCCGAAAGATACATTCTTTGGAAAAGCACATTTCACGCCATTTTCAGTGGGAGACTCAGGAGGAGGGCCTTCTGTTTACTTTTATATACATTTTTGTATTATATTATTCTTCCACCCATAATGTTTTTTAATAAAAACAAGATTAAGAAAGTTTTTCCAACATTTAAAATAGATATTTTTCTTCAGTAAAATATAATACATATAAATTATGTATCATATTTTTTCTTGTTTTTACTTTAAAGCGCAGATATTTGTCCATTTCACTCTGTCAAAGTGTGAAAAGCCAAATACAAGTTTTCCATTAAATTTTCTCTGTTTCGTTGCTAATGAATAGTTGGAGCAATAGTGAGAATATTTGAATAGATTTCAATTTCTGTGAGTATGGTATTTAAACACTTTATTATGATTGGTAAGGTAATGGTCTAGTTTCCTCTAATGTTCCTGCTTATTTGCCAAAGTTAAAGGCTAACCACTTGCCATCCATCCACTTGCCATATAATTTACGTGTTTTCAATAATTTATGCACATGCATAATGAATCGGGGCAAGGTCTAGCCAGGACGGAGATTCTATAGCCTCATCTGTAGCCAAACCGATTACTAAGCACTATTAGCATTTTGAAATAATTTCGCGAGGGGTTTCGGATTTGTCGGTCTGGAGAGAACGGGTTATGCTAAGGCGGCTATACATTAACTTTATTGCATAATAAAACACCAAATTTCGAAGACAATTTCGCTACCCGAAATGCCCAAAAGCCTATGTAAACGTTACGCTGTAAACACGATACAAGTTTGGCCAACTTCGGAAGCTCCTCGCCGGGAATGAATCAGAACTTTGCGGTTCATTTATTCAGCTAAACAATCAATGAACACGGATCGCTTGTTTGGCAGTAAACAGCTGCACTGTTCTATGGGCAAAAGTATTTGCGGCATTTTGTCATCTTTCGAGCGTTTGAATGTTTTATTTAATTTTAGCCACAAGGCACCATTTGCAGGGAGGAACAATAACCCGGCGATGACATAAGCGGGCTATTTAAATGGTGATTTTCGATTAAAAAGAAATCAAGATGTGGCAATATTATTTTATTTTGTTTTTTTGTTTTTCTGGTTCTCTGCCTCTGTTGTTGCCTCGTTAGCTCGCTGCTGTGTCCCTGGCACTAATAGAAGAAGACAAAAGTTCGCATGTTTCGTTATTGATGTATTTTCTGCATTATATTGCAAAATGCAAAACAATAGAGTGCCGTGAAATCCGGCGAGCACACGGCCAGAAATGATAATTGGAGGCAAGCAACAATTGCCAGTTGCACTTGCAACACTCGCAACGCACGCACATGGCTGTGCGCATTTTGGCTTTGTTCGCCGCTAATTTTCCCTTAATTACACTTTTTTGTTTTCTTGCTAATTTCCTGCATTCGATTCGCCAGCTGTTCGTCGGAATCCATAATCTCGGCTTTCGCAGAAGTTCGATTTTATTTCAGCGATGTCTGCGACTGCCTTTCAAAGTGATCCAACGTAATTATTTTGATTCCTATTCATTCATATTAATTAGTTGTGGTAAGAATGAAAATTTACAATCCGGAGTTCAATTTGAAGTGACACTCTCCACTTACAAAGGGCAAATGCTTAGGCTAAGGAAACCCGCTAAAGCCATAATGTTCAGTTTTGATTGACTCTCGAGTGTGGCCCTATCAGCTAATGGACAGATATGGCCAGTGTCACCATAATAAGCCGTGTTTACGGCTCTCCGTCTTCGATGACTCTGCAGCCATCGCGATAAGTCGAATGCTGCAACATTGTTGCTATTATTGGCCGATGCGGTTGCCGATGTTATTGTTATTGTCGTCTCGACCGCCACAGTCATTACTGTTGGTTGTTTATTTTCTGCCATCATTGGTTTTTCGGTTGTTTTGACTGCTATGCTACGACCACCATCATCATCATCATCATCATCCCCACCACCATCACCATCAGTTCGGGGGCTGCACGAACCTCCGCCGAGATACCCAGTGTATTATGCTGACGGGTGCATTGAACCCTTGCCGAAAGTGATTGTTTGGAGCGGAGATGATCGCCTTGGAGCCAGAGAGAAAGAGGAGATGGCGGGAGATGCCGACCAGATGGGAAATGGAAATGTAAGACGAACCGGAGCTTAATGGCCTCCATTGTTACCATGTGCTCATCCTTTTCGCATCTCGCTTTGGCTGCCAATCTGTGCCTTGTTTATACCAATTTACAAAACGACAATGTCAACACACAAACTCGAAGAAATGATCGACATCGAAGTCGTTTTTCAACTTCTTTTCAAAACTTAAAACAAAACCAAAAGTATCTCGAAGAAGAGGAGATTAAAGAATTAGTTTTGTGCAATCTAAACATAAAAGCGTTTTGTCTGCTGGGGAGAAAGATCACTTCTTTGTCGTTGAATCAGCGTTTTCTGTTTGCAAAAGAACTAAAACCGAAAACCAACATACAGTCGAAATTTATAATTAAAAATCCGTCATAATTAAAGAATTTATTTCAAACTAAGCCAGGTCAAAGGGAAGGGAAGTTAAAAAGCATTTCCCCTTCGGTTTTCGGGCTTACTTTTTTTGACAAAAAAAAGAGTGAACGAAAAAACAATAAATTAGTGGCTCGAACCAACGAGCCGAGCGAAACCCAGAACCGGAAGTTTACAAAAGTTGACAGTTGATCGCTGGTACGACCCAGCCATGAACAACAGCAGCGCAGCGATTCGCTTTTTAGCTCAGCAAAATCAGTCAGGCATATAGAACATTGACATATCGGGTGAGATCGCAGCATGCCACAGGGAAAATGGGAAGGGAAATGGAGGTGGGGCCAGAAAGGAAAGGCATATCGATATGCAAAAACCACAAATTAAGCGAGCCCCTTTCTCCCTTTTCCCCACACGAAAGCGGAACTCGGTTGGCCGGTAACCTTAGACAGCTCGAAGCGAAAGAAGAAAAAATCAGCGAAATACCCAAGACGTAGACAAAAGCGCATAAGTTTCCGATGACCGTTAATTAAAGCCACAAAAGACAGTAGCTTGGCCTAAAATAGGCCCGCACACTTGTACACAGAGCGAAAACAGATATGTATTCTTGACATTTAGATAGTTTTTCAAACCGTAAGCTTAAGTCACAACGTTAACATGTTCCTAATTTAATCTTTTACAGACTTTTTTATATCCTATAAACGCTCTCCGACTTAAGCCATTCTCCAGCCTTCTTTCGGATCGCCGGTCGGTTGTCCCACACAACGTATGGGCTCTTAAATATGTTGCCGCCTTGGTGCAGCTGCGTTAGAAATTGCAACCCGA